ATTTTTTTTTTTTTGTTATTTAATATAATTTTAATACAATCCTACGTTAATACTATATATTCATAAAATATCAAATGAACAATAGAAAAAAGCATAATATATTAAAATTTTTAAATAAGAATTAAACCTTAAGAAAAAAAAAAATAAAAAAAAAAAACACACATAATAACTGCAAATTTCTCCATAAAAAATAATTAAAAATTTTTTTTAATTTTTTTCTTCTTTTACTACAAAATTAATGATTTTCATCCGCAAATATTTTTTTTTTATAAAATTTGTGCATAAAATAATAAATATGAATCATGATAAATTTTTTTTTATTCACATCTTTGCGGCTTCAATATGTTAACATTAATATTATTTATTTTTACGGTCAGATAGTTTATTTAACATCTTTTCATTTCTATCAATTGCTTAGAAATTGTAATAATTACGAAATTTCTTTTGCAAATTTTTATTTTTTTAACCTAAAATTTAAAAAAATTAATTTTATTCTATTTACTAAATATAGCATTGATATTGAGTCAGAATGTGCATATCGAACATTATTCATGAATTTAATTTTCACTTAAAATTTGATGTGTAAAAGTTTCAATGAAATGACATTTTAAGTGATTGAGAAAAATAGAACAGCATCCAATTTTTATTAAACAATATTCATAAGTAATGTTATAAATGTCTAAATTCTGTCTTAATCCCATTAAATCTTTATTATTGTCTTATAATTTACTCTACACAACTACAATATTGTTATAAAAAATATGTACATAAATTTTTAATTTCATCAATTTCATGCAATCACATTCAAAAATTTTGCAAATTTTTAACATTATTATTTTTAAAAATTAAAAAATACACTAGATATTCAATTTATTTTAATTTAATTTAATTTAAAATTAAATAAAAAAAAAATTAAAAAAAAAAAAAAATGAATATAGAATGTGCCTATGCTATCAAGCTTAAACTATTACAAAAATGAAAAAATTAATAATAATTAAAAATACTTCAGAAATAAAAAAAATTATCACAATATTATTACAATATTATATGTAAAAGTAAAAAGAAAAAATTAATTAAGAAATAAAAAAAAAAATATAATTAATTTTAATACAAACACACTATTTAAAATAAGATGTAAATTTAAACAAAACCTTGTATGATTAAAGAAAATTTTTTCGATTTCTTTCATATACATATGTAACACAGAGCTGATCTACATATTTTCATTATTAATTTCTTTTAATTTATATTTCCAAAATACTTCAACACTATACTTAAAATTAAATTAAATTATTTCTATTAATAACTATTAACAAAAAATGACATTGTCAAACAGTTGTTTTTTTTTTTTTAATTTTCAAATTCATTATCAAACCAAAATTTATTGAACAGTGTTTTTTTTTATACATATACTTACATACATCATAATGAACATTTATACTATTGATTAAAAAATATTGAACTTTGCATCCAACATACATACATATATAAAAATAATAGCCAAAAAAAAAAATATTAACATAAAAAAGAGAAATTAATTTCAAAACAATAAATTGGAAAAGTGTAGGCAAATAATTACCCGATGTTATACGCGATTAAAAAAAAAAAAGAGATCGAATTTAATAAATTGTGCAATAATTGGAAAAGTAAAATTCATACGAGTATTATATAAATTTCGTACTAACTACAAATATTATTTAAAAAATAATGAAATTGAATTGTTTAATTCATATTTAAATTTGTTGTAAAATCTGTAATCCATAATGAAAAAATTATGAGAATACAGTCGATCGCGCGATAAATATTCAGCATTTTTCAGCATTTAATATTAATTATACAAAATTATCATAATTTGACATTACTTTGACAGATCCGCCATTTTATCTTTATAAAATATTTTACTAAGATTAGTATTGATAATCAATCTACTATTTAACTCCAACAATATTATATAAATTAATATACAATACTAATAAAATATTATACAAGTAATTTTCAAATATTCATAATATTCGATATTAAAAACTAAGAAAACTAAAAAGGTAAATAGTATTATTAAACTTAAATATTTAATATAAATAAAATTGCGACAGGCTAGTCACCTACCATAGTTAACTCTATGACGCTATGAAACTAGTGCATGATATCATATGATCCTAGGAGTGAAGAAGGAAAAAAAATTTAACTCGAACAGAAAGTATATTTTTTTTATTATATATATTCGTGTCACCTGTTAAAACACATTAAGAAAATTTAAAGAAAAAAAAAATATGTGCAATTATTTACAATTTTGTAAAGTTCCAATATTGTAAATTTTCTATTACATAATTCGATCTCTTTAACCATAAATTCTGCTTACACGGTTTCAAAATTGCACTTGCACCTAAAAACAACTATATTCAAATAACATAAAAATATTTTTATTTATTTTAGTTATTATTTTATACCTACATACATATACATATTTTTTTTTCAATACATTTACTTTTACAAAAAAAAAAAGAAAACAAATAACACAAATTAAATTTTATAATAAATTAAAATAATATTATATAATAATTCCTAATTTTAATGTAATTAAAAAATACATTTATACATATGTATGTACTTCTAATATACACAATTTGGATAAAAATACATATATATGTATATAAGAGTACATATAATATACGCATATATACATATATTTGCATATAAATGTATATATGTATATATGTATATATATACAGTATACACAAAATTATACTACTACATAAAAACTATATTAATGAAAACGCAATACAGGTTCCTATAACAAAAACTATTTATATCATGTTTAATAATGAAAAACAAAAAAAAAAATTTAAAACATTTAATAAAAAATTAAAATATTTAATAAAAAAAAAAAAAAGAAGCCATCATATTTATCCAAATCCAATATACATATAATAAATTATTATTATATTATGTATAGTTTAATTGTAAAATTATAGGTTAGAATTTGTGTTTATTATTCACACACACATATATATTTATTTGATATACATATATATATATATATATATATTATTATATATTGTATATACATATATATATATATATATACATAAATTTATCAAATGACATAACTATGTATATATTATATAAGGATATAATATATGTATGTATATACTAGATTAGTATAAAAGATTTACATATATTAATAATTGGTACTTGTGTATGTTATGTATGTATATCGCAATTTAGAAATATATAATTATAAATACACATACATAATGTATATTTTTATTATTAATAAATTATTTATTTTATTTTATTATAATTTTTTGAAATTGTTATTTTTTTACAATCCAAAATACATACATTATATATTTTTAAATGTGTAGTTCAATATATTTATATTAAATATTAAAATTAATTTTTGTGATAATTTTAAGTTTATGTAATTTTTTTTTTTTTTTTTTATGTTAAAGTTAAAAAAATAAAGTAATAAATGTAAGTAAATATAAGAAATAATTTCAAAATGGCAAATATACCCGTATTTAATTTAAAATCTTTTATTTACAAAATTAAAATGTTGCCAATTGGCTTGCGATTCATTTGTTACATTAATAAATTAAACGTACACAAAACGTACATAAATAAATCGTATAAGTTTTTAATTTTTGAATTTCTATGTATGTACTTTATCTGTAACTGTGAAAATTTTAGCCCTGTGAAAAATTTATAGTACGTCAAGATACCTATAGGTACGTCAATAAAGTGAACTGTTATTTAAAAAAAAAGAATTGTTAATTTAAAAAAATTTTTAATGTGTTTAATTAAAAAATTAAACAATATTTTGTTTCATAGTTTAACCTATAAGAATTTCGCGTTATTTCAATAAATAAACAATGGATTTTAATTAAAATTATGAATAAGCTTGAACAAAAAATTATTTTATCTTAAGCTAATAAATGTCATTTTCTGAAATTCAAGTGACCATGAATGAAAATTTGTAATAAGTAATTTCATTAATAACCATTTATTTTTTCAAAATTGATTCCATTACTTTGCCTCAGAGTTTTATAAAATAATTTTGTTTTTGTAAATTATTGCTTCTGGTTAAGTACTCGTAATTAAACAAAAATTTTAAAGTATAATCGTAGCTTAAGAACAACCTCGCAATATACTAAGCAAATAAAATATTAAATGTATGTAATATGTTTAAATATCATTACAGTTCTAAATCTAAATCGTTGTAGGAATGTTAAAATACTTCCATATATGCACGTGTATATTTGCTACTCTTTGAAGACATCGTCATACCCCGATGATAATTTTCTGCTCAAGAATAATATTGTTATTATTTGTATTTTATGTTATTTTTATATATTAAAATGAATATTAAATATAAAGAAAAAATTAATAATTATAATAACACATGATTTTAAGAAAAAAAACGTATATACCAAGCTTTTATTTTTATTTGTAGTTTTTTTTCAGTAATTTTATTGAATATTTCTCTTAAAGTTTTTTAGAAAACAAAATTAATTGGAAACTGGTCCGGTTTCCCATGTTAAATAATAAAATATTTTGTATAAATGTATTCTCCAAAATTCATAAAATAATAAATTATAAAAAAAATTATTAATTTTAGTTAGAAAATGTTAAATATGTTAAATTAATTTTTCGTTTTAAAAATTGTTTTACCAAAGATTTTTTATTTCAAAAATAAATAAAAAATATTATGTAAGAACGAAAAATAAGTAGCGCATTTAGTTTGTTAATAGCCAAAGAACTCAAAAAGAAAAATCTATATAAGATTTGAAATATATTTTAAAAAGTTGGAATAAAAAATTTCAATCAAAGTCTTTTTATTTCTTCCTATCCACCACAATATATTATATTACTCAAAAATAATATTTTAATTAAAAATATGTGTATATATATAAATATATTATATCTATTATTAAAATCAAAAATTTATTTTTTTTAACATTAATTCTTATTATAATATTTTATACTAAATTTCTCAACAGTATCTCGTCGATCCCTTGAAATGCGAGTTCGTGCAACTGATCCCCGTCCTTGTCCAAAATGTGGAAAAATTTATCGATCTGCACATACACTACGTACCCACTTGGAAGATAAACATACAGTTTGTCCTGGATATCGATGTGTTCTCTGTGGTACAGTAGCTAAATCAAGAAACTCATTGCATTCTCATATGTCACGGCAACATCGTGGTATTTCTACGAAAGACCTTCCCGTTTTGCCAATGCCGTCACCATTTGATCCAGACTTAGCATCGCGTTTATTAGCAAAAGCGGGTGTTAAAATATCAGCTGCTGAATTACGAGCTAGAGCTTCACCCACAAGTGGTACACGACGCGGTGATTCAAAATTAGATTTACGTGGCATTGGTGATGAAGACGATGATGATGATCCTGAAGATTTAACAACCGGTATAGCATTTTTTGAACATCAATTACCATTTAAATTGATAAAAAGATTTCTTTTCAGGTTACGGTCATCCAAATACTACAATTACTAGAATTCGGCATGATGCTATGACACCAAAAAGTATGGATTCATTGTCAAAAGATATGCATGGTACACCTTTACCACCAACGAGTGCAGCAACTGGTCAATCACTTCTAGATTACTTACAGTTTATAACTGAAAATACCTTTGGTAAGAAAAATAAATTAAAATAATATCTAAATAACTGTGTTGCTTTGAAATTTTGTAAAATGTGTCTTTTATTTATTAATTTTTATATATTTTAGGTATGGGAATGTCACAAGAACATGCTGCAGCTGCTTTACATGCAGCTAAAATGGCACAATTAAACGCAATGGGCCATGGTCTTGATAAATTACCACCGGGATTATTACCACCACATTTAGATTTAGCAAAATTAACTCAACAAAATAATAATGATCTCTCAGCTCGTTTAGCACAAATTGGAAATGGTAGTTTAGGTGGAGGTTTAACAATTGAACCAACAAGTCGTCGTTCTGAACACAACAGTGGCAATGGAAATAATAATGATGATCAACAATCTTCATCGCCACATCGTCAAACTCATGAAATGAATGGACCTGATATTGATAGACGTGATCCATCTGAACCAATGGATTTAGGTTTAGATAATATTAATCAATCGGGCAGTGGTGCTGGTATTAATTCAGATAACTTAGGATCTGATGCAGAAGATAATTATTCTGAAGATGAAGGTGTTCACAATACGTGAGTTTTATATGATCACGTACTTAATAAGAACTCCAAATAAGTTACTTAAATTTTAATAAAAAAAAATTTATTTGATAAGCACAAAAATATTAAATATAAAACATACTTAATGTATAAATTACTTAAGCAAATAAATTAAATTTTTTTTTAAATTCTAAGTAGATGATAAAAAAATCACAATTTAAATTAAATTAAAGTTTAATAAAAACAAATCAGAACATTAACCGTAAAATTGTATTTATCTAAATATTTCCGCGCAATTTAAAAATAATTAATATACAGCTACTATATATACATATAGTTATACTATTATTAATTATTAATAATATTTGATATTATTTACATTAATAATAATAATATTATTTATAGTAATAATTATTATTATTTACATTGTGTTTATTTCCTATCATTAACAATATTATTATAATTTTTTCTTTTTATTTTTATTATTAAAAATAATAATTATCATTATTTTTATTATTGATAGTTTTATAAATATTATTGTTTTATTTAATCTGTAATTAAAATTATCCCATGTGTAAACAAGAAGCCTTAATTTGTATACTAGTTTAAAGATATAAAGTAAAACTATGAATTTTTATGAAATACAACAACTAATTTAAGCGAGAAACTTAAAGAATATTAAAAAAAAATAAACAAAAAATATATCTAAAGAAACAAAAATTGTATACGCCAAATAATATACGATTTTTAAAAGATAACTTAGAAGTAAAAAAGTATAAAAAAAACTACTATTAGAGCAAAAATATTAAAATTAAAATATCAGCAATTTAATTTCAAAAAAATTTGGAAACCTTTTAAAAATCAATTTTTTTAAATTGAATCATATAAATTATCATAAAGTTTACTACTTAAAATATAATTACTCTGACGATTTGATGTTAAAAAAATTATATGACATAAACAAAAATTATAAAAAAAAAAATACACAAACAGAAGGCAATATTTTTTAGAAATATAACTGAAGTGATTGAAAATTTTTCAATTTTTCTCGATACTAATCAGTCATCTACATTATAATTCTGATTAATCCATATATGGACTTCAATCAAAGTGTAATCATCCATTTCTTTTACAATCTTAGAAATATTAAAGTGTACAGTGATATTTAAATGAAAAATATTTAATTTTTATTAAAACTTCATCCCATTATAATCGTCACCTAAAATATTAATTAGGGAAGACATTAAAAAAACAAAAAAGCAATGAAATAAAATAGAGATAATTTTTAACATTTATTATTTTGTAAGTTAAAATAAAAGATAAAAAATATTTAAGAAAATAAAAAAAAATATAAAAAATTTAAAATTCATTTGTGCCATTTTAAGCTACGCATAAATGTCAGTTCAAAAAGTTAATACTGCAGGGAAATAATGTAAAATTATATACAAGCTAGATAAATTAGATACATGTAAGTGCACTAATGTATTTACAAGTTTTTTTTTTTTATTTTATTTTGCTACACAATATAAAACATTCCAGCAATAACTCTTCCAATGAAATGAAAATACCTCAGTCATAATTAATATATACATACATATAAAAAAAATTTTAATTTTAAAAATAATTCATTAATTGTAAACGTATTCAACAACCTACCTCATTAATGTTAAAGTGAAAAAGAAATGATTTTTTTATAACAATATTAACTTTTTTTAATTAAAAGTAACATATTCAATTTATATCTCAAGTAATCAGTAACTTAAATACAAAATAATTTTTAATAAAATATTTTATAATTATTTTTTTTTTGTATTTTCAACAACAAATGAATTTTAAAAAACACTTATGTAAATCATACTATATACTAATGTTTATGCATGTAAAATGTTATCAAATGATATTAATTTAAAATAATAGGTATAAATATATATATAGAATTTATTAAAATTATTTACAAAAGAAAATAGCAAGTTTAAAATTAAAAACACAAAAAATTAAATAAAAAAAAAATAAAACATGAATGTAACCATAAAAGAATAATAGTTGATTGGGTAACAATTTTTTAAACTACGAAGACATAATGCTTCTATATAACAAATGTGTATGTGGAAAAGGGCAAGGTTAGATATATCTTATTTGCGAATTTCTCTTTTAAACGTATATTAAACAGTATGTACTTGCAAAATATTGATAAAAATAAAATTGAAAACTTTCACGCATAACATTTTCTAAATAATTTTACTATAAAACGAATTACAATTGGAAAAAAAAATATTTTTTGATATATTATTAGAGAGAAATAAAAAATTTCTTAAAATTACCAACGCCTCATTGAATGTCATCTTCCCATTTTAATTGTAATGTTATTAATTTAAATTCAATGTGAAGACATTTTGCATTTAATTTTTCAAAGACTAACTATGTCTAGAAAAATGTACATACATACATATATATTTAAAATATATGAAAATAGATCGGATTCTTCAAAAGTAAACGAAACAATTAAAAAAAACTGCAAAATACAAACCCTTATGCTAAATAGCATTCACTGAAAACGTTACATAATTACAAATTTTTACAAAATTACATAATTTTTAAATTACTGAGAAGAAACTGGTTATATATAGAAAATAAAAACAGTATACATATAATAAAGAAAAATGTTTAGGGTAAAATTAAAATAAATTAAATTAAATTATAAAAAATAGTTATAAATTATAATAAATTTTAATAATTATATTATATAAACATTAAAAAAAAAAAAATTCTTAATTTTCAAAAATTTCTTAATTTTTAAAAATTTCCATTATTTTTGAATTATTAGTTTTTCCGTTCTGAGTTAATATATTAAGATAATAACGTAATTATATATTAATTAAATTCTGTTTTGTAAACATAATATTAAATTATATTAAAAATAACATTTTAAATTGTATTAAAAGCATATAAAACGCCTTTGCTTTTCTTTTTTCTTTTAAAATTGTTTAATGTTTCAATAATAGCTATAATTACAGTTTGTCATATTTTTTCAAAAAGAATATTTATTTTTAAATTAAAAGATAAACTATGAAAAATTACACGCCATTTTTATCTTATGTATAATTTAATGCAATTGTAATATTATTGATTTATAATATTATGAGTTATGACGTTTCCCTTTAATTTATATATTAAATTACTTTAATCATAATTAAAGTAATTTAATCATTTTATAATTTTTCTATGAAGAAATATTAAATTACAAATTATTATTTTCTTATAATCGAATATTAATTAACTTAAGTTTATACCGAAATTAGTTTTTTTTTTATAATTTGTAAAATTTTAATTCAAGAAAAAAACATTAAGTTATTCTTATTTTTTATAATTCTTTTTATTTTAATAAAAAAAAAAACAAAATTTAGAAAAAATAAAAGTTTTACTGTTTGAATTATTTTGGTTACCATTGTACATACTATATTATAAATAATATGAAATATGCGCAGAACACTTGTCGTATTTTAATTAAAATATAGGACTAAAAATATTCGAGTTAATTAAATTAATTACAAAAAAGAAAAATATTCTTCGGAGAATATTAATTTATTTTTAAAGTTTCCTGCCATTCGGTTTGAATTAACCAGATTTCTTTTACTACATTATAACCTTAAATTTGTATAAATATAAACAACGATTTTTATTTCTGTAATTATTTTCTTTTTATTAAATAATTTGCACATATTTACGTTTACGTGTTTGAGTTTGAATAAAATATAAAATAAGAATTTTTTTCTGTTATAATGTACAAGTTTAAAAGTAATAATTTCATAAAAAGAAACCCATTAATACTTACATAAATATATTAAAGTTAAAGAATTTCCTATACAAACTTGAGTACAAGAAAGCGCAAGAAAAAGTATTAGGTATTTCTACATTTTAAAGATATATGTATATTTAATACTTATTTTTTTTTTAATTTTTTATTTAACTCAGTCTATCACGAATATTATATGTATAGAACTTTAAGTTGCCCCTATTAAAATTAAAATTGTTTCTTTAAGTAAAATACTTTAATTAATTAAAAATATATTATTTTAGAAATTATTAATATAAGCGTTATGGTAATATATTTTAATCTAGGAGTTGCTTACTTATTTACAAGTAGTTAATTATTGTGTTACATAATAAAAAAGAAAACTAAAATTGAAAAAATGTACTTTAAAATTAAATATTAAGTAAAACAATTTACATTTACGGCAAAAAAATAATAAACGTACCGCTTAAAATGATTTACAATAAAAATAATGGTTTTTTCTTTATCATTAAAATTAATATTCCATTCCTTTTTTATTAGGTCGCTTCACAAAGTTGGCTGTAATTAGTTATCTTAACTGAAAAATAATAAGCTCCATCCCTTGAAATTTTTTCACTAAAAATTTTTAATTTTTTAAAACAATGTATGTATTGATCTTAACATATATATACATATAGTTTGACGTTATCCAAAAGATAAACTGTTATTACCTAATCAAGCTATTTACTAAATAAACTATTCTCGGGGTTTATTATTTATTGATATTTAAAATAGGTATTTTTTTATTTTTGTTTCCTGAAGGAGTTTATTAAAAAATTGATATACACTAATATTCTGTTAATCGAGTCACTTGAGATAATGGGATTATTAAAAGGTATTTTAGTTTTCAGTTTGGGGTTCAATTAATAGCTCAGTTTGGTACTGGGTTGTTATTCAAAAATTCAAAATTTTTTCATAACAATCCATTACATCAATAATCTTTTTCATTTATTAAAAACAAAATATACACTTTTAACAGGTAAGTCCACTCTGTGGTTTTCAATTTCTTTTGAGGCCTTTTTGAACTGCATATCCTACTTCTTATTCTGATTTCGTGTAAACTAATTACAAAAATATAATGGATTTTATATATGCGATGGTTAGATACGTAAGTTTAAATATCCAAGTAGATGGTTAACTTTTTTTCATCTACCATAAAATTTCATACTTTGAATTGAGAATTAAAAACGACTTTAATAAAAAAAATTGATGAATATTAATTCATTCAACATTTTTCTTTTAACTTGGAATTCAAACTGAAATTTTACAAATATAAAAAAGAAAAATTAATTTACATATTTGAATTTCTCACGAAAGTAATTTTTGAAAAAAAATTGGTTGATATTTTTAGCTCTATTGATTTTATATATGTTTTTTTTTATTTAAAATTCAAATTTTAAAAAAATCTATAGGCACATTTGTTTGAAAAATACCTTTAAAAAAAAATTGCAATTTTTAACGTCTTCCAAATGAAAATTGAAATAGTAATGGTACTAAGTTAAAGAGAAAAAATTTCGAATAAGAAATTTTATTTAAAAAGTAATTGAAAGAATTAAATTTTAAATACATACATACTAAATAAAATGAGAATCAGAAATAATACTGAAAAAAATATTTCAACCGCAAATTTTTGGGCCGGCCCATTTTCCGCAATTAGTCATATTTGGCCAAATTTCTCAATCATAAAGAAAACTTTAATTTTTCTTTTTTTTTAAAGGTTTTTTATATAAAATTTAATTAGAAAAATATGATAGACAAAAGACCTTTAATATTAGTATATAGGTCATTTGCATTACACTATGTTTTACTTGTAAAATGTCGCAAATTTACTTGTACAAGTCTTGAAAACTTACTTGTAAAAGTCTTTGGTATTGTAACTTGAATTCATATATGTATGTTTTGCTGAAGATTTCACTTGAAACTTTATACATGTACTAAAAAGTTTTCAGACTTAATTCAGCTGGCCAATAACGTAACCTAATGTTAAAATTAAAATAAAAAAAAAAAAAATTTAAAAGCTAACTACAAATAAACGTTTTTGTTTTCAAATTCACGATATTATCCATTTAGAACCTCTTATTTGAAAATTTGGCCCATTAATTTTGTTAACAGTGGCAGCTCTCGTACAACGAATTAGAAATACTAATGGAAGTAGAACTTTCTTTCCATCACGCTTACACTCAGTAAAAAATCATACCTTGAAAAAGCAGATAGTGAAACCAAAAACATCAGGTAAGTCTCTTGACTCAGTGCTCCAAGCACTGTCATACTGAAATTTACATTAAATACCAAATATTTTTTTTTTTTTTTTCAAAAAAGTACGCCGTCCTTGATAAATTATAAACAAAAAAATTCTGTGCAAAGTTATGACATTAGTGTGAATTATAAATGAACTCTTGAGAAAAAAAAAATAAAACAAAAATGTTTTAAAAATGTATTTTTGCTTTAAAAAAAATCGTAAATAATTTTTAAAAAATGGAAAAAGGAAAAAAAAACTTTGCAAGAAAAAAGGGCATAATTCCAAATTTTTATTCTCAATTAAATAATAATACGATACCGTAATATGATTTAATTTTTTGACAAGTCGTATTAACTTTAACATTTACTTTAATATTTTCAAAAAATAACTGAGTTATTTTTTTATCCAATTATTCTAAAAGTAATCTCAACCTTATTATTTATTAAAATTTAAGTGAGTTAGTATTTATTTTTTGTCTCGTAAAAGAACATTCTCATTCTTGTTACTTAAATTTTCTTTCCACTCAGACCTCTCTCTATCCATAAACCAAAAAGTGGAAGCATTGGTGTTGAAAATTTAAATTTTTTCAAAAAAAAATATTGAAGATGGACCACTATACAGTTCTATTACCGAAATGTCAAATTCAAACTCATTTTTCTCATATGTCACTACATGAACATGACTCCATGAGCCGTCATTAATCATTTTATTCATATTTCATTTCATGAAAAAGTAATTTTTTTGGTGTTTTTTACAATTCGAATTTTTTACTTTGATAGGAAATATACATACATATAATTTATCGTGAGGTTAAATGTTTTTATTTATTTATTTTAATATGTTTAAGTAGATTGCGTTTAAAAAACGAGATTAGGTTGACTTTTTATTTTTATTCTACAACAAAATTTAATTAGGTTAATCAATCCTATTAAAGCCGCTTTATATACAATTAATGAATTTAAATTGCAGAAAATAAAACTTCACTATGAGGCGGAGTTTATTATTCACTTTGGCCCCAATTTTATTTATATTGGCAGCGGTTTATGGACATATAGAAAAAGTTGAATCTCAATCTGGATCTGGAGATGACGGTATTGTGGAAGTAGATGTAAGTAGAAAATTGCAAATTTTAAATGATAGTACATATTACATTGAGGTTATATGTATGCATTTTGAATGAAAAGATGATGTGTACTTTTATTGTTTAAATTGTACTTAACATTTAGATAACTTAATCTATTAATTACATGCTCATATCTATAATAAATATTTTTCAATTTTAAAAACATAAAAAATGTGATTTCGGAAGAAATATTTTAATTAGATAATGTAGGCTCTACCCACCTACCTACTTTCATACATATAAAACTATTTCTGTTAAAATATTCATTAAAAATGAATTGTTGAATTAATAAAACTTTTTTGTAAAGTAAATAATGTAGGTAAATATTTATTCAATTTTTATAGGAAGAAGCGAATGCAAATTCTGTAGATGAGGCAGAAGAAAACAATGATGAAATGGAAGATTTCGGTGATTATGTGAGTGAAAATTTCGATGTTAATCGATTTTTCTTTGGGGAGCATTTTGATGATCTAAATAGTTTCTCAAGAAATTGGATAAAATCAATGGCAAAAAAAGATGATATAGACGATGCTATTTCAAAATATGACGGGTTATGGGAATTAGAGCTTCCCAAAAGACCACTTTGGAAAAACGATTTAGGACTTGTATTGAAATCTAAAGCAAAACACGCTGCGATTTCTTCAAAACTATATCGTCCTTTCATTTTTAAAAGCAAACCTTTTGTTGTTCAGTACGAAGTAACTTTACAAGATGGACAAGAATGCGGGGGGTCTTACTTGAAGCTGTTATCAAAATCTGCAGATACCGATGATTTAACCAAGGTTTTTTTTGTATTGTAATATTTATTTATGTTAAGTTTTTAATTATGGTCCTTATTTAGTTCAATGACAAAACACCATATACTATTATGTTTGGGCCTGACAAATGTGGAAATGACATAAAATTACATTTTATATTTCGGCATGTTAATCCAATTAACGGTACAATATCCGAAAAACATTGTCGTAAGTCAAAGTGAGTATTACGTCACCTTTCATCTTCTGCATTTTTGAACACAGTTTATCGATTTTATTTTTAACATGTTTTTTACTTTATTATTCTTTTTTTCGTTTAGGGAAAGACTAGAAGAACTTTTTAAAGATAAAATGCCACATTTATATAGACTTTTAATAAAACCGGATAACACATACCAAATAAGTGTTGACCACAAAGTTGTAAACGAAGGTTCACTTTTAACTGATTTCACACCGCCTGTAAACCCTCCTCGCGAAATTGACGATCCAACTGATGAAAAGCCCAAAGATTGGGATGAAAGGGAAAAAGTATATTTATTTATAATTTTGTCATTTAATATATTTTATGAAATTAAATAAAGATTCCAGATCCTGACGCGAAAAAACCAGAAGATTGGGACGAGGATGCTCCACCAAAAATACCTGATCCTAATGCTGTAAAACCTGACGGTTGGTTAGATGATGAGCCAGAAATGATACCAGGTAACAGAGGACGTTTTTTGAAATATATATAAATTAAGATTTATTTAGATCCAAGTGCGAGTAAGCCAGAAGATTGGGATATTAGTATTGACGGTGAATGGGAGGCTCCCTTAATCGACAACCCTGCATGCGAAAAAGCAGTTGGATGTGGTGAATGGAGTCCGCTTTTGATAACGAATCCAGAGTATAAAGGCAAATGGCGCCCACCAATGATAGAAAATCCTAATTATCAAGGAAAATGGAGCCCACGTAAAATTTTAAATCCTGATTTTTATGAAGATCTAGAACCATTTAAATTGACGCCAATTGTAAGTATATTGAGAGCGCAATCCATGTACATATAAAATAAGAATTTTCTCAAACAAAATATCTAATTAGGCTGCTGTTGGTATAGAATTGTGGTCCATGTCTAGTGACATTCTTTTCGACAATATTCTAATTACTGATGAGATAAGTTTAGCTGATGAATACGCCTCTAAAACTTTTGATTTGAAGAAAAAATATCTAGATAAAGCATCGGTAAGTAGTAAATTAATTAAGTCTTTATATATGAAATAACATTATAATTTGTAATGACAATCAAATCAAAATGATTAAAAAAATTAAAAGAAAACCTGGTGGGGAAGGCTAATGCGTCATATGAATTATAAACCTTGGTGGTGGGCTCTGTATTTTACATATGTTGCCATACCATTTGGTTTATATGCCCGGTTTTTAAGAAATGCAAAAAAGGTAACGATTTTTGTGGAATTAACATAAAAAATTTTTTTAAAAATCGAATACAAGAAAGCATTAATATGCTAGATTTAAAATAAATATAGTATGTATGTATACTCCAAATAACATTATTCAATTATTATTAATAACATTGGTAGTTTTAGACTTTAAGCAGTGTTTAATTATATGCTAGAACAAACAAACATTGCTGCAAACTTTCTTTAATTAGTTGCAAAATAACGTAAAACAAAACTGCTATAAAACTAGTTCAAAATCCAAAATTTTAAATGTCCCTTGTGTGTTACATAAAAGTATGCTAATGAAACCATGTATACAACCTTAGTAATCTTAAGTATATCATATGTTTTTGCAAATTGTAACAGTAAAGGCCAAAAGAACAAATATCAAGCTTATTCTGTTTATGACTTCTGCCAACAATTTCCATGGGTTGGCGTGAACGTCAACGTAATCGCACTGCAAATAAAAACAAAATAGTTAAAAAATTTATATATGAATATATCCTAGAAAAAAATATTCTTACTTTAGTAAAATTCATTCCAAGGAAAAATCTAATAATGCGGCTATAAATAACTCTCAACAACCATTCACTTGGGCTTAACAATGGTGAGAAATTTTTTAAGCACAATATAAGAACATGTAGAAAATATGTAAAAGTTGATATAATTGAAACACCAATATACAAATCAACTAAAAATTATATTAAATGTTGTATAAATTCGTTTAATTATTCTATAAATAAATTCTTTTACCCAATGATGATTTGGAATAATTTGTAGTATGTTTTGACAAAAATAAGAGCGATGTTAAAACAATTACAATTGCTAAAAGGTTAACGAGTCCACGTTTTTCTTCTTTTAAAATAAATGATAGTATAATAAAAGTTATTGAGGCTAAAAACGAAATACATATTAAAATAAATATTTGCATAAAATTATTTTAAAATTTACTAAATATTGGAGGATAATAAACACATAAATAGAAATTTTTATTTTTCTTTAGAAGAAATTCTACGACTAAGTCGGTTTTATCCAATTTGTCTAAAGATGTATAATTATTTACTCTCCAAAAAATAAAACTATTTACAGGCAGAAAATTTAAATTAGAATTCTTGTTATAACATAAACGAACATTTTCGTGTGCTTCTCCTATTCTTATTTCGCATGATAAATTCATAAAAGGCCAATTTGAAGCGCTCTCACACCAAGTGGATATTTCAGTGTTTTTAGCCTCTATCTCAATTTTTCCATTTTCAAAAATTTTTTGTTTAACTCCTCTGAGTGAGACACCCTTATGAGTACTTTCAGCCCCACTAAAATTTTTTGTAAAATACATATAAATAAAAAACTTGTAATATTTTATATTTTTTATACTTATATATCACCAAAATTGGTAACCATATATTATATTCTGTACCCGTTATTATATTGATATCCCCAAATTCAGAAGAGTTCCATTTTAATCTTGAATCTTCCCAAATCTGTATAAATTTTTATATGAACTTTAATAATTAATATTAACGAAATCTGAATATATTTAAATAATTCTACCATTTTTATTGAAATACGCGTTTTCAAAATAGATTTTTTCTCATCATGAAAAGCTCCATTTATGTGAAATATAATATTTAACTTGTTTAAATTCAATGGTTTATTGTATGGATCGTATTCTGTAAATAAATAATGCTCCAGACGTTCCATATCTGAAATTTTTCTATTCTCCATTGTAATGTCATATTCTTGAAAAAGTATTAAAGAAGCAAAATTTTTTTAAATGTAATAAAAATTGATAAATTATAAAATTATAAACATTTGTTACCATGCCCGTTAAATTTGCAATCATAAAACCACTTAGCTGGTATTCCCCCATATGATTTAAAACTAACAAAATTAATTAATAATGGATTATTGTCAATAAAACTGATATATTCCTCGTTAAATATCAATACTGTTAATTTACCATCTGAAATAAATTACTTTAATTTAACAACAACTTAAAAAAATTTGAACAGGTTAAAACCTATTGTTTGACTAATCTCAATTGGTGTTGGGATCCAAGGATCAAAATTTATTGAACCATCGACTCGTGCAACTCCATCAGAATTCAACTTCGCTCTTATAGTTGAATAGGTATTTTGTCCAGCTCCAATTACTACCAAAATTATTTCAATTAATTAAAATTATTACATTAAAATTTCATTGCTTTCTATATATTTCACCTATATCATAAACCTTGTCGCTCAACTGTGGTGAATCGGTTTCTGATAGTAAAATATGGGCATCCATTAATGTTAATGTAAAAAAATTAAGTCTTATAAGTTCGTTTTCTGATCTATTGTTTTGCTCTAAATTATCGACCTTAAAAAATTCTTTATAAAATGAATCGTTAACTTGATATTCTTGGCATGTTTTCAATTGAGTGAAAGTAAATTCATGAGAAATCGAAAATTTTAAATAAAAAAGTAAAATCGTTAAAATTATTGCTATTTTATACATTATGCTAACGATGATGCTTTATACTGAACTTATAAATTCAGAATATACTATTATATAAATTCATAAAAATAAAAAGATAAGAACTTTTTCTCAATTTCATTGTTCTATTTAAATGTTTTTTCTTTTTCTTATGATGCTTTTTTTCAGTAATTTTTACGATTACTCCAAGCTTTCGTCTCGGAAAAAAACTACTTAAAGGAAAGTTCTAAAAAACAATAACATATGTTAATCAATACGTAATTAAAGTGAATTAAAATGTGTGAAGCCATTTATTAAAGTCGGGGTTTATTATTTACTAAACTTTGATACCTACTCTAGTTATGTACATGTACGTTATTGGTCGATGAAATTATCTTCAATGAACAATTTACTAACTGAATTTAAATTTTAATTTAAAAATGCTAAACCAAAGACATCGGTTTAAAAGTCGAAATGGTCGTCGAAAATCATAAAAATCTTTGTACGGAAATAATTAAGTAAAAAATGATAAAAATTATTAATTTATCAATTGACCATCTTTAATCTTAAAACGAAAAAAGCATTTTAATTTGATAACTTTTTTCGGAAAACAATTTTGTTTTATTTAAAAAAATTTAATTGAAAATTAATTGGAAATAATTGAATAAAGATGTTAATTTCATTGTGCGTTTGCAATTATTTAGATAGCCAAATGTTCTAAATATTCTATGTATATAATTAATTATATAGGATTTTTTAACTTCTTGTTCACTAAATGTGTATAATATTTATTTCTAATGTATCGCTAAAATATATTTAATTCATTGTATTTTTCAGCAAACATTCCTAAATAGATTTATCAGTTATTCCAATGAAAATCCCTGGTTATGGGGAGTTTATATTTTAGTTGTAGGTACACCATTATCATTTACAATATATTCTTTATGTTGCGCATCAAGTAAGGTAATATTTTTGATTTGTAACGCCAACTATTTTATTGCTTAAATAAAAATTTAATTTAAATTATAATATAAACGAAAAATGTTTCTAGTAATATGTGTTTTATTTAGGAGGAAGATGAAAAAATTGCTGCAGGTAGGGCAAAAAAAACAGATGAAGTTACACCAGATGATGAAGAGAAAGAAGCTGAACAAATAAAACAAACCGAGGCAGAAATACGAGAATCTGAAATCTCTAGTCTTAAAAGTAAAAAGTCTGATTTAGAAGTAAATAGTAAAGCTGGAGATACTGAAAATAACAGTGAAGAAGAAGAAGAAGAACAAGAAGATGAGGAAAATATTGAAAACGAAGAAAATGATACAACTGAAGCTAAAATAGAAAATATTGATGTAAGAATTTTTGCATATATTGAGAATAGTATGTTAAAAAATTTTTATATTGTAGGATTCAAATTTGCAACCGTCTCCAGAGGGAACAAGAAAACGAAGAACACGTAGTAATAAAGTTTAAAAATATTCCAAATTCTAAATAAATAAGAATTAAATTTTCGTAAACATATGAGGTTATATAATATTTTAAAAAATTTATGATATTTCTAATTAGATTTATAAATTTCCATAAGAAACTTGTCTGAATTTGAAGTGCATCATATTTTTTGTTTTCTCTCTTCAATGAAAATTTTTGGTAATAATTAGAATGTTTTTAGTTTTATTTTAATGTAATTTGCCTATGAGTTTTTGTGTATTTTATTTTTAAAACCAAAGAAGTTTTCAAATATTTGATTTAAAAAAAGATTTAAATAAGCAAGAACATGTAATTTTTTTTTCAAATTTCTATCAGGTCACTTATATATTTAATTTGTAATTGAATAGAAAATGAATTTTATTTTAAATGCTACAATGTAATGTTGCGAACTATGTATTTATTGTAAAAGAAAGGACATGTTTTTAATTACATACAATAAAAATTGATAAAAATCTAGGAATATTTTAAGTATTTTTTTAATTAAAATTTAATCAATTTAATTATGATTGCATGTAGGCCTTAGAACTTAACAATTAATAATTTGTTGAAATAAAAAGTAAGTTATGATTGATTTATTATTTAATTTATCGTATATATTTGAGCTAATATTGCAGAACTTTAATTCCCTTTATATAAAAGAAGATAGTAAAGTATAAGAAAATTTACATAATGTTTTAAAATCAAATATTTTTTATTCAAAAATTACCAAACACATTTCGCAAATTTCAAAGTAAAAAAATAAATAGTTTCATAACGAAAATAAAATTGGGTTTATAGCAAAAACCAGTTTTTTTTATAAACGAAAATACGAGGTTTCCTAAAAAATTTAAATTTTAATCAAAATAATCTTCAATATCTATATTTGGATCCAATAAATCTTCTTTGTATGGCGTTAAATCTAATTTATTGAGAATTAAGTTTTCGCAAGTTTCTTCCAGACCTGTTTCCCCTATCAATAATGCCCCTTTTAACTTTCCATTATGTAAAACAAATTTTATATATTCCTTGTCAGGTGTCACACGTAACAGAATTTCATAATTCTTATCTAAACCTTGCCCATTATATCTTCCTAAAAGTACAACTTGATATCCATATAATTTTGTAACATGGCCAAAGAGTTCGAAGCAAAAGTCTTGCGTAGCCGTTTCTCCTTGGAAAGCTGCTGCCATTGCTTTTCCAGCCATGGCACCCATCTGTCTTGCTTGAGTCCATAGACGCATTTGAAACCAGTCATCGGATAAATCCCAACTGGCGCAACATATATCACCAGCGGCGTATATGAAATTTAAATTGGTACGTTGCAGTTCATCAACGCAAATTCCGCCATCTGGACCTAGTTTAAACTCTTTATCACATTTAAAAGATATGCTGGGATTAACTCCTGTAGCTGATACAACGAAATCAGCATAAATTACTTCATTGTTACTTAAAGTGACTTTTAAAGGAAAGGGATTTTCACAATTTTTAGTTTTTTCAATTTTTACCACTTCCACTTTATAATGAATTTTAACAGATTCTGGTAAATCCTCCAAAGTTCCTGCTATATCAATTTTTCTATGCCAATCTGGCCCTAAAGCAGCACCTTTTTTTTTCGAAAACATCAAATTTTCTTCCGAATACCTAAAATTATATAATTAAATTAAGTATATTTGTTTTTAGAATAATTAGAATATGTTTAAAAAAATTAAAATGCCCTTACCTCATTCGTTTTGCAACAGTTTCTTCACTTGTCTTGTTCTTATTTTTTAATTTATTTTGGAAAAATTCTGCTGCACCAGGGTCGACAAATGTTGATGATATATATTCATCCTTTATTACCCAGTCTATTATTATATTCTTCGCTTCGAATGCCACTTCTGACGCAATACCACCATTTCCGACAAGTACTATTTTTTTCGAATTTTTTATTCTTTTTTGAAATTCTAAAACTGATTCTGTATCTCTGATCCCAATAACGTATTCGTTGTCTTTTTCAATGAGTTTCGGATCTGCACCAGTACAAAGGCACAAATAATTATATTCATATGTATTTCCCAGCTTCGTTGTTATAACTCTTTTTGATGAATCAATATATTCTGCAGTGTCTATAACAACTTTAATTTTATCTTTTAATGTATCAATTGAACACTCTTCCACGTCAAACTTCGTAAGTGATTTTGCAAGAGGAATCAAATTTTTTACGGCTTTGATTAAGGATGACTGCGTTATTAAAATAATTTTTGCGCTCGGACATAAAAATAGTAAAACTTCAGCACAAGACACACCAGCTATACCTCCACCAACAATAACAAATGTCGCAGTTTCCATTTCCATTGTCTCGTTATCAAAAATTATTTAACTATTATAGGAAAAACATTAATTTTTAAATTTCAAAGCTCTGTATATAAACATAATATTTATACTTTAGTGTGCAAGCAGATTATTATGTTGTAAACATAAACCTAGAGTTGATTTGTTTGACACTTTGTATATGCATTTGTATACATGATATGATCACGATTGACAGAAATATGGATATATTAACTTCAACAACAAAAAATGACAGAAAACCTTTATTTAAGATTTATTTAATTTATTTGCTTTTATTTTGGTTTTTCCAACTAATATTTTCTACATATATAAATGTTAAGATTTGTAATATTCTGTGTAGTCATATTCTCTAAATGGAACGTCAAAAGTCAAAAATCCATAATCCATAGCTTTTTCTACAGCAACCAACAATTCTAAATGTCTTCTTTGGCATAAACCAGTTTTTGTGTAACTTAAAACCTCACCGGTGTGCTCTGATATAAACTGTTTTAATAAATCTACATTACGGTGATCCAGAACAAGGTATTCGTCGCGGCAAATAGGACAAGGGTTTCCAGTTGAAATCTTTCCGCCCCGTATACACATCTTTCTAGTTTTCCTAGGCGCATACATACCCTTATGATTTCGTCTGTAGGAAAAGCAGTTAATTTTCATAGCTTCTTACATATACTGTGCTACAGACTTACCTATATTGTTCCCAAACATTTGAAGTACCATAAGTTTCTTGATAAGCCGCACTTTTTAGGTATCTTATACTTTGTTCAACGGGTATTAATTTTGTCCTATCAGCCTTTATATCCTTTTCATTTTTAACTTTTAAAACTTCCGATTCTTCTATGGAAGCTCCTTCATTAGCATCACTACAAAAATTTACATTATTATTTGGCAGGACAGTTAGTATTGGATTAGATTTAATCACAATCTGCTGAATATTTAATCTAAGTAATCGTAACATTTATGAAATAATTCGAAAAATCTTTATGCACTAAACTCAAAACTTAACCCAAAATAAAAGACTTGTTTTCTTTCAATAACAATAATGTGTATATGTATATATATTTCTTGACACAACCAACAAAGTATATCTGTCAGCCGTCTAAGTATTTGGTATAATTTGGATGAAATGAAAACTTTTTCAAAGTCGATGTGGGGCGAGCATATCAAATATATCGATATATATCGAAGAATTTTAAACGATATTTACTCGATATTTAAAATTCTGATTAATCAGCTTATCGATACTTCCCATCTTTTCTATTTCTTAAATACCATTCTACAATACGAAAAAATATAAAATTAAATCATAGACAAAGTCTAATTACTGCTACGCATCAAACTGTAATTGTCTGATGGCGCACAGATTTTGTATTAAAATTTAATAATTTTGCTACAAATATCGTAACCATAACAAAAGTCAACTGACCGCTGATTCGAATTACTACAAAAAATTAATTGTCGTCATTTTTCTTTGAAAAATCTGACAGCAAATTCGATGAGAATAGAGTAATTTCAATTATTTGCCATCAGACAGAGTTTGATCATATTAGATTAAGTCGTAGATTTTATCGTCTGTATAAAAAGCTTTAGTTACTTTTTTTTTAAAAAGTAATAAAGAAAACTAAGACGGAAGCTATTTTAATGTACATACTTATAAATTCTATGAAATCTGCACTAGTACTCTTTTCGAAAGTATATATCATATTTTTGACGATAGGATTTTATCTGCTTCTCGATGATAACACAATGTGGTTTTGCGATTACATATCTATTTCTAATTTTGAAACAAAACATAAAAAGTAAAAAATATATGTGTTTATATAATATTGACACACTTTAGTAATTATATTAACTCTATTTTGTTAAAAAAATTAAATACACAAACATAAATGTTATAAGATTTTTAATTCAAAAGTAGATGTACATATGTAAAAACGCGTTTCGCATAAATTAAATGTTAGAAGAGGTCTACATATGTATATTCTTTTTAAGACTAATGTTCAAAACCCACATTAGCGTTTTAAATTATGTATATGTGCATTCAAAATACTGTATATATCGATAAATCGGTAATTTTTTTGAGAATACACCCAACTCTTTTTTTACACGGTAGATACGTTCCAACGAAAACCGTGTAAACAAAAAATCGTGTAAAAAAAGACATGCTACTCATATTAAAATTGAGGATGTGTTCTACAATTTAAAAAACCGTGTAAGATCAAAAAAAGAGTTTTAGGTTGACCTGCAAAAAAGTATAATATTAAAAACCAGCAACTATTATAATGAAAAAAAACGTATACATATTTAATGTTTATTAATATTAAAAACAAAAACAAAATACAGTTCAAACATATTATGATTAAAAAAGTATAAAATAAATAAAAAACAAAATATAATTCTAACATATTAATATTAAATTTACGCAATAATATTACCATTTTGTTGTAAGTAAATTGAAACAGAAATTATATTGGCACTAAAACTTATAACAAACAAATATTTTTTTCTTCGACACACTTTTAAATATAATTATGTTTACATTCTTAATGATAACGCAATTTTGAAAAACAGACAAATATAAAGTGCGACTAAAAAAATTCTGGGAATCTCCCCAGTTATTTTTTTTTTTTTTGTAACTGGGTGTACAAAAATTTTTTTGAATACCGTGTTAGAATAAATAATTCGTGTAAAAAAAAACATATTTTTTGCTTTTTGTGAACCGTGTTATTTCAAAATCGTGTAAAAAAGACCGTGTACAAAGAGAGTTGGGTATCAAGTATAAACAAAAAAGCACTCATCCGATCGATATATCGTATCGATATTTTTTTTTTTTTTGAAAATCCCAACGATATTCAAAAAAGCATTGCAAGTTTAACGTTTTAGTAATATGTGTATATCATCGATTTAATTGTACATATGTAGATAATAAAATATGTTGCTTTTTCGTTTTTTTTACAACATAAAAAATGTTGCCAAAAACTGTTTGCAAATATGGTTAGGAAATATGACTATAATTATCTTTTCAATAAAAATTTTTAATTTTTCAAAAATATATAGACACACATATTTTTACTTTCGACATACATAATTATTCGAAATTAAAACAAATTATGTTTACTTATGTCATGTATAAATTATTGATCGGAAAACAAAATAATTTTTTGTTAAATGTTGGCGAATATTTTTTTCTCTTAAATCTAATGTTATGCGTTTTCCTTCATGATAGAGCTCAATTTTTACCGAAAATTTATCTATAATTTTGATTAAATATATTTTCAAGTTTTTTTCGCATTATTTTGTACCTTCATGTCAGGCAACATATCTGAGAGAATTGAATGTAAAAAATGTTAATACACTGAATAAAAAAAAATTTTATTAGATTTTAATTTAGAACTTAAGTTTGTAATTGTTTGTATTATTTTAAGTTTTATAATCATTATAGTGCTTTTAAAATTTTATAATCATTATAAAAAATGCGTCGTTTCAAGTTGTCCCCCATGTAAAAACAGACATAATAAAAATATTATAAAGAAACTTGTAAAAGTTTTAAAGTTCTCGATGCAGTAGTTTAGGTAAATCAGTTAATTAGCCTTACTAACAATGTGAAAATACTTCCTAATAAAACTAAAATCACATACATACCTAAAAAGAATTACATATATGGAATGTTAATCCAAAAAAATTAACATGCCATCATTTGTATGAATTATGAAACATATGTATAAATTTAATTAATATAGTATACACATGAAAAATATATAGATATGGATGTATATATGTATATATGTGATTATATAAGAAGTATGCATTCTGGGAGAGATACATATGTATATAAAATTAGAAAACTCGTTAATATTAAATGTACATTTCCTCAAATTTAAAAATATACATCAAAATCGACTAAATACTTCGAAAAAAAAAAATTGCGCTATTTTTTTTTCTTGTAGTGTAGCATTTATTAAAATCTTAAAAAAATTAACAGAACCTGGAAGGGTTTTTTTTAAAAACAATTTTTTCATGTTTTATTAACACAAAATTTGAAAAATGTAAACACTTGTAAAATAGAAAAAGATTGAATTTTAAATTTTTCTAAGTAAAAATGTGAAAAAAGTTGATCTTGTGGGAGATTTATGATGTTAAGAAGGACTCTCTAAAGATCGTATTCTTGTACGTGTAAATTCGTCAGCTGTCATGTCACTCTCTCTTATGGTCCAGGCCTGTATTTCTGCCAACCGCGACTAGCCGTGACCAATCCTAATTTCCTCCTCCATAGAGTAAAAAAGGGGAAAAAACACACAATGCTGATTGGTGATATGCATTTAAGTCATAGTAGGCCAGCAAATACAATTTTTCAAATAAATCATTCAATTATTGATTTTTACTCATTTTTATTTCGTTTCCGTTTATTGTCTTTTTGTAAAGTTTGTAATTATTCTAAATACCATTTGTTCGAAAATAACCATTCATTGTTTTTACCTTTCAAATTTAAATTTTTAAAATTTCAAAATTCATAATATTTAAAGTATATACATACATATATGTACATATGTATGTATAATATATGCATTTATTGATATACAGGGTGTGTCAATAATCAGCACCTCAACATATATCACCATTTAGGGAATCAAAAATAAGTAGAATTTTTGTTTAGAACTAACTAGGTGTCAAATCTCGACGGGTTTCGGGATACAGAAATTTTAACAAAATTTCTACTTTTCCAAGTTCTTTTTCCCTTTCAAAAAAGATAGAAAGTTCAAGCAAACAGTTTTTGAAAGGACTTTAACGTATCTCTCAATTTTATTTTTTATGTACCTTCGGAAAAGCAAAAAGCATTATTTAGTGTTTATAACTCTTTAAATAAAAAATTCATGATAATAAAAAAACAAAAAACTACATGCTTTGCACAATTTTTGCATAGTCTTGTGTTGTAACCAATTGCAAATTAGTTTTTTGCAGTTGAGTCAGTTCGTCTTTTAAGTCGTGGAGGACATGCATATACTTATATGGCAACATTTTTCGTTGTTTTCCTGCAAAAATCTCTGTATGTTGTACGTATGTTTGTATGTCAAAAACAATTCCAACAAAAACTAGCCTTTACTAGAATTAAAATTTTTAATTTTGCTAAAACAAATTCCTTATTGAATTAGATTTTCTTTTTTGAAAGCGTATGTACCATATACGTACGACATCTGATTTTCAATTCTTTGAACATAATTCAAAAAAAACATGTTGATTTTGCAATTATTTATATTTGAATTTCAATAAATTAGTTAGTTACTTATAATAGTTTGAAATACTAACATGAATAAAAATAATATAAAAAAGTAACTTAAATTTTTATACTACTTTTTTTTATATTTCATAAATTGATTAAATAAATATGTATATAACAAATTATAAAATAATAGGTTTTAACACAATATAAAATCTAAAATATTCATTTAATCAACTTCCAGTATGTCGGCTGATAAACGTGCATCTAAAAATTTAAAAAAAAAAAGTTTTTATAAAAATTGTATTACACACATATGTATATACATATGAATATGTATATGATACAAAACAAACCTTTTGTAACACCCTTGTGCGATATCGTCAAACCTTTGGAAGACTGAATTCTTTTTAATGATGATGAAAGTTCCTAAAATTAACGATTTTGAGATAATTTTGGTGAATATTTACATTAATATGTATTATTAATATTCTTAATATTTTTAAATAAAATTTTTTACTTCAGCTAACTCTTTTGGAGTGAGTTTAGGTTTTTTTAAAATAGAATCCACTTTATTTGCAAAATTGGGTCCTCCTCTAATGCTGCTTTCTTGATTTAAAACTCTTTTTCTCTGAAATATACCGCTTTGAACTTGAGTTGGCACAGATTGACTAAAAAAAATTTTATCAAATTATATAAAATTTCGTTTTTTATGTATCTACTACTCTTTACTTTTGTTGTTTACTAGTCAAACCAGTAGCCGGTGGTATTGGTTTTGAGTTGACTGATTTCTTAGAAATTGATATACCAGCATTTATTAATTTGTCTTCTACGGTAGTACTTAGTGGATCTATTAAAAATTTATTTGTCTTTGAAAAATTAGAGACAGTTGTGCTTAAAGAGCTTTGTCCCTTTTGCACATCTTGATTGAATTGCAATGGTAATGATTTTTTTAAAGTAGAACTATTTTTGCTACTCAGAGGCAATGGAATACTATTTGATTTATTTCTACTAACATTTTGTAAATCAATATTTTTTGATATTATGACATCTGAAGTTGTTTGAGAACTACTTTTTCCTTTTAAAGTATTAAGATTAGTTTGTTCTGAATGGATCGAATTCGAAATTACTTGCTTAGCTGGACCATTATTTTTAATTAAATTTGTCGGTCTCCTGACAACTTTAGGACTAGATTGTGACAAATTATTAGCTTGCGATGTATTAATTGATTGAGATTTAATTGTAGAGTCATTTTGTGTCACATTTTTTGCACCAAATCCCGATATTTGCACATTTTGATTTGATAAATTTTTTGCTAAGTTTGTCTTTTGTATTGGCATTTGCTTCGGTTTATTCCCTAAAAATATTTTTGCTTTTTAAATAATGCAATTTCATTAAAATCAATTTAGTCTTTGAAAAGTTCTTAAATTTTCAATTAGTGAAATTCATAAAAAAAAATTCATGCAAGAAAGTCGTAGTTATATAAATTTTACATAATTACAGTTGCTCAAGTACTTTTACGGTACTAGAGGTGAAAAGTAAAAGTCTACAATTTTCTTGCAATCCAAGTAAAATTATAACTTAGTTAAGTAAGCAATAAGATTTCTGTTATTATAAACATTACTCCATCTATTTTAATCACTTTAATTATTTTATTATAAGTATAACTAAATATGTGTTATGTGTTAGTTTTATTATTACCTGATTTTTCATCAAAATCATTTGTAGTTGTTTTTGGAGATCTTCGATTTGATAGCGCATTATCACTTTTCAGGACGTCTAGAGTGACGTTCTTTATGGTATCAGTCTTTTTGTTGTCAGGAAAATGGGTTTTACTATTGGATCTGCTCTGGTTATTTGATGCGTTTGTTAAATGCGTATGTACAAGCGTATTAGAATGAGAATTACTTCCAATTACTGCCTTATCGAATTGACTTGCTTCAGAATTTGATTGAGTTTTTCCATCATTTTGCAAATTGGAAACTATTGCAGAATTATTTGTCTTTAATGAACTATTTAAATCGTTGTTAGATGACTGATTTATTAAGCGATTTTGGGCATTAAGAATTGAATTTGTCATGCTTCCACTGCTGGTTGTCGCTAAACTAGCGGTAAAGTTGGGATGAAGATTATGTTTTCGAAAAGAATTCACTTCATTTTTAGATGCATTAGTAATATCGGTTGTCTTAGCCCTTAATTCACTATTAAACTGATTTTTATTTTGGTTTGATGTGTACATATTACTTATATTAGATGATGAACTTACATAGTTTTCAAACACTCTCTTAAAATTTTCTAAACTTGTATTATTAAATCTATTCAATGAACTATTTAATAAAGAATTTGCACTTGAATACAATGTATTATATGGCGCTAAATTTTGGTTGTAAGTATTTGGATGTGATGACGGAATGTGTAAATTGTCTAATGTCGAATAACTTGGGGAAGAAGTTGGTGGCAAGTCTGTTAAACCTAAACCATTACCTGTAGTCCGATTATTGGGTAACAAGAAGTTGGAATTTAATGAGTCTGCGTATGTCGTACTTTTTGTAAGATCGATACCCCCATATAAAGAATTTGCGTTAGAAAAATACGGAAACATTTCCAAATAATTTTTATTTGCAAAATTATATCCTGGAAAAAATTGAGCTGATGGAACTGGTGCACGTCCTTGATTAAAAATATCGGTCGAGGGCGGAGATCTCTGCTTATATTAGAATAAAAATTAATGCTTATATTATTTGATTTAAAGCAAAACTCACGGGAAAATTTTCAAAACCTGAGATACCCAATTGCTGATTCCCAAAGATGTCAAGACTGTAAAACCAAACATTAAATTAAATAAGAAAAGGTCATAGTTTGTTCACAAACAAACCCGTGTAAATTTGGAAATGCCGCGTTTGCTGGTGTGTTTATTTCAGTTTCATATGCCAACCATGCGTCTTCTTTCTCCTGTTCTGTTAATTCCTGTTCAATTTTATTTTCCAGTAAACTATCATGCTCGTGATATTTAAAAACATACTGAAAATTACGTAACAAATGAGCCAGTATATTATCTTGTGGTAAATTAGGTATTGGCCGATTTGAATAGTCAGGTTTGGTGAGACTAAAATAATAAAAAATAAAAATATGTGCCCTTACGTATATTGTTTGTATTTAATAAAATTTTTAAAGCAACACAATTACGTATATAATTCAGCCAATTCAGCCATACTATAATGCCTATCGATTTGGTGTTCATCTACGACTCTGAAACTCATCGCTTGTTTTGTTACTGACCTTGAGTATACCTTTTCTTCCATTGTACCCTAACAAAGTTACAAAGTTAATAGTTAATTTTAGAACTAATTTAGTTCTAAAAGTTATTATAAATAGTTAATTTTAGAACTAAATTTACAAAGTTAAGTATAAACGAAAGTTAATTTTACAGTTAATAATTATCTTATAACAAAACTTACGAAAGATATTAAGCGGTATATGTAGCAATTTTTCTTTTGCCCTAATCGGAATATTCTGAATATATTTTGCTGATCATTTGAAGGATTCCATGATGTATCTAATATAATTACTCTATTCGCCCCAATTAAATTAATACCTTGCCCACCTGCTTTTGCAGATATCAAAAATACCCTTAAATATATTTTTACACATTAACATTCAAATAAATAGTACTCATATTTGAGCAACTACCTTGCTCTTTCATTTGCAGGATCATTGAATCTCTTAACCATTTCATGTCTTAAAGTTTTTTGTGTTTTCCCATCTAACCTATAATAGTCTTTTCCATTAACCCAAGGACCTTTAAATCTTTCAATGCCCAATTCTAGAAAGTGAATTAATATTATTAAAGTTACAACAAAGATATCAAATAAAACCTTTTGCAGTTTCTGCTTTCTTCTCATTAATCAGGTTCATATAGTATTCGACAACATTTAATACTGCAACAAAAGCTGAAAAAATCAAGCTAAAAAAAATATAAGGTTTATTGTAACCCAATAACAAGAAACAAGCGATTTACCATTTTTCCCGGTTTTCAGTACACATTCGCAGTATTTCAAACATTGTTTGAAGTTTGTTACTTGGCAAAATACTTGTCAAATCTTGATCAGTAAGATGTTTTCGCCACCAGTCGCTAGTTACAGACATGAGTCCAGTTTGGCTATCATAAATATCGTCGGGTTGATCTTCATCTGACGCAATTTCTAAATTAGACTTTTTCTCTTTTTTATTTTTTAACAAAATTGCATTGTTGTATGCATTCTCTAACACTTTGGGATGTGTCCAAATTTTTCGTAAGCAGGTATAATCTGTTAGCAAATTTCTGCCTTTTTTTTCTGAATCTTCTCGCTTTCCTACAGCTTCAAGAAATATTTCATACAGTTTTACCTAGGTGAATAAAATTATTTTCAGGGTGAAAAATATTTTAAATTTTATTCAAATACTCTAATTACCTGAACTGGAGTCATAGGTATGAATAAAACGTATTCAAACTTTTGCGGCAAAAATGTTTTTAGTAAAGCAGCTTCCTTTCGCTTAATATTATATTGATTGTAAAATAAATCAATATTAGTTAATGAAAATCGTTTTTAATTCTTTCTAAAATATTTACCTGAACAAAGCTTGACAAATTTGAGTGTAAAACAAATGATCTTTGTTTCATAATTTTGATTTCCCTTTTACTTGAATCTTTATGCTGACCATTTTTAATTGGGTTGGCATACAAATTTGCAAACTCTTTTTCAGTACCCAAAAATGATGGTTTGATGAAATTAACCATGCTGTAGTCTACAATAAAATTATATAATGATTTGTGTTTGTTTTTATCGAAGTTCATAAAAAATTTGAGTAATTTTTTGGGATATAAATCATGGGCTTATATGCTTACACTCCTTTAAATTATTTTGAATTGGTGTTCCAGTTAACACAATTCTCCTTGGAGTTTTAATTTCTGTAACAGCCTGACTAATAGCAGCCTTCCTGTTTTTAATTATATGGCCTTCATCACACACAACTAAATCAGCGCCTAAAACACATATTTAAAAAAAAAATGTAAAAATGTTATTAAAAAATTAAGTTATATTGAATACTAAATATTTATTATAAAAACGTACCAGGATCTAGCAATGCCTTTTTAACTACGGATTTTATTTCCTCCAAATCAAGCCTAGAACTCCGGTTTTTTTTAGTTGGGTATGAAACTAAAGTTCTGAAAGCCTCATAACCGATTAGAAGACAACCGGAATTATGAGAACCAGAAGTCCCACAACTATGCCACTCTTGCAAAACGTTCATTTTATCCGGAATATCACTAATAAAAAATTAAATAATTCAAAATTAGTTTTAATTGCTTTAAAAATATATTATTTAAGCTTACGATGTGTCATTAAATGTAAATACTTTCATGTTTTTAACGCCTAAAGGGCCAAGCCATCTTTGTATTTCTTCTGCCCAATTCATTACTGTACTTTTAGGACATAAAATTAGTATTCTAGTTGTCTTTAAATCTTTATAAACTATTAACGTATGTATTAAAGTTATTAACTTAAAAAAAAAAATATTTTTTTTTAAATTATTTATTTTATAGCAAGGTGAACAAAATACCTGTAAGGTTTTCCCTAAGCCCATACAATGAGCTAAAATACATCCTGAACCTGGAAATTCTTCAATAAAATTTACACTGCCGTAACAGCAATCGTACATAAACTTCACACCATCAATTTGATGTTGTTTTAAATGCGAAACTAAGCCATTATGTACCGTTACAAAACTTTTAGTTTTCGTATTGTAATCCAAAATTAACTCACGAATATCAGAGGGATCTTTATTGTGTTCCTTATATGCTTTTTTCAAAATATTCTCCTTCTTTTTTAAACGATTAAGGCGATTTTTTTCTTCTTTCTGCGCCTTCTTTGTTTCGCTTGTTAACTGTTCAGTTTTCATCATAGGTCTTGAAATTCGATGTGGTTCAGTTTTCTTAGTTTTCCGTTCTTCAACGTCTGATTCATCATCATCTGAACTAAGACTATAAATTTCATCGCTTATTTTCAAATTTTTTCTTCGCTTTTGATCTTCATCTAGTAGAGTGTCGAGAGACTTCCTTTTTTTGTTGGATTGTTTCAGTGAAATAAACGTTTTATCTAAAAATTCACAATCAGAGCTTACATTATGCTTATCTGAATCTTCGTCAGGTATATCATTTTCTTTATTTTCCACATCATTAGTTTTTCTATTGTCATTTGTTTTTCTTTCAATAGCCTCAGCGTTTTGTTTTGTAGCAAACTGATCCAAATCATCGCAGTGGTTTTCACTTGGGTTGATATTTATTTTTTCAGGCTCACATTCGCTTTCAACGTATGTTTTTAAAAATTTTTCAACTAAAGTTGGTTTACTGTCATCAAATTCTTCATTCTCATCATCATCATCATCAGGAGAAATTAATGCGCTATCGCTATCAGACTCGCTGTTACTGGAACTTTCCAGTAATTGTTTTTTTAAATTTTCATTTTGCCTACTTAAAAACGTATTTTCATATGTAACGCAATCTTCATCCTAAAATCAAAATATTATTTTAAGTGTTAACTTTTAAAAATTAAAATGCAAACCTCCGTTTCACTGCCATCACTGCTTTCTTTATTTTCGTTTTCGATTAAAATATCTGAAATATTTGTGGTTATTGATTTTTTATTAACCGACTTTCTGTCAGCGTTTGTATAGCCACAATTATTAATTCTTTGGCTTGCAAGGCTCTTAAAATCCAAAAGCCTAAAAGAAAATAAACCGGGTGTGAATTAAATAATTTTAGATGTTTAATTTTATACCTCTCAATATCCTTGTCGACATTATCTGAAGAGCCTGGACCAGAGTTTTCAGTTGATTTGTTAATCTTTTTAGGCGACGTTAGTTTTCCTCTTGCTTTATTTTCTTTATCTGCAGACGAATTTGATTCAATTTCCTTACTTTCACTAGCAATTTTGTTAAGCATATCATCTTCTTCTTCCAACACAACATCGAGGTGCTCAGAAAAATCATTCGGAAAATTGTCACTATCTTCATTAGAACTGTCTAAGTATTTTGAAAAATCTATTCCATTCAATATATTTTCTTGTTCTTCCTTATTTAAATTATTATCCGATTGTGACTCATACTTAGTAGAACTGTCATTATCGCTTTCAGATTCAGAACTGTCTTCGGAACTATTTGAAGAATCATTTAAAAGTCGACGTTTTTCTTTTTCATTAATAGACTTTAACCGCCTTTCGGAATAAATTTTTCCAGAATGTTCCGTCTGAATTCCCATATCGCACATGTATGGATTCGATATAACTTGACATATGCTTTGCTTTGATTTCTCAAAAAATTCTTCAATTTCGCTTTTGTTAGAACTTTCAGAAAAGTTAATTATCGTTTTTGCTAACTCAAGTAAAGCTTTATATTTAGTCCAAGGTCTTTCTTCAGAAAAATATTCATTATCCTGTATAGACTTTGCAACACTTATGTTTTCGGAAACAATTTCACCATTTTCTGGCTGCAAACCTTCATTTGAATTAATATTGTTTTTGAAAACCACTTTTTGATTTTGATTATCTGTGGAAATCTTAACAAGATTTGAATCCAAATCATTTTTTAAATTTTCTAATGACTTGACATAATTTTTATTATCTTCATGTAATATTTCCTCACTGTTTTCCTTTTTGATTTGAATTTTTGAATTTTCATTTAATGTTGATGTGTCATTACAATTTTCGACATTCTTTAAAGCCTCTAAAAGCGCGGAATCAAATTCATTTACTTCTTCTGCAACCACCGATTTTTTAATTGAAAAATAAGAGTTTCTTACAATATTCATTTTTTCTAATATATCTTCAAAATCTGTTTTATTTTTTTCAAATAGCTCTGGAACTTTGCAAAAGTTTTTAATGTTTTTGATAAAAATATTAAGATTATTATTCAATATATTGAAGTGTTTCATGTACGATTCAACACTGATTATCATTTGCTCCTGATTAAAATAATTGTGATCGTTCATTATAACATCTTCTACAGTATGCTGATAAATTTTTTCATTAGAATTCTCATTTTGAAAACCTAAAACAAAAATACTACAATATGACCAAAATTTTAGAAATTTTATCTTACTTGCAACTGTTTCTATTTCGTCACAATTTTCAGCATCGTTGAAATCGTTAAATTCATCAGTACAGATTTCTTCTTGCTGATAATTATCCAAATTGTCATCTTCAAAGTAGTCAGAATCAAAATAACTATCGGATATTTCAACTGATTTCTCCTTTTTGAAAGGAGGCACAATATCAGTAACTGAAAATGGAGGTGGTGTAAATGATGTAATAAAAGGACTCGGTATTGACTCATTTTCCCAGCTACCATCTAGATTATTTCCAGTCTCATCTTTGTTATTAAACATATGCTCATCCTTGGGTCTTTCGTAGTTTAATTTGTTTGCTAAATTCACAGAAACAAATTCTTTGAGTTCGTTATCAATATCGTTGTATTTCGAAAAACTATTACATGACGACTTTGGTTTGACTTCAACCTGGTGAAAACTTTGTGTACTACATTGTATTGCTTCTTCGTCATTTAAATTGCTGATTTCATTATTTGAAACATTTAATTTGATATTTTTGCTCAAAAAACACTTTGTTGTGGTTTTGCTTATATCTGAGTCAATAGGATAAGATATATTTTCTTTAAACATTTCTTTGCAAATCTGATCATTATCACAAAATTTTTCTTTGCTTTCAGATGGGACTCGCAAATCTATCTCTGGAAAGTCATTGATCTGGTCAGTAGATTCTGGGTCTTCAAAATTTGTTAACGCCGCTCTCTTTATTTCTTCTAAATCAAATTCATCATCATTGGAATTTGAATATTTTGGCGCATCCACATGTAGATCTAATAAAGTATCTGTGTAGAAATCCTTAGAGTCGAACTCATTATTTCTTTCGTTTGAAATATTAGGAATTTGATCACACATTACTTATATTTTCAATAATAACTGTTTTTTTTTTTAATGTAAATATTGATTAACTTTTTTTCTCAAGTTTATGTAGACAATTTTTTTTTCTACCCTTTATTCATTTTTATATCCTTTTGTTGATGTAGAAGAAACAATCTCAAATGCAAAAACACCTTTTTTAATTAGAAATTTCTTTTACTTCTATTTTTACGAATTAAGTAGATTTTCACTTAAAATTTATAAAATTTTAACTTTGCAAATGTACATAAAAATTTTTTAAAATTTCCTTACGCTAGCATTGTTTTTATTCACAATTCTAAAAGACTTTTGAGCCAAAAAAAATGTCAAAATATTAAAAAAACAGAGCCAAAAATCAATAGCAAAAACGTTACTATTTAACGTTCTAAAATACAAAACATTCTTCAATTCATTCAATTACTGTTAACATATGGGAAAATCTAAACTGTTTGCCTAACGGCAGAAAATAGAAATATCTCTATTCTCACCAACTTAACTGTCAGAGTTTTTAAGAGTGAAATAATTTTTTTTGAAAGTTTGGAATATCACTCAACTGAATTTTATTTTAGTTATAATTTTCATAGCAAAATTGTTAAATTTCGACGAAAGGGGTTAAACTCCATTAGATAATTTCAGTCTTATATGTAAACAGTCATTAGACTATATCGTAAATTTAATCTGTCTTTGCCATATATACAAACAGTACCTTAGATTTTGTGGTATAATAATACGTTTTAGCATTAGAATAACTTTTAGCAGTATTCACAATAGGTAAACCATTATTTGGAAATTTAGCAGAATAATTTGATAAACAAATAAGCTGACTATCGACGATGACTCAATTGTGATAAGTTTAGCTGAAATTTTATTCTGGGCGGTAGTGATATATAATTGTGAGTTATTTTCGTTAAAAAGGAGATTATTTTATTCATTTTCATTTATTTTTCATAGAGCCGAAAGATTTTTTTTTTTAAAAAATGGAGGCTCTCATACCCGTAGTAAATAAATTACAAGATGTCTTTAATACGGTTGGATCTGATTCAATTCAATTACCACAAATTGTTGTTATTGGAAGTCAGGTAATTCCTTATTAAGCACCAGAAAAATTAGGGCTAGGTTAATTTTGAATGTAGGCTAAGTATATAACTCTATGTTTAATAATTTCACACAATCCCCATATACCTAATTACATAACTACCGGTATTTCTATTGAATTCAATAATTTTGAAATTATTCTAAACGTGCAAGAGACTCAGGAAAAAATCAATATACTTTTATATGTACATAGTTATATTTATATTATAATAACATCTATAAAAATTTCAATTTTACAATTTCTATTTTTGATGTTGGTTAATTTACCGATGTTCAGAATTATTTGATAGTCCAGGACATATTCAATTACAAAGTATAACGAAGAGTAATAACCATGAATGACCAAATCAAGCGTTAGTGCATATTTTTTTTTCAATTATATGAGTTATACATAAGTTTGATATATTTGCTATCATCTACGAGTATGGTCACTCTCTATATTCAATATTATGATTCTAAATTATTCTAAGAAATTACTTTTTAATTATAGGAATCTTTAACAAAAAATCTATTATGTATGTGCTTATTTTCGCAAAATTTGATGTAAAATATTTTTATTAAGCACTTGAATAATATGCTGAACTACATACATACATACAAGCACATATGAAAACTATGTTGATTGGATGTGTACATATTTTTTTTGTTATGGAGTAAAGCAAACAATAAAAAATGGTACAAAAAACCAATAAAGTCGCTACTGAAATGAGTTTATATTAAACCACTTTAATTTTTTTAAATTTCTAAACTATTTTTTGCTTTATTTTTGAAATTTTTTTATTGAATTATTAAATTTGTTATTTTATATTGGAATACCACTAAAGTGTGCATACTTCTTGTAATCGACCAACTAGATTATTAGATATATACTAGATACTCGAACATATTCTGACTTTTAATCAGTGATATGGTCATTTGAAAATGTCGTGATTGCATTTAAACTAGTTCCCAGCTATAGTTGTTTCAAAAAATGTTCATGATTTTTAGCGAGAGATTGATTATTTATAAATTTCTGCTTAAATGAGATCTTTATATTCTTTCAATTATCATTTAAAAAACTAAAAGAAGAATTAATTTGTTAAAAGTAATTTTTTTGCTTATTTTAAGATATTCTTCCAGGTTCTGTTTATCTATTTTCCGGAGTTTACACTAAATTATTTAGAAAATAATGTGCACTTCTAAATTTTTTTATATGTCGTAATAAACTATTAACTTGCTGGTTTTGAAACAAACGTGTAGCTAGTATGTATCTACCAACAATTTTGCATAGAAATTTACCGAAATTCTTATAATATAATTTCAATCTAGTTTCCCTGTTTCATTAATTTTTATTGAATTATTTATCCTGAAGAATTATTTATCTAAAGTTGATTAAATTTACTACTTTCGCAAACTAGTTAAATAAATGAATTGTATTCTGTTATACTGGATTTAATAGGAATAGTTAAGATACAATTTCAAAAAGATTTTGTCAACAAGCATACAAAAACTTCATTATAAACCTTTTACATTGTTTTATGTTTGTATAAATTTTAAAATAAATTTCCATTTGTATTTAAGAGCTCTGGAAAAAGTTCTGTTATAGAAAGTTTAGTAGGACGTTCATTTTTACCCCGTGGTACTGGAATTGTGACACGTCGACCGTTAGTATTGCAATTGAGTTACTGTCCTTTTGATGATAAAGAGCAACGACTCCCAGAAAATGGTACAAATTGAAAAATTTTTACAAATGAATTAATTTAAATATTTTAATTTTTTTTAAGGAACTGTTAATGTTGAAGAATGGGGCAAATTTCTACATTCAAAAAAAATTTATACAGATTTCAATGAAATTCGAAAAGAAATTGAATATGAGACTGATAGAATAGCAGGTAGCAACAAAGGAATCTGCCCAGAACCCATAAATTTAAAAATATACTCAACACGAGTTGTAAACTTAACTTTAGTTGATTTACCAGGGCTAACTAAGGTTCCAGTTGGCGATCAACCAGACGATATTGAAAACCAAATTAAAGATTTAATATTCAAATACATTGAAAATCCAAACTCTATAATTTTGGCTGTTACCGCAGCAAACAATGATATGGCCACTAGCGAGAGCTTGAAACTAGCCAAAGATGTCGATCCTGATGGACGGCGAACCCTAGCTGTGGTTACAAAGTTAGATTTGATGGACGCTGGAACTGATGCTATAGATATTTTATGTGGTCGTGTTATTCCTGTTAAGTTGGGAATTATAGGTGTTATGAATAGGTCACAACAAGATATTATTGATAAAAAAGATATTGATGAACAATTAAAAGATGAAGCGGCGTTCTTACAAAGAAAATATCCAACCTTGGCTACACGCAATGGCACCCCTTATTTGGCAAAAACATTGAACCGGCTTTTAATGCATCATATTAGAGATTGTTTGCCTGACCTCAAAGTAAAATTTCTAAAAATTCTTTATATTATAGTTAGAAATAATTTCAAAATATTTGTAGACTAGAGTTAATGTGATGGTTTCACAATTTCAATCATTGTTGCATTCTTATGGCGAGGATGTTACCGACAAAAGTCAAACGCTATTACAAATAATTACAAAATTTGCTAGTGCATACTGTTCAACAATTGAAGGAACGGCACGAAACATCGAAACAACAGAATTATGTGGTGGGGCTCGAATATGTTATATATTTCATGAGACGTTTGGTCGAACTTTAGATTCAATCCACCCACTAACGGGTCTTTCCAAAATGGATATATTAACGGCAATTAGAAATGCAACAGGTCCAAGACCAGCTCTATTCGTACCAGAAGTTTCTTTTGAGTTGTTAGTCAAAAGACAAATTAGACGTTTAGAAGAACCATCTTTAAGATGTGTTGAATTAATTCACGAAGAAATGCAACGTATTATACAGCATTGCGGAAATGAAGTACAGCAGGAAATGTTGAGGTTTGTTTTTGACAAGAATATTTAATTATTACTATCGACAATTTTTCTTTTAAGATTCCCAAAATTACATGAAAAAATTGTTGATGTTGTGACACAATTACTAAGGCGACGTTTGCCTGCAACTAATTCGATGGTTGAAAATTTAGTTGCGATAGAGCTGGCGTATATAAATACAAAACATCCAGATTTTCACAAAGAAGCAACTTTGGTACCCAGTTTATTAAAAACCGATATTATTGAATCTTGGTCGCAATCTAACACGCGAAGAAATGCATCAAATCAACAGCAAAGAACAGCCCCTGTCACAACGGCAGGGAATCAAGGAGAAACGGATCGTTTAGAAAACCATGTAAGTCCAGAGCTAATTGTTATTTAATGGAAAATTTTATAAAGATTTTGTTGCAATGGAACACAAGCAGCGAATATATTTAAACTATTGTGTACAGTTTTGCTAACATTGTGTACAGTTTTGATAGCACTACGCCCAGTTTTTAACATTAGTTGATTTGATTTTGAAAAATTGACTTGCAGTTTAAACTAAAAAATCATTGTTACTCAAAATGTTTCATTAAAAATTTGTCTTATTATCAATACTTATCAAAGTGAACAAAACAAATTAAAAAAGAATGTATTTCAATTCAATTTTATATCAATTCGCCAGCTCCAAATATTTCAATTTGATTTTATGCCAAAGCATTTTAATTAATAGATACATATCTTTTAATGTAACTGCTTTTGCAGGTTAATGCTGCAGAGCCTACACAAAACAGTTGGTTATCAAATATTCTACCTCCGGCAGTTGATATCGGCACAGAGAATACGACGAATAATACTCCTGTTCATAATATCGTTAATACTCCTTCGAAACCCATAAACCTACTACCAGATGTTCCAGTAAATTCAAATGCAAGAAAGCTTACGGATAAAGAACAAAAAGATTGTGATGTCATTGGTAATATATAGAAATCATTTGATATTTTCTATGATAATATGATAATTTCATCTCTCACATTTTTTAATACAGAACGACTTATCAAATCTTACTTCTACATTGTACGCAAATCTATTCAAGATTCAGTACCCAAGGCAATTATGCACTTTTTAGTTAATTTTGTTAAGGATAATTTACAAAGCGAATTAGTCACACATTTATACAAATCTGAAAAGGAGGAGTTGTTAAATGAATCAGATCATATAGCAATTAGAAGGAAAGAAGCGGCAGATATGCTTAAAGTAAATATAAAAGTGAAAATAACTATAAAATTAATATCAATAAATATTTCTGTTTTTTATATATATCAATAATACATGCTGTTTTTTTTAGGCATTAACACGCGCCAATCATATTATAAGTGAGATTCGTGAAACTCACATGTGGTAATAACCAATATAAGTATGTATGTATACATAATTAAACAGTTTTCTATTTATAAACGTTAATTCACAAGGTGCAGTATTGTTTAAGAGATAATTTGTAATTAAAATGTCTTAATTAATATTATCCGTTTTTTTTATTGTTTTGAACGTTAGCGTAGGTTTTGTTAACATTAACTGCACTTCAATTGAAATTACTATAACGTTCGGTTTTAAAAAAACTAGAAAAATTTTATTTAAACATTAACTATTATACTGCAAAATGTCAACATAGTTATTATACTGCAAAATGTAAAAATAAAAGCTTTTACTATAGACGTAAGCATTTTTATTTTTAGGACTTTACATCTGGAGCATTCGCAATGTTACTTCTTTCAGATTGTTATAAAAAGTTGAAAAGATTTTTTAGGCAAAAGGTAGTTTGATCAAAATCCTTAACAAGAAAACGCAATTACCAAATTTATAGTGTATTAGTTTGTAATAAAAATCAATATTCAAAATGAAAACAAATCAAATTTTATTTACAAAGTATTGGGGATGTAAATTTGTACGAAAATGGATAGTTAAACAACATTACAGAATGCAGGGCATTTGAATTTTAAAACGTAAAATATTTTAATTTTACGTTTACAAATTTAGTTTTAATTAAGCAGTATCACCTGATATAAAAGTAAAATTAAAATCTTTCAAAATAGCTGAAGAAATCAAATTCCAATGCTTAAATATAAATATTGTAAATTTTACATAGCGGAAAAAAAACCGGTCGTTTTGTTTATAACGATTTTTAACATTATTATTTACCGTTAGTACAGAAGGAATTGAAAGAAGGGATTTTTTGTCCAACATGTTCATCGGTTTTAAGAAATTTGAGAATGTGTATGTATTTTAATATAAAAAGCAGTTTTCCGCTTTTGATTGTTTTTCTGAAGTTCCAAAACTTGGAATTTTCTAATAATAAATTTTCTAATACCTAACTACTTTGTGAAATTTTCAAACTTTAATATAATATTAGATCACTTTAATGTTTTTTTAATTTACTATACGTACTTAATTTAAACTTTTTATTTTCGTCAAAGGTGAACTTGTAAGCAATAAAAGTTCATCTTAATTTTGCCAGCTATGGCTTTAACACTACATATTTATTCGTTTGTATAGTATAATTTCTACGGAATAGCAAAATATACATATGTATGTAGTTTAATTGTATTGGGAGTAAACACATAAAATAGAAATTCTAAGTTTCGAATATGATCAAATGAACTTAAAACAACAAAAGGTGCACATTCTACCTTTTAAATAATAATTCTCAATATGTTTAAAAATTTTAATTTTGTATAATCGATTTAATAATGAAAAGTTTCAATATTGGATGTTTAATCATTGCATACATACTTTTCTAAAGTAATTGTATGTTTAAATATTACCAGATTTTTTGCAAAATTTCATTTAAGAGGATTTTGTTTGGATAATGACACGACAAGTATTGAACATAAGATTAGATTTCGAGTTTAAAACAACAATGATTAATATATGTATACATGTATGTACATATACTGTATGTATATAATTGCACTATTATATTTAATGAACATTGTTTTGATTAAATGTTACAAGTTTATTTTCAAATCACTATTAATGAAATACGATTGATATTTTTGTCGACATGATATTTACAGTTTTAAGAATTATTTAAATTATTTATCTAAATTTAAAAGAAAATCTGCTTTAATATAAATTTATTTTTTTCACAATAGTTTTTCTACACATATGACATGTACGTAAAGTTTCCGCACAACGTGAACAGGCTCCATGTCCACATAAAAATGCTACATCTTTATTGCGTTCCATACATATACTGCAATAACGAGATTCTTCAAACTCTTGTATTTTATTTTCCAAATATCTTAAACGATCGGCCGAGGGTATTCTAGTTTGATTTTTCTTTGTAACATCCTTGCCATTAATATTTAAACGCTTTTCGATTAACGTCTGACAAGATAAGCATTTTTTCATTCTAATTCCACATTCTTCGCATGAAATTTGATGCATGCAAGGTTCAAAAATGATTAAAAGAAGAGTTTCATTACAGACAATACACTCTTTGGGCTCTAAGCTGGGCGATGTTACCGGCGATAATTTTACAAGATTTGAACTAATGTTTTCTGTAAGAGATGCTTGTTTTCGACTTGTATGTCCTTTTCCAGATATATTTGATTGATTATTCGTCGGTTTTTGAGTTGACCCTTGAGACTGTTCATCGTTGTTTGATATTTTGCTTTTAGTTGGGGTCATTTCTACATAAGTGGATTCAGTTTCTTGAATATTTGAAGCGCCTATATTATCATTTCCCCCAATTTGGTTTCGATTTAATAAAGACTCTAAATTTTTAATATCAAATGAATTGACATTGCTTTGGTCGTCTATTGTTCGTGTAGATTGCAAATTGTTCTTGTGTAAAGTATTGGAAGCTGTTTTTCTTTTAGCTGGAGTTGGAATATTTTGCATAATACCAAAGTTAGAAGACTCTGCTGTACTACCACTTGGCACATCGCTTAAAGATATATTTCCGCCAGATGGTGGTAAATTCATTGCTTGCCCATTGTTCGTTACCGGCTGAATGTCACTGGTGCTTGGTGTAGCTTCATGAACGAACATAGCTTGATAATTTAAAATTATTTTTTGAATATCTTTGTCATGAACCCAATCAAATATCTTTGAGCCCTTGTTATTAGCTTCTATTTTACAACCCTTTTTCGACAAATAACATAAGATTGCGTACATGAATCTTAGTTCTGATAAATTTTCCAAGCTATTATAAATTTCATATATCTCTGGTGAATCTGATGCAGATGGGACTGAATGTTGAAAATTGGTTTTCTTTATTACACATAAATGCAAAGCGTTATCTCCATCTTCATCCATTGCATTAATGTTGCATCCCAGTTTTACTAATTTTTCGATTGCGGCAGAGTGACCTTGTGATACAGCTAATAGAAACGGTGTTTGTCTTCGATTATTTCGTATATCTATCTCGGCACCATGCAATATTAACGCCTCCACAACTTCAGAATGACCATTCAAAGCCGCTAAATGAAGAGCTGCAAATCCGTCATCCTTCTTTACGTTGACTAGTTGTCTTGCCAATTGCAATATACGTTTCGTAGCAAACACGTTTCCTTTAAGTGAAGCATGATGCAGTACATTAAAACCTCGATTGTTTCTAACTGTAAAGTCTAAGTTTGGGGCAGAGCAAATTAAGTCAACTACTTCACTGTTTTCTTTACCAATTGCATCGTGTAATGCAGTATCGCCATACGAGTCTTGTATATTGACATTGACTCCAAACGCCAATAAAATTCGTATACAATCAGGGGTCTTTTTATGTGCGCATATATGTAATGCTGAACAATGACTAGCATTTAAAAAATTTATTTTTGCATTATTCTCTAATAATATACGCATAGCTTCCGCTTGATTTCCAAAAGCAGCATAATGCAACGTCGAATCACCTTCCTTATCAATAACATTAACATTAGCACCGCTATTTATTAGAAATCTAACTAAGTTAACGTGGCCTTGATGGGCAGCTACTTGTAGACAAGTTTTCCCTCCACTCATGACATCAACTTGATTTGGATGTTGTTCTAAATATTGCTTAACAAAATCAAAATGTCCTTGAGCAGCCTCACGAACAAGTTTATCTGCGGAAGATGATCCCGATAAGCCCGATAAAGGTGTTATTATGTGATCAGAGCGCTGATGGCTTAAATCCATCATACTATTCGAGCGTTCTGCAGCTGTAGCTAATGGAGGTCGTTCCAATTTGACACATTTGGGATTAAGAGTCCATTCAATTGCAGCGTCTAATTGTTGAATTCTCAAATCACCATCTGAATAAACTTTGACTACTTTACAAGTTTTTCCTAAAACCTATTGGAATAAAAATAATTGTTTATTTATGTGAAACTTATATTTGAGCATTTTAGGGTGTAATATGTACGGTTTTCATTGGTTCTATCCACTCGCCATGTCCTTTTTGTAATTGCTGAACTTTAGACACATCAGTTATGATTGTAACCAAATCTCCAACACGGAAAGAGCAAACTTTGACTAAAGCAGCTGGGTGGAAAGTCCATCTATTTGGACAATTTTCGTATTGAACCCTGCAATTAAATTTTTGAATACTTGCTAAATACTATTTTTATTGATTTCGTTTCATACCTAATATCACCCTTCTCCGTTATTCTATGCACGATCCCAACTTTTCCTAAATGCTCGACCATTCTTGGGTTCCATCCTCCATGACCTTGCTGCAATTTCATAAGAGCGTCTACTTCCAGACATACTTTCACTCTATCTCCCACAGAAAAAACAGGTTTAACTGCGGAAATGACAGGTTGTTGTTCCTCTGTTTGGCCTATAAATGAACAAGTTGAAATGCCTTCAAAAAAAAAATTTATACTTTCTTACCGAGAATTGGCATGTGATCCTTATAATAATATCCGCCAGTTGTAGGAGTTACGTACCGCAAGTCAACATTACCCTTATGCCCAAGACGATAAACATTAGTGGAACCAGTTACCCAAGACACATTAGCGACGCTTCTGCAAGATTCATTGTCCCAACCTCGAATTTCCATAACTCTTCCAGTTTTTCCTGCATCATTGAATTTTTTACCAAATAACTTACGAAAATTCTTCTTAATATTATATTTAAATACTATAACTTTCCAACGAATATGGTTAACTGAACACTAGTTCTTTTAAGTATATAATTATTTAATATCAAAAATTATTTTCTAGATCTCTGGTAAATATTTAAAATAATCATGAAATTCTTAAATCAATTTTACAATTTATTTAAAATAAAATACTTTTAGATAAAATGTTTTTACTTAAGAAAAATATTAAATAAAGACAAAGGTCAAATACAATTGTCGAGATTGTCTTTTAACAAAATTTAAATTGAAACTTAAAAATCAAATTATTAAAACTAGACCCACAATTTAATTGGCGAAAGATTGAAGTTCATCAAGATATTGGACTTCCTGATTATAAGAACACATATCTTGAACCAGAAAATAAGTCAATTAAAGAAACATAAATATATTACAGATACATAATATTATCAATTTCTAGTTTTAATTCACTTTAAGATTCAATCAATTATGTTTCATAGAAAACAGTATCCGCTTACGTAGGAAGCTATGTATTTTATTTTCAAAAAAAAATTTCGTTTGGAAATTAAATATAAAGAGAAATTAAAATTTTTTTGCTAGTCAATTTAAAAAAAAGTATAAAAATTCGAATTAGCATATATCTTAACCTTCTCCACCATCTTGTTGACCCCATTCCCAATCAGAACCTCTTACGACTTTTGCTCCAACAAAGATTCCCTTCAGTTGTGTTTTTGTTACTCCTTTTCTTGGTGTCACCCTTACTCTGTTGTATATTTAGTTTTTATATTTTGATAGTTTTTAAAGTTTCAATGTTTAAATAGCTTACCCCAATGACTGCGGTGTTGTGTACCTAATAAAAGAATGTTCTGTATCATGTACATCATTTCCATAACAAAATGAGCATAAGTAATAATTTGAACACTGTGCGCACTTAAAAACAATTCCCGCAATTCCTCCTTTATAACAACCATCGCAAACAACATTTGAATGACGAACTCCTTTTCATAGTAATACCAATAAATTCTTTTAAAATATTTCATACGATATTGCACATACCAATCTGAGCATTATCAACAATAATTAAATCATATTGTCCTTGATATCCTATTCTATAATTAGTCCTTGGCCCAGAATCCCAATTTACAACCACAGTTTTTTCTGGAGAATGAGCTGAACCATATCTTCCAATTTCACAAACTGTGCCAACATGACCTTCCCCATCGTCTAAAAATTAGATAAAAAATTCGAATATTTGTTCTTTTAAATATCAAGTTGTCATGTACCCTGATTTTGCCAAATCCAATCAGGTCCCCTCACAACTCTAATTCCCGGTTGAACTGCCATTTTAGTTATAATAAGCAACCTTTGGATTAGTTATAAAATTAGTGCTTTGTTCACATTTTTCAACTTAAATGTTTACATGGCTAAGTTTTATACCTTATCTAAATTAGGATATATATAAAGTGCATATGTATATTGCTTTAAAATTTCCTAGAATTCCTAATCAATTTTTCATAGTTTTACACTTTTACCTTTTGTTTAAATTAGAGTGACTTTAATTTAATGTCAGATGTGTATCTGTTATCAAAAATATAAGACATTTCAAATTTGTTTCTAAAAATAGTAAGTTCAGAAATATCTAATTTAGACTTTCAAAAACTGAATGAAATGAAATATAAATTTTGGAATTTGTCGAAAAAACTCAATACACTCGTCTTAAATTTGGATATTATTTAAAAAATAACAGCACTATTTTTCATTATTTCTTCTTTTTTACAAAAAAAGATATTTTGTCCAAACTTAGTCATCTTCATATATGTTTCATTAGTGAATATTTCTTTTCTTTTTGATTTGTTTACATTATAATAAAATTTTTCATAATTTTAATATAAATATTGAATTGAATATTCCGCTAAATTATTTTTTATTACATATTTTTTTACAGATATTATAAAATGTATATATTTGACATATTTATAAATTTGATTTATCAAGATGGCCGACACTAAAAATATTTAACTTTATTTTACCTTTAAACCACGCTATACAGAAAACCATTATAAGATTTCATTTCGAAAATTTAAATAATCTAATTGAAATATAATCGCCCACAACCTTTTAATTCTAATATTTGTTACAATGTCCAATGTGAAGGAAATAATTACAAAAATCTTATAGTTGAAACTTTTTTCACCTGTCTAGCTTGTCAGAAAGCTACACAATTGACATTTCAAAGTAGCAGTGCAAAGGATGTGACAGCCCACTACATCTAGTATTACCATATAACATTTAATAAATGCCAAAAACGAAAAAAATAGTCAGTTATAAAACAAGGAAAATTTCCACTCAATGTCAAGTTTTCTGGTCTGAACTATTGAATTTGAAATACTAAAGAAAGAAGCTGAAATTCTGGCAGGAAGATTATGAAAAAAGAATGAAGCCAAATTCTCCCCAGTTGTCTCTTCCTTTGTTCCAAGCATTGTCAAACCCGTAACGGGATCGTATTTATTTTGTTTCTTTTATTTGGCCTTCATTATAAAATATTTCGAATACATACGTTATAACATAAGAGAGATAAGTTGAAATTTTTTTAAAATAAAAATTAAAAATATTTTTAAATATTTATTTATATAAATATTATAATAATATAAATATTAAAAACACGTTGATTTTTTTTTCTCTTTGAATTTATAAATGGAAATTATATACATGAATGTATTTTATTATCACAATACACTTGAAAATGAATTTTTTTAAAAAATTTATTTTTAATAAGTTTTTAATAATTTATACACTTGAAAAATTTATAAAGCTTTTTTATAAATTTTTAAGTTTTTAAGTTTTTTTGACAGTTTTACTGAACATAATAATAAAAATATGCATATTAATATTACATTCATTAATGCATATTAATTTTAGAGTCATTAATAAAATATTAATGACTCTTAAATAGTATAATTTTTAACAAATTAATATAATGATTGTTACTCACTGAAGAAGATAGTATATTGTCGTATTCTTCCTCATTAATTAATTGAACTTCACATACTAACTCATTCTAAGACAATATATTTAATTAATAATTTAATAAATGATTCAGTAATTGACTTACTGCATTCAATCAGTATGCCTTCATATATTTTTTGACAACCAAATCTTCAGTCTATAAAGGGGAATACAAACAAAACTATGCAAATTAGGTAAAGCATCTGGCGTTAAATACTAGTAGTACAAAAAGGCGCTTAGAAATTTTGCTTAGAAAATCCGCTTCTGGTAAAATTATGTCATCCTTAGTAATTTTAGTTTAAAACAAAACAAAAACAAATGTTCCGTTTCCAAAATTAATAAATTCATAAATTATTAATTATACTTAACACTTTTGAAAATATTTCTTTAAATTATTAAAATAAATATTCACTTCTTTGTTTCCTTTTTCAGTCTTTCAAACAGTCTTTGTTTAATTTTTGTGCCAGCGTTGCTCACTTTTCCAAGAAAAAAGAAAACAACATTTGGCATTAAATGTCAATTTCAATTTGAGAATACTTGGAACAAAAAAAGAGACTAACCTGAAATTTTTGCCCTGGACTGTGGTATTTTTGAAGAATCGAGAAACATTTTGGTCAAACGTCCAGTCATTGAATCAAAATCCACTTTAAAGCTACCAAAATATACCTGTTAGTGGAAAATTAAAGTGAAGAAATGGATTTAAACACTTGCAAACATTATCTCTTTAGAATAGCTTCGGCTTACATGAAAATCATTTTATGAATAGCTTCTAGCATCCCTAAACACTTTTGATTGTTGCAAAGCGTTAAATTCTTTTTACAAATACAACAACATTTAAGATTAAACCTAGGTTCTATTAAAGCCGTGTCTGTAATCACTGTTTGATATTAGACTGTGTCTGCAGGCATATAATATAAATTGCGCATTACTGAATTTATATGCAGCTTGAAGCTGACCTTAAGCGTATTTCGAGCTCATATAAACATTACTTGACTTTTAAGTTTCAAGTTGAAGTTGATGGAAATAACAGATTAATATATAATGCTTGTCAGCGTCAGCTAATAACAACCTTAAGTTGATTCCAAGTGAATCTGTACACTAGTAATGCAGACTAAAATTTCTCGATCCCTCATATTAACGAAGTATTTATGTTCATTAAATTTACTGTCAGATTTTTTTAAAATAAAACGACATTTATGATTAGAATATGCTTAGGAAAATATATTAAATTTGTAAAAATTTACAAAAATTATAATTTTCATTTAGAAAGTTCATATAAAAGTCTAGCACTTAAATTATTTACCCTTTTTATTTCTGTTAAATTTTATTTTATTTGAGCAAAAATATTTTTATTAACTTTAAATGAAAAGCATTTAGGACATGTTGAAGACAGAAAGACATTTTGACATGTTGTATCAGCTTAAGTTTTTTTTGTTTTAACATATTGTCAATTTATTTTATATTATCTAGGTACATAATTTCCAGTTCACAATATTTTTACTGTTTCAAAATACAATTACTGTAGAATATCCATACTGGATACCATAGAATGTACTGTAGAATATCCATCTAATAGCTGTCAAAATATTTTTCGATATTTCAATGTCGATTTTGTACGCGAACCACAATGTCAATGAAATCGATAGTATTTTTTGAGTATTATTATACTTACATCTCTGGTCCCAGTGTAAACGCTAAACCTTAAGAAAGTGGAAAAATTGCGGTGACTCTTTTTTATATTTTAAAAATTAAATATTCTGGGTATAATAAAATATAATAAAGCGGACAATCTATTAAATTAGGAATGTCTGAAATTGAGCAAAATGGGAATGCAGGTAAAATAGAGGAAAATGCAGGAGTGAAATGTGAAGAAAAAGAAGCTGAAGATTTTGATGAGGAGGGGGATGAGATAGACGAGGTAAGCCTTTCATTTAATTACAAATTTACTAATTTTGATTACAAATATTAAATTATTTTAAAGGCAAAATCTGAAAACTTTGAGGGATTTAATGGGTCTGGACGAACTGTTACTCTCCAAATGGTAAAGTCTCTCAAATCTATAAACAGAAAGTAATGTTTTAAAATGTATTTGAATTAGCTTTTGGCCGCTAATGTTTTACAACCAGGAAAATCTGCTATGACAATTGAATATTTGGGTCAAAAATTTGTCGGAGATCTTCTTCCAGATGGAAAAATAAAATCTCATGAGACTGAAACAATATTTTTATCGCCTAGTGCTTGGGCTATGCATTGTAAAAGAATAATTAATCCTGAGAAAAAGTCGGGATGTGGTTGGGCATCTGTCAAATACAAAGGTAAAAAGCTAGATGCTTACAAAGCGATATGGATGAAAAAATGTGCGCAACAGAAAGATGTACATGATGGAGGTTGTTCATTTTGCAAAATATAATGTTGAACGACGTTTATAATGTTAATCCTTTTAGATGATGTTGAAATGGAACCTGAAAAATTGATAGAAACCGAAGTTCCAACAGTAAAAAGAGCGATCTATTCTCATAACTATGTTAATAATCGCAATTTGATGCAGTAAGAAATAAAATAATCGGAATTTTCTTTAATATATTTAAATATTTTTTATTAAATTCAGTGATGCGAATATGCTAATTGAGACAGTAACATTTCCATCAATTAATAAAATGCAACCATTTCTCGTGAATATTTCAACAAATGCATTGCTGTTGGCTGACTTTCATTGTCATTTAACCTTTCAAGAAGTTTGCGGCTATTTTGGCGGAACATGGGATGTGAATAATCATAGTAATAATATTGGTAGTGTTTTTCGTTCATATTTTATATATCTTCCATCTTTAGCGCTCGTTATAAGTAAAGCATATCCATGTAAAAATACTAAATATGACAGAGAAAAGGCCCCAGACGTGGAAAAACTAATTCAAAAGGAAATAATGAAGGATCAATTAATTGTTTGTGGGTGGTACCATTCACATCCAAAATTTCAGTCTCAACCAACCTTACGTGATTGCGACTCCCAACTTGACTATCAGATAAAGATGAGGGGCCCTTCAGAAGTTACATATACGCCATGTATAGGATATATATTTTGTTAGTTGAAATACTTCAAAATTTAATTTATACAAAGAAATGTATCTGAAATTTTTTGTTTTCTTTTTCAGCACCTTATTTTGATGAAAATGAAGACTATCAATCAAATATAACGGCTTTTTGGGTGATCCCGCCACCAGAAAATCGACAGATTATGGAATACGGTCGTCCAATGTCAATGCAGTACGAAATTCAAGCAGACAACGAGATAACAAGAAATACTCGGGAAGAAATGTCGAATTTAGTTATATACTACAAAAAGTTCCGAAATGATTTTATAGATTTCTCTTTGCTTTACAAAGAAGGCATGACTTTCATAGAAAAACTGAAGAACGCTTTATATTCGAAATTTCCTTTGGAACAAGATGATAAGGAATTCTGGAATTTTATATGCAACATTCTAAATTTTAGTGAGTGTGAAGAATTTTATCCTCCGAAAGGAATTGTCAAAATCGCATCTATCAAAAATACAAAATCTAAGGAATTGACTGCCACCAAGATTGAGGAGACTATTACAATTAATGATACAGATGATGAAAAAATTCCTTCTGAAATTAAGGTACCGTCCCTTCAGGAACAACTGTGTCTACCTTCCGGGTTGAATATGAATCCTTCAAAAAGTTTGTCGTTGACAGTTGTGCCACCACCTATCATTCCACCCGTTATTTCTGCAGTTTCACAGCCATTGTCAATTTCTAATAATAATAATAGCACTAATAATAGCAATAATAGTAACAATAATAATATGAATATGAATAATAGTAATAACAATAACATGATTAGTAATGCAAATAGCAATAATAATAATACTAGTAATAACAGTAATTGTAGTACTGTGAATAACATTTCAAGCTGTAATATAAGTAACACATTGCTTGTTGGAAGTATATTGGCTAACCCTTCACCTGTTGTTGATACTGTAAATTCCCTTGTAAATCTTAATTCTCAAAGGGTAGCAAACTCACCAAGTCCAGCTAAATTTGAAATCCCAGTACGTGCAAGCCCTTCTCCAGCAAAATCTGACTCTTCATCAAGTCGCACAAGAAATTCTCCTGCCCCAAGTCCTGGAAAGTTTAGCACTATCGACCTTTCGTCAAGAATAAGTCCTTCTGTTACACCCAACAAATTTGAGCCTCAATTAAGTGTAACAGTTCCAAATCCATCAGCAAGTCTTACAAATGTATCTGCAACCAGTGATATTATGGCAGCTGGTTTGGCGGCTTCTCTTGCCGGTCAGATATCTTCAAACTTTTTATCAAACGATTTTAATTTATTATTTCAACATCAGAAAGATTATGCGAATTCGTCTTTGAATCAATTAGCAGCAACTGCTTCAAAAGTAGGTGGAAGTAAATCAAATTTGTCAGAATCTGGTTCGTTGCCATCATCGCCTTCTTTGAAGATTTTAAACTCTATGCAAATGTCAGATACAAATAAAATTAAATCTATTGGCCAAGAAAACAAATCTCTAAAATCGTCTTCTAACTCCTACAAGACAAAACTAATGAAGGAATTGGATGATTTAAAAAATGATCCGATTAAAATAAGTGAGTTAATGAGATCACCAGAATATGCAGCATTATTATTACAACAAGCTGAAGCCCTAGGTGCAACTACTCTTGGGACCTTGGGCTTAACCCCAGATTTTCATTTTCTTGGTTCTGGGGTTGGGAATTCTTCAAAAAATAAGCTTAACACAGCAGATTATACACAAATGCTTCAAAGCTCGAAATTGCTGGGGTAAGTCGATAAATTTTTTTTCATTACATACAATTATTTAATACATTGTGATACAGATATGACACGAGCTTTCAACAGCAACAACATAAACTTAACATGGATTTGAATAACCTATTTCAACAACAACTTGCAACATCTACAAATAATGCGAGTAGTGTTTCTAAAAAACCTAAACAACAGCAACCATCCCAATCGCAACAATGTGAATATACTGCACTTTTACAAACGTACTCAAAACTTTTTGATCTAAGTAGTTCTTATGGTGGTGGAAAAAATTCTATTCCAGCTCTATCTACAGATTTATCAGCACTTTTAAATTTACCCAATATCAGTGCTACTCCTACAAGTAGCAAGAAAAAGGATTCTTCTAATGAAATGTTAAATCATCTTCTGCAATCAGAAAAAAACGTTTCGGAGTTAAATAACTTATTATTTTCGCAATCGAAAAATGTTACAGATCTCAATAATTTATTTGCTCAACCACCGCCCTCATCAAATTCATCATCTTCCAAAAATTTAACAGATATGTCCTATTACTCTCAATTGTCACAGGATAAGCTACAAGATTATGCAGTTTTATTCCAGCAACAGAATCTGGCTAAGTATGGAATACCGGATCCATTGGCTAAAACTACACTAGCAGCAAATAACATGTTTATGACACCGTCAGCTTTATTAAAATTACAACAGGAATCAATAAACGCAATGATAATGAAACCTCCAAAATCAAGTGGTTCATCATCATCATCTACATCTTCATGTAGAAGCAGAGACTTATCTGTGTCTCCCTCTCAACAACATGAGCGTTTAACACCAACAAAAAGTAGTCGAGATAGTCCAGCTTGTACTGTAAAGTATAACTTTAGTGCCGCTGATTTGGCAGTATCAAGTGTTTCAAATAATCCAGTCTCGTTATCACCGTCTGAAAGTTCAAGACCACCAACAAAAACACCACCAGTTGACTTAAGTCGAATTTATTCAGATCCGCCGAGAAAAAGAATGGAATTTTCATCTATCGCGGACTTAGTTGCTCCAACGCCAGCCAAAATTCCAAAAGGAAATGATGGTGATGAAATTTTAAATTTATCCTCTAATGAGTAACATTTTTTTTTTTAATTTCAGTCTTATAAATTAATATTACGGAAAGTATTTAATAAAGAGATAGGTATATATATATATGTACTTTATTTTTTTTAAGTTTTAATTCCAGAATTCAATCAAAACCATTATATAAATTAAGTATTTTAAAAATTGGATTTTTTTATTTATAAATTACTTTCTTCAAAACACGTTAAATTAAAACTCGTGTATTTAATAAGTTAGAATAAATTATTTTTTATTTTTAATAGTAAAATTATATCTTAAAAAATAGTATTTAAATTTTAAAATTGGTCTTTTAATAAAACAGATTTCAATATTTGGAATAAAGCTTTTTTTCCATAAAAATTTCTTAGATTGGTATAAAAAATCAAAAAATTTTTTAAAACATAGAAATTGCTCATACATATTTTATCCAGGAAAGAAAAATAAGGACTAAAAACATGAACTTAATGTACTTATGTAGAAAATGTATCATTACCAGATAAACTAGACTCTTAGATACAGAATTTCGATACTAATATACCCGTAACTTAATTTTTTTACAATTGCTTGAATTATATACCTCAACAATTTCCTACGGGTAAATTAAAAAAAAAATTTTAATATTTTCTATAACTTCAGTGTTTTTGGCGCTAATTCTTCTGGTTCGATATAATTTTTCCACATTTATATGAGCTGATATTTAAGCTTTTCGTAAAATTCAGTCTCTAATAATTTAATCATTAATGTAAAGTTATGTTTTTATTCTTTTTTTAGATAGCTGTAAACTAGGATTCAAGAAAATTAGTGAAAATATTCTATGTCTTTTAATAATACCGAGAGCTTTTCCTTATTTTTCTCCATACGATTAGAATTGTAAAACTAAATATAAATTGCAAAATGTACGTGAAAATTTTGTAGTTTTAAACCAAAAAAACTCAACTTAAATTGAGGGCATGATCACGTATCTCGTTATTTTACTCGCTAAGTGAGAAGAAGGTGAATTTGTATAATGTATTTTTCGAGTAAGAAGAATTTTTTCATATCCCGCAGCATGTATACAAAATTTAATCACTATTTATTCACTTCAAGGGGGAAAGGTTCAGTCAATAACTTTAAAAAACTTCAAAAACCCAATTGAAAAAATGAGTAATCTTAATGGAAAATGAAATATCCATTAGAAAAAAGGAAGATTGTGATTTGAAAGTGACAAAAATTAAGATGAAAAAGCGAAATTTTTTTTTTCCCTCCTGGTGCTTTCATTTCATTACATTATACAACCGCCTCGCATACACACAATAAATGCTCCATCGTTTCGTCTTCCTTCAGGCATAGACAACAGAATCCGTCGCACGCTCTGCCTATCCTTCTCAGATGGACCAACGAGAGACAGTGTCCAGCAAGGACACTGGACCATTGTTCTTGGTGCCAAGCGATTCGTATAACAGAAGTTGAAATGCTAAAAACTTGAAGAAACTACTCATAGTTGATACACAATACATTTGTGATAAAAACAACTACGTTTATGATTTTGCCTGATGAATCTACGTTTATGATTTTACCTGAGCGAAATTTGTCTGATGTGTTTGAGTTTTTTTAAGTAAACTTATAAAAATGTTAACAGATTTGCTTATCAAAAGTATTTTACCTTGTTATAAAATTAATATTAAGATATTACCTATAGCCCTAAAATCCAAAATGTGGTTTCTTTACAATACATATTACTATTATTACAAAAATATTTAAAAAGATAAATAAAACTTTCCAAATTTTATTATAGAAAGATTTATGTATATTTATTATTTTACAATTAAAAATATAAACAATTTTATTTTACTTTAGTGTTTATAACAAAATATGGATATTTATTGTTCTTTTCATTAATTCTATACAATTTTACAACTGTTTTATTCTATTTTATTAATATTTAACCCCGTGAGTTTAATGTTTTTTTAGTAACAAATGTGCTAAATATTGTTGAAAATTTTATTATTTCTTTTATTTTTTAAAAGATGAAATTTAAATTTGAACATCAAATTTTCTAAACTAAATTTATAATGACATTAGAATAACTAATTAAATTGTGCTCAACTCAACGTTTCTAAAAAACGTAATTTGAAGATGGTATGCTATATTTACTTTATTTGTGCTTTATTTTTTAATCGAAACTGTATAATATAAACTGGTTAAAGGACATTTTCGTTTTATGTATGTATGTACATGCATATTTACATAAATGTACATATGTATATGCTTTCTTAAATCTTAGGCAATGTCCGCAAATAGATCTACAAAAGTTTTAAAATTTTGGAGATTTTTTTATTTTTAATTTTTACAAAGCAAATAACATGTAGTGTAGAGAACCAATTTAATACGGTTATAGAAAGTTTTCTTAAGATCGTTTTAAAATCATTCGATTTATTGAATACATATATTTTAAATAATGATTTCTAATACACAAAGGAATCAGAGATATCAAGAAGAACCTCCTTCTTATGATGATTACGAACAACGAGCAAAAACAACCTAGGAATTTCAATCGTCAACGCGTTCCACCGCCGCCTTTGAAATCGCAATAAATTAAGAAGAGTCAACCGGATCTCGCGCCATCTCACAAATCTGAATTAAGAACAAATGAGCGCAATGACCCGATATTAGGAAATGATGCTGTATTGGTTATGGGTGCTGCTGAAGTTTTCAAGAGAGACACGTGAATAGAGACTTCGCAATCGATTTTTCACAATTTATTACTATAATTGAACAATCATATTACAAAATGGTGCACGATGATAGAGCTCTCGAAAAGTACATGTCGTTATCAATGTACCAATATTATAATATCATTATGTTGTGGAAAAAGATAATACGCGTCCTGTCAGTTAAGAATGATCTGACATTAGAATTTTCTCGCTTCGAATCGTTAGTACCGGAACGATTCGTAATTCCAACAGAGATTATGAGCTATTTGAGTGGGGTCGGAAACATTATCGACGAGAGAGGAAAGGACAACATCCTCTGGGTCGCACCCATGAGAGACACCCTTGTTCGTGGACTTCGTTGTAATTTTGGTAGAATATCACCAACTATTCACTATTTATATGAAACGGTACCAGCACCAATCATTGTGCTTCTTCAGATCAATGCTGATTTACAAAATACATTGGATGAAGAAAATTTTGATCCAGTTTGGGATTTACCTGCATCCCTTTCTCCTGCGCAAAATCCCTTTGTCCACGCTTTACAACCCAATAGAAATTTACTTGATTATAGAAGAGTGGCAAGACTATCATCTAATCAAATAACAACGTTAACAAATTTAAATATACCAAGAAAACAGGGTGAGTTCCACGATATAACACATATACATGAAATTCCTATACATCAAGGACTGTTAAACACTGTGCATGATTATCTTCAATCTTCGAAAGCTAAGAGTCTTTCACTCATGCCAGATAATACATCAGGTTCGTTGGCTCAAATACCATACTTAATTCGCACCCGAGAGTCAACTCAGTCCTCAACACTACAGATTGTAGAGAAGGCCGTGATAAGTGCATCACCAACGCAGACTTCGATTCATATAGCAATGGATTCAGTAATTTACCGTTATAGGGTAAATCGGATATTACCACCACGATATGTTGAGGAGTATGGGGTAGATTATTTATGCTACGACTTTAACTCCGATGAGGTTCCTGATCCTTGGATTCAAACATCTAATACAATATTTAATTAAGGTATCTGCTCTGGATGGAATCAGGAAGAATTCACACACGCCGAAGCAGACGGCATCGCAGTAGCTGAATATGTGGAACGCAGCCGTGTCGACGTGAAGCGACAATAGTGTGAATGATAAGTCTTGATGAGGTAGTGATTCACATAGGTTAACGTTATTCAGAATAAAATTCATGGAAATTATTTGAAAGGGATCAATCTAGAATTATTGACAAATTTACACATAAAAAATGCGTGAAATTTTAAAGCACAATAACAAAAAAAAACCGGCTATAATATCAATAAGAATTTTTTGGCAAAAAAACTAGTTATGATTTTTGCAACTCAAAAATTCAAAAGTAAATAGTAAACATTTGCCGTAAAATAACAATTACATATTATGCTAATTTTTATGCACGTCTTCATTTTCATTTTGATAATCCAATTTTGCAGATAAACTGATATAAAAATCAAACTTTGCTATAAAAATTTAAAATATTATTATTTAATAATATATTGATTTAAAAAAAACTTTGCTATAAAAATCCGAAAGCTATTTTCCTTTCTTAGAATTTTAGAAGTTTGTGTCGATAGTTAATAATTAAAAAATTGTGCTTGACAATACAAAGTGGGTTTTAAAAATTTTGTTTTGGAGTAATTTTAATAGGAAAGTTTTGTTCTATAGATAAAAGTAACTATGTATGTATTAATATCGTTGTTGGAAGCTATTTTAAAAAACCAACACTATATTGAGTTTCTTGAACTAAGAACTCGTTGGTAGGTGCTAAAAGTATCATGGTTACAAAAATATATCAATTTGATCTTAATAACAATTAAGTTTTAAAACATTATAAAAATAAATATTTAAAATTTTTTAAAGTGAAACTTCAAAAAGGAACAAATGTTTTTGTTCACTTACTAAAAAAAAAAAAAAAAGTGTTTAAAATTTTCCATTTCCCTATTTTTACCATTTTTACTTTATGTACAATTTCATTAGTAAACAGCAAAGGATATATTAAAAAATTAATACTTGATTAATTTTTTATATGGATCATGAAAGTTCACCTATGGGCGCATTCTTGAGCCATAAATCATGAATAAAATTATATAAGTTATCACTGACTGCAACCTTAAAATAAAAAAAGATAAATATTTTTTTAAAATTTAAATTATATTGTAAATTAAATAATAAATTACTTTGTACGGGGTTGGATTTAAAGTTCTTTTATGATCATTCCTTAATGTTTTTAGTGAAGATTGAACTTTTTCACGTACTTCATCCAAAGTTGGAAGTTTCTGATGTATACGTCCATTTTTCCAATAAAGCTTATATAAAGGTTCAACTATACTTGGAATTACGTAAGCCCGTTTTGATTCTTGGAATGGATGTCGACATAATACCTTTTGTCCCACTTCAGGAGGTGATTCACTGACTTTTTGTAATAAATCAATTAAAGCATGGCCATCAGCGCTATATAATCTAAAATTAAATAAAATTATATAACTTTTGTTTTTCAATTTTCAAATTTTCAATATTTTATAAGCATTTACCTATATGCATTTTTGTTACCGGGCATTGTAACTTTTTCAACATCTTGACTCAGCTTAATTCTGGCATGACCATTTATTTCGACCAATTTAAATACACAACCTAAAGCTGGCTGTCTTTGGCAAGTTACTGAAATTTTAATTTAAATATATGATCATTAATTTAAATTTTGTTTTATTACAAAATAATGTTATATTTTACCTAAATGTGTTCCAATACCAAAACAATCTATCTTATGGCCTTGTTCATTCAAACTTAAAATTGTATCTTCGTTAATATCGTTTGATGCTACAATTGTTAATGTATTAAACCATGGAATTTGAAATTTTTCGGCAACTTTTCCAAACGAATCACGAGCCAAACACGATAAATATGCTAAATCACCAGAATCAATGCGAATTCCAATAGCTCGATAATCTAAATCATTTAGAGCTAAAGCTACAGCACAAAAATTTAGTAAACCACTTCTGAAAATTATAAGAATATATAATAAATATAATGAGTGATCTTTATGATATAAATAATTTCAACTGTTATTCTTATTCAATGAATTAAACCGAGAATTTTCAAGCTTTTGAGAAATAATTTTTTGCCAATTTAAAAACATATTATTAAAAAATTGATTCCACTAAATTTATCTATGTATCTATTCAGTGCCTTTGGTAATCGACAATTAAAATTAAATAATTTTTTTCGCAAGTACTAATGAAAAACTTTTGTTCACGAAAAACAGTTTTAAAACCTTGCTTCAATAATTTTTTACTCATCATACTTAAAAATTATACTATTATTTAGATCTTTAAAATATTTTATGATTATATAGTATCTACGTACGTACATATGTACTTAAATCCAATTTTAAGAAATTTTATTTTATGTTTTCATGACTATGCAAAATAGTATTAAATGAAATTATTTTAAAAAATTATGTTTGAAAATATTTTGATCGTATGATTCAAAAGTGAGATGCGAAAAATGTCAGTAGTTTAAGATAATCTTTTGTTTTGTGAATACATACATACATACATACATGCGTATATGGGATTTTACAAGAAAAAAAAATCAGTTTTAGAACAAAGTACCTGAATAATAATATGAAATGTTAATAATATGGTTTTAATTTTAATAGTATATAGAGACAGCATGTTCTGAAAAATATTCTTGTATTATTAAAATTTATTAAATGAATATGCTTCCTAAAAAAATACACTGACTTCATTGTTGCATTTTTAAGGAATTAAAAATTTATCTTTTCACCCCTTAATATTGAATTTTACTTCTTATATCAATCTGATGAATCTGATTTTCTTCAGCTTTGGTAAACTGCACATGTCGCACATATGGCATATTATCTTAGTACAAATAAAGTGTCTTTTTCAGAAATGTGTCTTTCAATTATTTAAACTAAGTGCTAAAATAAAAAAAAAATGCATAAAACGAGCAAATCAGACAAATGATAACAAGTCCATCATTCCAAATGATCATACAAGTTATGTTTAATTGATAACCGCAACAATGTTTCTTATTTCAACCCAATATTATTGAAAACAAAAGAAAGGAATACAAATCATATAATTAGATTAATTTTTTTTATCTACTGCTTAAAATTTAATCAAAATACAGTTTACCAAAATTTTAGTAAATAATTAAAGATTAATTTTGCAATAATAAATTTTGACTATAAAAAATTTTGTAGTAGAAGCCTTAAAAATAAAGAACACAAATCTTGGTGACTTTGGGTAACATATAACAGATAAGAATCTAGTCAGAATATTTACTGTAATATTTTGTGATAGAAACTAATTTTGGTAGTACAATAGAATTTTACTCGTTTCAAAAATAAAATAGTGAAATAAATTGTGACCTGTCCACTTCTTTTATAACCATTATGTAAAAATGCCAAACATAATAATTTATAACCTTTTTTTTTAGGTTATCATAAAAATAAACTACAAATTTCAAAGCGTTAATAAAATATTTCAGTTCCTTGTCAAACTAGTGCACACAACTTTAAAATTCAAAGTTTGAATACTATAAATTAATAGTGTTCAGCTGCTTCTTACTTAAAATATTCCCAAATATTATGAATAATTCAAGGCTTTGCAATTTTTTTGTTAAAGGGTATTTTGTTAAAGATTCAACAGTGTACTTTTTCAATTTAACTATCGTTCAATAATTGTTTAATTGTTTTTTGTCGTGGTAATTTACATACAATTTGCATGTGCATGTGCAAAATCAAATATAAATTCTGCAGATTAATAATCTAAAATATTCAGAAACAAAACAAAAAAATAAAAAAATAAAATAATAAATATAAAATATTACATATTATTTTATTTAAGTTTTTCTTTTTATCATTTTTACCGTTCTGAGAAGGTAACAGTTGCATAAATTTGAATTTACTAACCTTTTTATTTATAGAAAGAGATTCGTGTCTTATAAGATTTTTAGTAACTGTCCAAATCAATACGTCTGCCAAAAAAAGCCGGGAAGTCTTTTCGAACTATGTATTTATTAACATATACATTAATGTTAAAAAAATGTATTAAATTCACAGTTAGTATTCTTTTACATTTTTAAGTTAATTTTGTATATTGATATACGTGAAATAAACTTATATTTTTTAAATTAAAAATAATATTATTTGTTTTAATAAAAATTTAAATTTAAATCAAAACCCCTACCATAAGTGAAAATTCAAATAAATTCCTAAAATTGAGAAGAAGTTATAAGCTGATACTAAATTTATTCACTCAGATCACAATCGTTACAAAACTGCTTACAAATAATTGAGAACGTTGAAAATTATTTATTTCAAGAAAACTGCATAATCTGCATTGTTGATGGAAAATTAAATAATAAATTAAAATTTATATTCTAACACGAATTTGAATTATTATACTTATATTGAATTTTATTGCATTCCTAATGTAAGGATATTTAGAGAAAATTTTTTTTTATTGTTTCTATATTAAAAAATATTTGATCAACTAAATATAATATCAGCATTTTTAAATTTACTGTATTGCAATATTTATGTAATGCTATTACTATCTTTTTGATGGATTTTGATTTTTTACACAGAGTGCTTTAGCAACAAGTAAGTTACGAAAATCAAAAATAGTGATAATTTGTTGAGTTTACAAATTTTATTAAGGTCTTTAAAATCATGAAATAGAAATGATCTTCTTCCTATATCTCTAGAAACCATATAAGATTTTTTAACGTTTAATGTCTCAAATTAAAGCTTAAGCAGCTGGGCAAACCTCTGTAAAAAGCATTTTGGAAGCTTCAAAAAATTTCCCGGAAAATTAACAATTCACAACATTATATAATTTTCTTTAAACATTTAATTTCCAAAAAAAAAAAACTTGAATTTCTGAAAAAACATATAAAACCAAATAATGCGCTGTTCTTATTTTTAAGCTCTCTAAAATGCTTTTCAAAAATTGCTTGCTTGAAGATTTTTCCTGTTTTTCTTTGACACGGAGCTTAAATACACAAAAATTCCAAAAAATTATTTTAAAATGCCTGTAGTTCGGCAACGGTTCCGATTTGACACTATATTCAGAACAAAAATTTTACTCATTTCCAACCATATACCATGGTGTCTAACTTGTTGCCGAATCACCCCGTATACTTGCTACTGCATTAGAAAAATCATGGTCAAAAATTTGAAATTCAAAGAAACGAAAATGGTAACACTAACTAAAATTTGCCAATCCTATATTATTTCTTATCCTATAACATATATTATTAAGTAGAAATCAATATAGCTAATAAAATAATTTATTAATTATTAAAATATAAGAAATAAGAAGAGAAAAATATGAAGTTTTCGTGATGTTTCATCAGTCACTAATTCTAAATTACGTAAAATTTCCTAATATTAAATTTATTAGAAACTGTAACTGTAAAGTTGATAATCTATACTCAAATTGTCCGACTAATAATTCAGAATCAATAGATTATTAACTTTTGTGTTTAAAAGAAAATTTTTGTTAGACTCTCTTACTAATTATTAAAATACCAATGAATATATTTAATATAAGCATAATTGAGTTAATTTTAAATTATTAATAAGTAAAAAAAAAATAAAATTTTATTTCACGTAATATACAAAAAAAAATAAAACTTAAACACAAATTAAATGAAAACACCAGGATTTAACATAGCATAATGTAAAAAAACAAACTGAACAACTGAACCTAATTATGTATTTAATTATGTTTTTATTATGTTTCATAAATAATGTAAACGTTCTGTATATGATGGAAATCAATTTATGAAACAACTTATGAATAACTTTTACAAATGTAGTCAATGATGAATGATATCAGAAAATCAAATATGTATTTTGTAAAGCAATTAGTATAAAAAAAAATTTAAACAGAAAAGCACAAAATATTTTAATCATGTAAAACTTTTAAAATTTTTATTTAAAATCATACTGAGTAATTCCATGTAGAATGATTAACATACAATGAAAGATTATTAAAAAAAAAAGCGTGTATCAAAGTTATTTTACTGTTAAAACAGTAACATAGTTAAACTTTTCTTTACAATTGATAGCTTGTAACAGTTTTTAAAGTTAAAATCTGACAAAATAATTAAAAATTAATATACAACTTTTTCTCTCTAGATTTAATGCAAAATAAGAACTTTATAAATTAAAATTTTGGTTAAATAGACAGTGAACAGACTTACACATTTCATATAGCCCCCAAATAAAAAAAAAACTATACGATAGAAGGAATTCACATTAACATCGCAAAGATATTATTAATTCATAACTGAATTTTATTATTAGGTATTTCTAATATAAATTAAAGAATTAATCAATTATTATATTTTTTTGTTTTATTGTTAGATAATGGAAATTATGAAAGAGTTTGTGTCAAATTTCATACAAGTGTAATAATACAAATCTATTATATTAAACAATTATATAGCTATATGAAAATATCATACATTTTTTTATACATGATTATATTTAAATTAATTTTTTAAATTGTGGATGAAATCGATCTTAAATATTTTCCGAATACTTTCAATGAATGTAATAAATTTCATAACATATAGAACATATAGGAAACATGCATTTAAATATGTATATGTGTTTTGTTTTAAAGATCACAAATATATTTTAGTGTTTTTTACATGGGCAGTGTGGTAAAAAAAAAGTTGTTTTCATGCAAATAAATAATTTGGCGAGCAAAATGATTTTTTCTTGAAAATTACAATAAAATAATCATTATTTACTTTTATAATAATCATTATTTTATTCGAAATCAATTTTATAAATTTTTTTTTAAATATACATAGAGAAAGTTTCAAATTTTTTTAGAGAAATTCTATTGAATCTTAAAAATTATTTTATTTGATTTGTTATTTCGTGCTAAAAACTAATAATTAAACCTAATATTATAAAAATCGAATGTATAACATTATTTTTTTACAATATCATACATTATAATATTTCAACATATTTATCGTAGTAAAGCGTCTACGTACAACACAATATTCGCGAAATTTAAAACTAGTCTGCAAAAGTATTTGATATTGTTAAAAGACACTAAATTATGAAATAATTAAAGTTGAAACTATATATTTTTTTATTGTTTAAATAAAATCCTGAAGGTTAATAAACAGAGTGGTCCAGTTTCAGTGTAAATCAAAATTTTATCTTTGAATAACTATAAATTGAAAACGGTAAATTTGGCAGGGCATATCGTTATGTAGGTCTATCAATAGAGAAAGCTTTTGAACAAGTTATTGTTGTAACTTCAACATCCCAAACCTGGAATCGATATTCGTAAGATAGAAATTTTTTAAATCCGAATTCTTTAAATCCCTCCAAAACAACCCCTAAATGTCTGAGCTCTAACATGGCGCCCGCACCCGCACTCAGCCAAACAATTATTTTCCCTAAAAAACGCCAAGTAAGTGTAATCGAGCACGATTACAGCAGAACCGGACCACCCACTATAAATCTAATATTATTCTAAGATTCTTAATAGATCCTACGTAATATAATTTCAAATATACATTTTATTTCAGAAAAATGTGTCAAGATTAATTAGTAATTATGCTATTTCAAAAAAAAATATGATAATGAAATTTCGTACAAAATTTTTTTTTCAAAGATAAATTTCATTTAAGATTTTAAAATTCGAACAGCTTGATCATTTTGTTAACTTTTAAACAATATACATAATTGCAATTTAATTTAAATTACATATTAGATTTACTTTTATATCATACATCATTGACCTAATTACATTTGATTTTTTTGACTGATATTATTAACAAAACGGTTCGTTACTTTTATTAAATATTTTATTCGCAGTAAATGAAATTGTTAATAAAATAAATAATTATAAACTAATTATTTTTTTTCGAAAAGAATAAAAAAATTCTTGTTAATTTTTTTTAACGTAGTTACCTGTATGACTTCCCAGCGGTTTTTAGCAAATCATTAGTCGTTCTATTATTTGAAACCAAATTGGGAATGATGTTGGAAGAAAATCCATTTGTACTTGTTTTATTGTTTGTACTTTGTTGTAAAGTAGAAGTATTATAACGTCTCCTTTTTTTATTTGTTCCATTAATCGAAAGATCTTTATTTCCATTCACTGATGGTATAAAGGTCGATATTGCTTTATTACTTACACTACTTCCGTTATTATCAATATTTATGTTACATTTATCATTACTATTATTTTTGTTATCACTACTACTTTTATTACTACTATCATTTGTAATATCAATTTTGTTATAATTATTTGATAAATCAATTGTACTCATTAATTGTGTCTCACTTGCTTGTGTTGTTCCATTTTTTTTTATAAATTTCCCATTATTTGGGGTATTAGCAACCACTGTCTCATCACATAAACTATGTATACGAAAATAATATTTGTATAAAGAATTGTTTTTTTTTTTAAAGAAAAATTATTCGCCAAAGGTTAGAATATCAGAGAGGCGGTTCGTGACGATTACGAATAGAATTGAAAGTAATTTTCCATTTTCAAACATTTCAGTTTTAGTTGCTCTTTTTACTTACTTAAAATAATTATCCTATTTATTATAAGTCTAAAATATTTTTTTTTCAAATATAAAGTAGATCTTTCAATAATAAATTCCTAATCGCCACGAGTGAATGTATGGGCAATAATGAAATTTTAAAACAAGTTTTGTTAAAAATTAAAAAAAACTATTTTACTTTCATTTTATTAATATATTGGAAATAAAATAGAAAATAGTAAATCATAAGTAACTTTGCATATTCAAAAAAAAAATATATATAATAAATAAAAACGAAAACTAATAATGATGAGGAAATGTTTATGGTATATGTATATAACATACGATGATTCAATTAAGATCGAAAAGTTTATATTGGATATTTACCAAAATGCAGATCTAACCCTGGTTTGATTTATTCAACAATACAATTTCAATTGCTGAATAAGCCAAATTGACGTTAGATATGCATTTTAATATACAATGATTTATTTGCAATAAGTTTAATTAAATATTTATTTTAAACGTGTTTCTATATCAATTATCAAATAGAAATTTGGAGGAAAAAAATGTTCTTTGATAATTGCTAACAATCAATTTAATTTAAGTTTTTATGTTTTTTTTTATTTCTAATGTAAAATTTTGCATGTATCAATTAAGTACTAGTTCTGCACTTAATTTAAAATTAAAATTTTTATATGGATTAAAAAATGTGACTCCTTTGTAATGTGCAAAAAAACTGCTTTCTTCCTTTAAACAAGTGTAATTGTAATGAATAACTTTCCCTTATTTCTCTAACAACCTCTCTAAATTTTTATGTAGAAGCACTAAAAAAATCTTTTACTTTATAAATTTAATTCTAGTTAAAATTATAAAACCCAAATAAAAATTTTAAGCAAAATAAAATATCAGTACATAATATATTTCATCTCAAATTACATTTCTTCTGGACATGCATATTTAGTGCAAAAGAATATTTCTTGGGCATATAACTAGGTCGTCCCTTCTCGACAATTACATTGTTCATTTTTAGAAGAGAAAATATTTTTTTTCTAACTCAAAAGCTTTTTAATGTTAATTTGTATTACTAAAGAATGCAGAAAAATTATATGTTTATCTAATTTAAAAAAAAATGTGTTTACAGTATTCTTAAAAAAATATGTAAATAAATAAATAAATTTGTAAAAGATTAATTTATGTACCTTTTCACATCATATGTATCAACAAGTGCCATAAATCCATCAGGAAATGCAATAGCGAAAGAGACCATTGCTGCTAATTCACCTTCACTTGATTCTTCCGGTGAAATATCTAGTAACTGTGATAAAGCTTGCCGATGATTGATTGCAAGATCTAATAAATCAATTGGTAGACCTACAAATTGTAATTACAAAAAAAATTATCAAAAAAAAAAAACAAATTTTCTTTATACAATACATTGTATGTATGCAAATATTTTCAAATTATAAAAGTAATAATGTACCTGTTGTTCTATGATTTAAAATTCTTGTTTTTAATTCAGAGATTCCAGTAAAAGAAGTAATATAAGCGTGAGCATGAGTTCCTTTTACTGGAATATTAAAAAGTTTACCCGCCAAAACATTAGATGTACCATCAAAGCCGCCTGAAAATTAAAAATAAAATTAAAAAAATAAGGTTGCTTTAAATTTAATAGATTTTATAAAATTAAAAAAAAAAAATTTAGTTTAGAAACTGTAATGATTATAAGCTGAAAACGTATGAAAAATTTAATAATGCATAATAGACTATGGTTACTAGATAAAACCTACAGTTACTCCTTTAGATAGTTACTCAAACTAGCGCTAAAGTGTTATCAAGGAATTTATTTAAAGACTTTTGTTAGAGAAAACTATAAAAAAAAACTTTTGTTTGAATGATATTAGCTTTCCTTTGATGTTTCTAAACTGTTACAATCACAGATTTACAAAGCTCGTTATTGAGAAAAGCGTTAACAAAATAAATATATAAAGTCAAACTATCGTAATAGACAAATTTTATTCAAACATATCAAAATCAAAAATAATAAAATGAATCATTAACATTAGTAATACCCCGCCTAATATAAAAATGTTGTAAACGGTTATTTCAAAAAATAAGTTTTCCATAAGGAAACATTCCCGGCGTTTCAGTATTTAAGATGCTTTTATATTACATACATACATATGTACATCTCTCTAGAATTTTTAAATAGAATTTGCAAAATGCATACGTATGTATTTATATAGGTACATACATACATATATCCACACGTGTTATCAGCTGTTAAAAAATATTGGAATTTGAATTGCTTGTAACATGTAAGGTTATGCCTATTGACATTACATTTTTATTTTTTTCATCATTTCGACGATTATCGCATTGTTTAATATAGAAAAATAAAATATAGATTTATTTATCAATATTTAACCTTCATACCAAATCAAAGTCTATAACACATGTATGTGATATATTAAGGTATATTACCAATACCTTAATATATCAAAATAAAAATAGCTTCTTCAACTTCAAGGTCAATCAAACTTTATAGTTTTCCTAACGTGTAAAATTTACCCTTCAAAATAGTGAAGGTGCAAAAATTTTTTTGGAATCTATTTACAAAATTATTATTAAGTATTTGAAAAATGTTTTAACTTTTTTCTTTTGTAATTTTTCACGGTTTGCATGTTTTTGGAAATTATAAAAATTAAATATAACTGAAATATGAAAGAGCTTCAAATAATACATATATAAATGCATACATACATACATGTAGATCTAACTGTATAATTTTGACATTGATCTAAAGATAGAAAATGCTAGTGCGAAATTTCTCGTTTTTTTTTCTCGTGGTAAATACCAAGAAAACGTTAATTTGACTTTCTAGTCAAATATAAATGTTAGGGATGGTTCTTTACGCAATAATGACTCGACTTTACTGCTATAAAACATTCAAGATTTTTGTAAACACGTATTATAACAGTAATAATTGTTTGGAATATGATAATTATCTTTTTTGATGACATATGTACATATAACAAATTTATAACAGTTGATTGTTTTACATAAAAGTGTCAAAATAATTTTTTTTTTTGAAATTTTCTTTTGAAAATAATAAAATTTTCCATATTAAAATTTTGATATTGATAATTTTGTTTAATATAAAGTAAATGGTATTTGTTATTAATATTCAAATACGCAATGAATTCTTTCAATTACATTAAACCCCCCTTACATAGTCGATATATCACACAAAACCTATGAACCATATGTATACGAGTATGTATGTATTTTTTTTTGTTATTTTTTATATTTTTACTATTAAAATTTTTAAGTAAACTAAACTTCCTTCCTAAACAATTCTTAAAGTTACGAAAAAATAAATTGTATTTTTGTAAGATTTTCCCATATATAAGTAATAATTTTACTTAACAAATAAAATAGGACTGGTCTGGATTTTCCAAACTGAATTTTTATAATTTTCATAAAATTTTATTTTTCATACATTATTCACATTCAAATCCATATTACAAGTTTTGACGAAATTAATAAAAAAGTAAAAGTATACTTATAAAAATTATAATATACGAGTAATAGAAAGTCGGTGGGAGTTTAAATTAGCTATATTCTAAAGTATTTATGCGGATTTTTAAAAATGTGTTTTATAATTTCTTACGTTACGCTAATAGAGTTAACAAAAATAATAATTATCAAAGAGGTTAAATTCACTTTAACAGATTGTACCATGTCCTAAAATCTAAACAATTCGTACCATTCCGTGTCATGATTACCATTATTCACTTCTTTCATTTTTTAAATTGAAAGTAAGAAAAATTGCAAACTAAAAAAAAAAAAAAAAAAAACAAAGTTTTTTTGTTATAAACTGGATCGTGTTCATCGATAGCAATTCTTAAGCTTTTTTTTCATTTGTATTCTTTTGTTATACACCTATTTGGCTAGCATTTTATAAGTAATACCTTATAACTTTATATGAAAAGGAGTAATATGATTTTGGTTGACACGAAATTTACCATTATGCACATACATTTTTTTTAAAACATTCATAATAGAGAAAATAAAATATTTTTATGACTTTATTGTTATGAAGTAAAATTCATACAAGCATACATATATTAAATATGTGTTAAAATTGCTTTTTAAAATACTAAAAAAGTTTTATAATTAACAATTTCTCTTTCTTATAAAACGTGAGCTCATTTTTCAGATTTAACGCTTATTTAGTATGATTTTTATTTGAAATCATTCTCTGTTTGCACAATATTATTAATATCCACAATCAATATTTAAAAATAATTCATATAGATATAAAATTTCTGAAAAAATGTAATTAACAACTTAAGATCTTTATATTTTGGTTAAATGCCTTACCCTTATGATTTTGAATTTGTGAATGTCTGTATTATACTTAATGTTTGTCAAATAAAACTTTATTTACTAACTTGTTATGTTTCGAGGAACTATATTGAATGTAATTAATATTTGAATCTAAAACAAAAACAGGATTTTAAACATGTATGTTAGTTGCACATTATTAAACAATTCAGATATTAATTTTTAATAAATTAATGTTATTATGATTATAAGCCATTTTCCTAAATATTCGAAAATGAAGTGCATTCGAATACTAACAATTTAATTTTTTTAATAATCGCAATATATAATCAATTATGTATACTTAACTTAATCTTAAAAATTATTTTATTTTAGAATAAATTAAACAATAAAATAAAATTTTATAGTTAAGAAAAAACAAACATATTTTGGGTAAATTAAATACGTAAACTAAATTACTAATTTAAAATAATTATTTCAAATTTCTGAGCGAACAGTTTTCCGAACAAGATTTGTGAAATTTGTGAAATTGTAAATTATATCATATTGTAGAAAAATTGAACCTGACTTACAATTTTTTAAGAAATTCATGATTAATAATGCATTAACCAGACGAATGAATGGTATTATAAAAAAGTTTATGGTCATATATTTACATAAATAACTAAAATGTTGTAAATTATGTATTTTCTTGCAATATTTCTACTGACTACAATTTTGTATAACGATTTTTTTGTGAGAAACTAATCAATTTTTTTAAGATCCTATTATGTATCTCCTTAAAAAGAAATTACAAATGTGATAAATTTTACTATTTTAAACACCAAAAAAAATTTTTAATGTTAAACGTTAAACTATTAAATTAAAACATACCAATATAAGAGTATTTTGAAGCTGATAAACCACCGTCTGGTCCTTGTGCCCTTCTTAATCCAAATTCTAATAATTTAACATTCTTACCAGCTACCATACGATAACGTGCTGCATTTGTAGCCATTAAACTAATTTCAAAATAAACAACATTTATATATTTAATCCAATTGAATTAAAAAATGTAATTATTCAAACCTTGCATAATTAACCAGAGTTAAAAGTGTTGTTTCTAATAGTTGAACTGAAATTAAAGGACCTTCAATTTTAATTAAAGGAACCCTTGGAAACACAACCTGTCCTTCATCAATAGCATAAAGTGTTACATCTTTCGCAGTTAAATTTCTTAAGTACTCAAAAAATTCATCTTCAATGCTTTCGGGCAAAGTCCGTTTTAAGTAGCATATATCTAAAATATTTATATTAATACAATTTATTTATAGATATAATAATACAAAATCAATAAACGGATACATGGATCAATAACAACTTACCACTATCTGAATAATGAAAATTATCTAAAAATTTTAGACATTCTTCAAGACCAGCAAATATTGTAAATTCCCCATGAAATGGATTTGATCGAAAAAATAGATCAAAAACGCTATAATCATCAATTTTTCCAGATTTCCAGTAAGCATAAGCCATAGTTATCTGATATAAATCTATATAGCAAATAAAAAAGTAAAATATTAATAAATTGATATTTTGAAGTAAAGTTTACAGTGATAAGCTTAGAAAATATTATTGATAAAAATTGAAAATTGTTTTATTGTGGCAAGTTTCGAATCAATCGTGTTTGCGGATCAAACGATATAATCTGTTTATAAATAACAAATTTTTTTTTTTCTATTTCTAAATATTTCTTTTTTTCTTTCATTTCTAAATATATTCTATCCGATTTCAATCTCAATAGATTTTTACTTTAGAATACTCCAATAATTTTGCATTGATATGATTCATATTTACTTAGAAATGAATATAAAATTCATGAAACTAGAATTTTCAATACAAATTTACTAGTTTTAAGAGATAAGTTCATCTAGTACCCATAGTATAAGGCTTATATTTTAATTTAGTCAGAAGGCAAGAAAAAAATACACAGAAATGAGAATATGAACAAAAAGTTTGATACACTTTATTAAAATAAGTGCAAACAAATATACGCAAAATTAAATGCTATGTTATGTCTGCATTAGTATCATTTAGCATCATGGATTAATTTAAATATGTTCAATATCATTTATTATCGGTTTTGAATTAAATTACAAATTAACAAAGTTTATAAATAAATAATTAAAACCAGTATTTATGGACAACGTTAATTAAATTTTAAACAGAATTCAAAACATTTTTTTTTATTTTACTTGTTTGAATTTTTAAAAATTTTCTTTTCACACAAAAATGTATGTAAATAATTGCATAATATCGTACCCTGTAAATATGTATATATATATATACATTGTGTATGTAAACATGCATAATGAATAACAAAATATTTTTTTTAAGCAAAATTCCGGATTTTCCCTTTTAACATAAAGTTATAAGTACACAGGCATATAAAACAAAGTCAATGGAAACTTAAAATAAACTTTTCAGTATAATCAAATTTTTATCTTTGATAAGCACAATTTCAGATAGGTTCCTCTGTCTATATACATACATATGTATGCATGTATGAACATACTTTTTAATCATTATAAACAAAACTTATTTCATTTTGGTTGTGAATCAAAATAGAAGGCAATAAAATTTTTTTTTAAATAAAACCAACATTAATTTACTAAAATTTAAATAACAAAGTTATTTATAACATATAACATAGTAGTTATTTATAACTACTTACAAAAATGTTATAACTACTTACTTTTCATGTTTGTAATAATATGTTTGTATGTATAGAAGTATGACTGCGGTGTTCTCATTTAAATTTTCATAAACATATATTTATTAATATTTAATAATCTACATTAATTTATTTTACATACATATAATAATGATTTAAAATTTTTGGTATAAACTCAGAGCAAGCTGTATGTGGCTTATAAGTTAGCACATTTCCCGTCGACACTCGAATTAAAAAAAAAAAAAAAAAATGTTTTACTTAGATTATTCTCGAATATATTAATAGATCGTCTTATTGCATACGTTTGGGTGAAATCAAAAATTAAAAACACTTTATACAGTGATCTAAGTTTGACAAGATCACCGTTATTGAAAAAATTTCTTATATTATTTTACCGTTATTTTTAGATTTTCAAATTATATTTTAAATATTATGCAGACATTGAGAAAAAAATACGTACATATATAATAATTCAAACAAATCAATAAGTATACGCAACTCCAAAAAAGTGAAGATTTTAAACGTCTTATTAAAATTCATTCAAAATTTAATATTCGACCCATCACTGAGCAATTACACTTTAACTATCAATCAAATAAAGGTTAAGTACAAGATGATCAAAGAATTTCAAACCTTATTCTCATCATGCATTGCGAACTGAAATGAATTTTTTACACTCGCCATAGCATTAAATTCCACTTTTTTTTAAATTAATATTCTTCTTGCACTGTTTAAAAGTTTGTGTTTTCGTTTTGAAAATTTATACCAATATGGAATTAAATTCCCTCTAAGTATAGCGCATGAGAGTCAAAATTTAAAAAAAAAATCAGTATATTAAAATGAAACATTGCATAAAATATAAAAAAGAATCAGTGTATAAGTTTTTCAAAAATTGAATTCAGAATGTCTCACAAAAACACTCAAAAATTTAAAGACGTCTTGAAATTATTATTAATTATTAAATAAAACAAAATAATATTGTCAAGATTACCGAATACACATACATATTTACGATTGAGTTTTAAAACGTTTCTATAAAATGTAAATTAATATTTTTTAAAAAAAGAATTAAATATAACAATGCATTCAATTTACAATATAATTCTTCGGGAAATTCCCGATTTACATAAAAAATTGCCTTATATTCTGTTATAGCCGTTTTTTTCCCGCGCTTATATCATTAAAAAAAAAACAAGTACCTAATTGATTACTAATTTTTTTATTTGCCAACAACTTACTTTAAATTAAAAAATTTTTTGATAAAGTTTAAGAATTTTAAAAAATATTGTACAAGTTTAAGGTCTAAAAAAAACTAATTCCTATGTACATATATCGAAATATGTGGATTAAATTTTCGAATACTTATATTGTACTTACCAGTTAACAAAGGTTGCACAATTCCGTTCTGGTTTCCTGGTGTTCTATCAAAATATGTTTCCCTTTCGTTATCCGTCATATTTAAAATTTTACTGATTCTTCTTTTTTTTTATTTATTTGTATTAATAAAACTTTAAATCTTTTCCCTAAATTTTTCCAAAATCCTATATGGATAAGAAAAAAAAAATCAAAATTAATTTATATTTACATAGGTATATATTTAATAAATTTAAATTTTTATTTATGCATGGTATACATATAGTTTGATTTTCGTAAAGTACAGTTCACGTTATTTTAATAAAAAATTAAACGGTTATCATAAACAAAATTTATATGAACATATTGTCTGCTGATCAATTCGAATTTAATATTAATAGCAATAAATTAAAAACTGATTGAATGTCATGTAAAATACAGAAAAAAAATTATTATCAAGTTTTAAATTCAATAATTTTAAATCTAAATATTTTAATACTTTCCTATTAAAAAGACAAAAATGTTCTAAACTAATAGAGCTTCAATGAAGTACTGAATATCTAAATTGTGCAATCTGAACTATAGTCAGAAAGAATGTTTTACTTTTTATTTATTCGAAATCATAATATTAAATTCATCAATACACAGATATACGTATAATAAGCACAAAACTTATACATATATGTATGTACATAAATTAAAACTGTCAAATCAATTCACAATATAAACATTATGATTTTCGATACTCCCAATCAGGGTTGCCACTCGTTAGACTTGAAAATGTAGTACATACATTATTGAAAATAAAAATACATAGTCAATTTAACAAGAAAACACTAAATAATATTGTAGTTTGTAGTATAACAGTAAAATATTTTACTATATGAATATAAAATTCACAATGAAATTAGATAATGTAAATATTGGTGATTTGAATTCAATCAATTTTATAGGCTAATTAATTAATTTTCACAAGCTAATTTAATTCATTAAATAATTTTTTCACTGAAATTATAATTGGTTTACATTTTTTTTACATTTCTACGAATGTATACAATAATATACTTCTCAATGAACTGCTACACAATAAAAAAATTGTTTTGGATGGTAGTATAATATGTACATACATAATAATAATAATATGATGATATTTAATTTATAACATAAAGTACATAATGTAGTAAAAATAGGAAAGAAAAAAACTATATTTCACAATATTTTTATATTGTAATACTATAATTTGTGTATTTTGTATAAATTTTTTTTAAATTAAAGTATTGAAATCATATACGTGTTTATTGTAACTTTTTAAGCAATATTTAATATTAATTTTTCAAAGCCTTAGAATAATTTCCTTAAAAAAAAAACGCAAAAACGAATATACCTTTTGATTATCACATAGCAAAAGGTTTTTGTTTTATTTAAAAAATCGCTTTTACACTATGATATTAATTGATAATTTATTTTAATAGAGGATAAAATTTTTTAAACTTGATTTTTTCTTTAATTTTTCTTTGAGTAAAAATATAAAATAGGTCTAATGATACTAGGATTTCCTTACACTTTAGAAAAAATTTTTTTATGTTAAAGGATATCAAGCTATTTTCACCTTAAAAAGGTGTTTTTTTTTTGTATATGTATATATAGTAAAAAAAATGTGTATTTTTGTATTCTTGTTTTTGATTTTTATTGATCAAACAAGTAAAAAATTCCGCTATTACATTAGCTCTAAAAGTTAATGTCAAATTTATTTTGCAATTTAATGACCTATAACAAAAAAAAACCATTATGCTTTAATAATAAAAATGTGATTCGAAATCACCAGAACCTTGTTTTTATCGGTCGATGAGGAAACAAAATAGAAACATAAATATTCCATGTTAGAAAAGCGAAAAAATATTAAAGAGTCCTTCTGGGTCTATATAATATTCACATTAATTAGGATGCACGGATAAAGATGAAGCTATTAAAACAGTTTAAAAACCAAATTAGAATAAAATATCTCTATTAATTTTACGTAACAGTTACTGAAGTTACTTGCAAAGAAATGTCTAAATTTTTTTATAATTTGGAATTTGCAATTCTTCTCATTTCCAAACAAGAAAAAAACGTTTTTCTTATATGCATTTAAGAACTTGATAGATTATAGCCTGATCCTTGATGACTTTTATGTGAACACAAATTGCATTTAAATTTTTAGTGTATTCTTAACTGAGTCCAAATTAGAAATTTCGTTGCAAGTATAGTACAATTTAAAAGACATTTGATAATATTAGAGTATCCCTGACATTGAAATTGTAATAATACCGTTCATTCAAAATATACGATTCTGCAAATACTAATTACAGAATAAGCATAATAGGCTGAATTCTGCATTAATACAGTATTTTTGTAATTCCGATCTCAGGGTATATAGCTGAATGAGTTGTAACTTTGTGCTCTTGTATTTCATTACTTTGCTATTTTTTATTGTATTTTATTTAAATAATGCTCTCTTTTTTTATTACTTTTACAAATGTCATTTAGAAGTTACATTACGTAACTTTGTTTCAACAGCTACTATTATAATAAAATTTTTATTCTTTATTTTATTTTTGAAATAAACCGTATCGACCAGTATTTTTTGATATATTCGCTTAACATTTTTTTATTTATTCACTTTTTGGTAAAACATATTCACTTTTTTAATTTCTTGTTAATTAAGAACTATTTTTTTAATGCAATAAAACTTTGAAATATATTGCTATGTAAATAATTATTTATTTTATTTAATACATAAAACTTGTTTACGATACATCAAACGTATTGTAGGAATTTAGAAAGCAAATTTTATAATGAACACAAGTTACCGTAAAGCATTATATTTATTTATTATTATTGTTTGTGCATGTCTGAAAATATCCCATCCATCTATCCCACCCATGCATATCTCATCCCATACTTTGATGACATTACTGTGCATATGTACATTTTGCAAAACAAATAATGATATTAGATATTTCATTATTATTACAGTATTACTTATCACACTATAGCATAATAAAAAGTTAGTATAGATAATTTTTCAAAATCTAATTTAAAAAAATCTTATAAATTTTGTGCTCATCTTATAAAAAATCAGCTTTTTCATGTTTCCCGAAGAGTTTCAAGAGAAAAATTTAAACAACGAAATTCTAAATCATGTATTTATTACTAATGTAGTGTTACGGATCTTAAATTTTAATTTTCTACAAAGAAAAGTAAGTTTTGGAAAAAAAGATATACGTATGCGATAAAGAGTGAAGGTTTTAAGATAATTTTTCATATTATATTAGTTTCCATAGCATACCTTCCAAAAAAAAATATTGAAAATATTTCTTCAAAAATCGTGAAATCATCTAAATGGTAAGTTAAAATTTATATTTTGAAAGAAAAATTTATTTCGGTCATCCTTCACGTACATATGTATGTACATATATTTTTAATATTTTACTAAAACCAATAACTTTTTAAAACAAACCATTAGCTATATTACTTAATTCTTAATTAAGTAATTTTAATACACGCTGTTTTGCTATACATACATGAACACAAAGATGATTACTTGAAATGAATAAATAACATGAAATCATATATTTATGTACATATACATAAATATTTTTAAATAACATACGTCTCAACCCAAGGTGTACAAGAACTGTTATTTAATAAAATATTAAAAAGTAGGTAAGTACCAATAACAAACTAAGGATTACTTTTAATTTTAATAATTAACTATGGATAAAGCTTAATAAACAATTTTTCAACTAAATATTTTTTTTTAATATTAATGTCCCTTAAAATTATTCCATAAATTCAAAAATATTTTAAGTATACGAGTACATATGTATGTACAAATGTATTTAGAAATTTTTACGGTTTGAAACTATTTTTATACTTTCTATGAAACGTAGGAGACAATTTTTACAGTCTATAAAAAGATTATGTTTGTTTAAAATCAGAAGATATTAAACAGTTTTGAAACTAAAAAAACGCGATAACATCAGTTTGTAGGCTCATTCATATTATATGCGAAATATTGCTTTAAGTATATGCATGCATAACTTTGTGTAGCCAAAACTTCGTCAACTTTGGTTTTTTCAAATTCTTTTAAGTTAAAGCTAAGTTTTTTTATATTACTATATGCTAAATATACTATAAGCGAAGAAAGGTTAATTTATTCAAAAATATTGTGAAATACTTTCAATAAAATAATATTAATATGCTTCATAGAAAATATCAATTGTAAAATATTAATAATATGTATGTAGGTATATTGTATGCGCGAAGTAGATATGTAAATACATACATAAATTACAATATTTATGATACAATCGCTGTATACCATTAGAATAGATAAGTTAGCATGCATGGTACATATTTAAAATATTCTCGCCTGAAAGTATATACATACATATGAATGTATGTGTTCGGAATGAATGATAAAAGCACTGATAAAAGAATAAATAATCAATACTAATATAAAAATTATAAAATACACAAAATTTATAATTTAAAAATACCTAAGCAATTTAGCAATTAAAAAAAATAAGTAATTTAAATTAATTCTTTAAAATATGATATTTATTTTATAATAATTTATTTAAATATTGCAGTTTCAAAGTAAATATATGTATAACTTTATTTTGCCGCCGATTTACATTTCTACTATGTCCTTCACATCACCTTCGCTGTTTTATAAGCTTAACACTATCTTAAAAAATATTTAAACACCACTTACATTCAAATTCATGCCTTGTAATTTACTTTAAAACTTAAGTATATTGACTAAATTGTACAATTTTTTTTTTGTTTTTTTTTTGTGTTAATAACAAATCTAAATAAAATTAATTAGTAATATTTTGATTTCACATAAAAAAAATGAATTTGACACTTTTCATGTTGCCAATTCAACTACAAAAATATTTATTTGACACTTCTAATGTTGTCATTTGTTCTACAAAAAAAAAGAAAAATTCTACAGAAAAAGAGTTGTCATTTGTCAAATGTCATATATAAATTGCATGACATTTGACAAATGAAAACTCTGCCCGATGGTTGCAGTGATAGCAATTCTTTTGTTTTATAAAACCTTATCACCCTTATTCTGATAGTCGTATCGCATACAAATATGGCTTGAAGTGATACTATCACAACTGTAATATATGTATTTAGTCCTTCGAGCCCTGAGTTTCATCCATGCACCAGTTGAAAAAATTTATTTATTAAAAGATTATTGAAATCCAAACCGACTGACAGGCTTGTATCAATGAGAGACGCCATATGCATCCAGGCCATTAAATTTTGCAAATGTGAGAGAAACTCGGTTGTTAAGTTGAGCATTTGCATAACAGAACAGATTCACCACTTTGAACGGTTGTTGAACATTTTTCTAAGTCATTAATTCATTTAAATCATCTAAAAAAAATTGGTATAAAATAACATTTACAGTACCTAAAGCAAGTCATACACCAAATTGAAGCTAAGTGTTTAAGGTTGCCACCTGTGCTAAAATCGGGGAAACCTCCCATGTTACATCACCTAGAAAATTGGCGTTTTTTAAAAGTGAAAAGTTATAATTTCAACTTTAAGTCATGTGATTCCGAAATATGAACAGATTATAACTAATGTAGATATTCATAAGAAAGTCCTTACTCTGAGGTTTCCAAATCATATTTGGTAACGCACTTGTCTTACACAGTCGCAGAGTTGTAGTTTAAATTTCAAAAAGAAAAAAAATCATTCGAAATAGATTTTAGGCCTCTGTAGCTCTGAACCAGTTGAATTGTGAACATGAACAAAAATTTTATCTACTCATGAGGGCCTATCTATACTATAATCTTATTTTAAGGCAATAACAACTCAAGTATTACACCACCGACAACCCTAATTGATGTTGACACAACGTATTCATTCTGCAGCTTTTATTTATTTATTATCATTCTGCAGCTGCATTGTTCCGTCGCAATGTTTGACGTTTGAATTTGAGACAATGTTTTGTTTGTATATCAATATTCAATAGAGTAAATCAAAATAAAATGGCTAATTTAAAAGACGAACTTGATGAATATTTATTGTTAAATAGTGAACAAAAGAAAACCTTTAAAATCGGCTTGAAGATACCTTCAATAAGGGGAACCGATGTGGGGAAATTATTTAGAAATAACGAACCAGAAGCAAACAGTTGGTTGGAGGAAACTCAAAACAGTTGTTGCCCCAAATTGGTTTGTATCATCAACCCAAAATATAAACATAATTAATTTTCAAACTCCTAAATATGATTTTGAGAAATTTACTAGATTTAATTTACAGACACGAGTACAAAGAATACTTTGTTTTATTGCATGTTTATGTTTAGGAACATTTTTCATGGGAATGTCCATTTTTTACATACCAGTCTTAATATTAAAAGCAAGGAAATTTGCACTTCTATATACTTTAGGGAGTTTATTTTTTATATTGAGGTAAATTTTACAATAACAAATAAAAAAATTGTTATCATAAATTCATTTTAGTTTTGGTTTCTTGTTGGGATTTATGTCATTCTTTAGCTCAATGCTTTCTAAACAACGATTAGGAATATCTGTGACATATGCTGGATCATTGATCGCAACCCTGTATTTTGCTATTATTGTTCACAGTACAGCACTAACTGTGGTATTTGCTGTAACACAAGTAATCTCTTTGTTGTTTTTGGTAATTAATGAAATACCAGGAAGAGCGACGGGATTAAAATTTTTCGGAAAATTAATCAAAACTGGAGTTTCTGAAACACTACCTGTTTAAAATAAATAATGTCAACATAGTTTTTATATTAAATTCTTATTTTTAAACTAATTTAAATGCAATCTTCTTAATTAGAGATTTTAATATTGTAAATTTTACGAAAAAATTGTTGAATTTAAAATACAGGTGTATTTATGTTCTTATGTGCCTTATAAGCACAAATTATACAATCTTGTTTCTGCAAACTAAAATCTTATAATGTTATGTTATTTAAAGGAAAAGGTTTGGTATTATGAAATCTCAACAGCTTTCTCATTTTCGTATTCAATACAATTGCTTTATTACCTTACAAAAATGAAAACCTTTGTTATTTCAATACATTTAAGGGACTGTGGTTTCATAATTTTTTGTTGTACATTAACAAACATTATAAAAGAGAGTTAATCTTTTCTCATATATTATGTAAGCTTATATATTATTCATTCTATTTCTCCCATGTACAATGTTTTGTCGCTGGACGCAGAAAGTATTATAGGTTCATTTTTGTGAAAATCTACATCATTAACACTCCCATTGTGGCCTGGCAATTTATATAATATTCTTCTGCTTGTAGTGTCCCAAACGTAAACGTAACGATCTGCTGAGCCAGATGATATCTTGGAAAAAAAAAAAGAATTAAACCCTTACAAATTTTTCATAGCGGAAACTATCTTAATTACTTTACTACCATCCAAGGACCATGCACATCTCAATAAGTTTTTTTCAAAATTATGTTGATGCCCCCCAAAAATTTTTACACATCTCTCCGCGGGAGCATAAGGTCTGATATCCCATATTCTTAAAGTATTATCCATTGAATTTGAAAGTAAATAGGATCCATCTGGTGATAAAGATAAGCCGGTAATTGTATCTGCATGTCCTCGCAGCTTATAAACAATTTCATTTTTTCTAGAGTCCCAAACTTTAATATCATTATCAATGCCGCCAGATATTATTAAATCTCCAACGTCATTAAAACAAACTGCCGTCACTGGATAGTTATTTTCAAAAGTCTGTACTGAAAATTTTTTCCTGGCATCCCACATCTTGATAGTTTTATCATCTGAACCCGAGCACAGCATTTGTACTCCCCGCCGCGTTCTTTGAACGGAATTGACAAAGTTTTGATGCCCTTTCATTTTCCTTACACGCATTCCAGTAGTAATATCCCATATTGCCAAAGTTTTGTCAGTAGAACAAGTGTATATCTCAGTTCCGTCTGTGTTAAAATGTGCTTCCATAACAGCTCCAGTATGCCCACTCAAATTCATTATATTATCACATTCATCATATACATTCCAAAGCCCTACAAAAAATTTATTAACAAATATATTTTCTCAGTTACAGCTTCATAATTTACAAATTTGTCTATCAAATCCAGAAGAGACAAGAAAATCACCACTTGGGTGGAATTCACAACAGTATAATTCTCCCTGATGGCCTTCCAACAACATAATGGGCGCTAATAAGCTAGATGTTCGGGCCTATAAAATTAGTGTTATTTTTTTTTAGTCGTATAAAATATTTATTAAAAGACACTTACTGTTTCAACAACCGCTTTGTCCCTATTAGAATACTGATACAACTCATTTTTAGCCTTTTTTGTCTCTGGAACAATGGCTAGTGCACTAGACGGTCTTTTATATGCCATTAAAAACAAAACTTTTTAGGTTAATGATAATGAAAATCACTCTCAAACAGTACAACTTAAAATATTACACTTTCTTTTGAAAATTATTTTGCACAAATTCAACTAAAATAATTGCATGTACTTAAAAATTTCTTTTTAGGTATTGTATTGTTTCTAGAATCTAAATGCCATTCGATTGAAACGTTTGTTTATACTGCAGCATTAATAAACAAGGCAATTTAAGATTTTGGTTGTCAAACTGACAGCTGAAGGCATTACGTCATCGCCATCTATATTGACAAGAAAATTACTATAAAATTGAATTCGGGTGCTTGCTTTTTATATTTAAATTATTTTTATAGTAAGTGTGCTGGACCCTCGTGCAAAAATTACGAAGAAAAAAAAACTGGATAAAAAAATTAAAAATTTTACAAATCCTAAAGATGGAATTTTAAAAGTGAAGTAGTTAAGTGATTGCGGAGTAAACAATAAATCAAAATTTAAAAATGCAAAATATGTTCCGAATATTTTGTCGACAATGATTATAGATTGCAAAGATATTTTATTAAATGCAACTATTGATAAAAACCGTCTGAAGCCCTACCAACTCAAAATCTAGTGTGTTTAAAAAATTCATTTACAAAAAAATTGTATGCGTTGGGTTATATTAAAATTTTACTTTCAAAAGAAAATACGTTATGTATCAATATTGAAATAACAAAAAATATCGCTTTCTGCAGAAACACAAGGAAAAATAACAGAGTAGTTGTTTCCACGTTGGAGAACTATTGTTTTCTATGTCGGAGAGAGAGGTTTTGCAAAATTCGACCAATTAAGATAACTGAAACCTGCAAAATCTCGGATTAAAATATTCGAATGGAGCATTAGAAAAATTGCAAACAACAATTAGTAATATGTCAAAAAATATTATCTGATACATGTAATGATTCAGTCCTATCATGAATTGCATTCGTAGCTCTGAGTTTCCGAAAATTACAATTTTCATATTGTCAATTCTGAATTACTAAAACTCTACTCCGAATATTCGTAATGGAGTAATAAAGTAAAATTCATAGTAAAAATAAACCTTTAAAGTCTACGAAAAAATAGTCACACATAAAAAGCCAAAATTTGAATTTTTTTGTTTGAGTTTGAGTTACTCTAACATAGCTACAGGAAATGAGTTCATATTTGCTAAAAAAAAATGTTTTCCCAGTTTTCAAAAACATTCAAAAACTAAAAAAACTGCAAACCTTTTACTGAAGTGAAAGATCAAACTTTAATGAAAGCTGTTTACTGAATTAGCAACAAAAGTATATAAATAAACATTTGACAGTTAGTTTGTTATTCTTAGAATTCCGCGAGTGGAATTCATGATGGGGCTGATGATCTTATTTTAAACAGAGTTTTGTAAAAAAAATTATGAAGTAAAAGAAAACTCTATGAAAAAATTATTATGATAGCAACGATGACAGTTAGGATATTTCTTCGGGTACGTAACTGTCAAATTTTTATTTTAGAACATATTATATTATTGAAATATCCAACGAACGGTGATTAAACTAAAAATTTGGGTGCCACGTTAACTTAGGTGGAGCATTTGTTCTCGGTTCAACATGTTGATGAACTTGAATTGGGCTGTATATATGAATTATGTTATTCAAGCTTTAAAAATTGGTTGTAAATTGGGATATTTTGTGCATTTTATTTGCTTTCTCCAAAAAGTAGGACTCAAATTCCGCACCGCACGAAGGCTGTTTTACAACTTAAATTAATGGACGGTAAATCTAATTAAACAAAAAAAAAAGGAAAACCAACATACTTAAAATAGAAATTGTTAGAAATGTCCCTTAGCCAAACAATTTGCAGATATTTAAAATTTAAAGAAAGGTAACGGACAGTGCATCTATCTCAAAAATATTGCTCTTTTTTTATAATGGATCTTATGAAAAAAAAATCAATTTTTTTCTAATTAGTTTGTTTAAATATTTTTTGAGTATTTACTATAACATTATGTATGTACATACATACATATGTAGATTTAGTTTAATGTTCAATGGTGTTAAAATTTTGTCAATGAAAATTAAAACTTTGCATTTTTCAATTAAATTTTATATTTTTATTAATTTCTTTCTCATAAAATTTTTGTTTTTTTTTCTTTTCTTTTATTTTAACATTAATTATTTACATTTTTTTTATATAATTTTAATAATAGTAATTAATATTATAGGTGTGCATAAGCAAATTCATATGTATATATATGTATACATATATATTAATGTATATGGGTATATATTTATATTTACATTTATAAATTTTTTTAAAATAAAATTTATTTTACATATTTTTATATAGTTCTTTTTATTATTATTTTCTTAATTAAATTATTTATAATTATTCATTTTTTCTACACGAATTTTTCACGATTTTTTTTTTTTTTTTGCATAATTATTTATATTAATTTTTAGGTTATTCTTAAATTAATAAAACTATTCTAGAATTTAATAAAATGATAAGTGAAGTAAATATTTTTATGTATAAACATAAGTAGTGTGTATTTGTTAATGAAATTAAGCATAGAAATTAATTATGAATATTTTCCAACAATCTAGTACCCTTAATTGAAAAAAAAATGAATTGATAACTGTAGTAAAATATTTGAGCAAAAATTATAGGAAAGGCCCTATAATATATCGTATAAGCTCAATTAGAAGTTTCTATTTTCAAATAAAAACAAATTTTCCGATTTTATAGTCTGGTCTTCGAGGCATGAATATTTTCGAATAATAATTATATTTGAGGTGAATTAAAAATTAAAATTTCTGAGACTTGCAAAAATAAACAAAAACAAAACAGATATCTGAATTAACAGTTTTAAATATTTTCGACAATTTCAAACATAATAAAATGATTATTCAATTTCCAAAAATTTTGAGACTTTTTAAAAATATTTTGACGCATACTGGAATTTTTTATCGTGTGTGCATTCAAAAAATAACTAAAAATGAAAAACAAGCGAAAATTTAGAAACTATTTCTAGAAAAATAAACCTGTTTTTCGAACTTTTCAATATTTGATATATAAATTCATAAATTTTTAATTTTTCTATAGTTTTTTCGAAAAATAAATGAACATCTTTATAAAATATTAGTAAACAATAATAAAGCGATCATAATTTTTTTTTGCCACGCCAAACCAATAATAATTTAAAAAAATTTTCAAGAATTTACTATAATTCCAATTTAACTATTGTTTACTATTTATTGTAGTATTAACTACAACTATTTGAAAAATGAAATATTTATTTATTTTTATTTTATATTTTTTTATTATTCTGTTTTATGGTAAAATTTAAAATTATTATTTTAAATTTTATAGTTTTCTTTTTAAGGTACTAAGAGAGGGAAAGAAAAAAATTATTATTTTGTAGTAGAAAAATTATAAAATAAAGTAGAGGAAAATTCACAAAAAAATATATTTAATATAAATAAATAAAAAATAAAATATTAAATATTAAAATTATATATATATATAATATGCATATGCTATTATTATTTTTTTTTTGATTGGTGGAAAACCTAAATTACTTCTTTTGTTGTTCTAAATAAAAATCTGAGATCAAAAATAATTAACATTTATTAAATAATAAATTTTAACCATTTAATTCATCTTTAACTGTTCGTATGTATATATGTATAAATATGTATAAATATATATATATTTATTAATTCATATATGTACATATATTTATATTTATTTATGAAGTTTTATATCTAAAAATATTACAACGATTTTTTTTAATTTTTTTTGTTTTTTTTTTTGTATATATATATATATTTTTTTTTATTTCTACATACCCTATACTCGCTCTTTTCATTTTGTTTTATTTTTTTATTTTTTTTTTTTTAATTTAATTTTAAATTTTTAAATATATAATAATATGTACAGACTACAGACTTATATTTAATTATAAGTGTGAAAGAATTTTTATGAATTTTTTTTATGTAATTTTAATAATGGGTAAATAATCTAAATTGATGAAATTGATTTTGATTTTTTCATTGATTTCTTCTTCAAATCTTGTGGTTCATTAACATCGACATAGTTATTAATATAGAATTATACATGTATTTTTTTTTATTACAAAAATTTCTAGTAAACATGCACTCATTCTCATACATTATATCACAAACACACGTATAATATAGTATATATATTTATATATTTATTATTTTACATTCTTAATATTATATTTAATATTAATAATATACAAAAAAAAAATATACATATAATATGTCTCTGTTATTTGATTTATTTTATGTAATTTGTTTATTTTATGTACGATCGTCTTACTTATTCATTTAATATTAAGTAATAATATATTAAAAATTCTAATATATTATTGTATACAATTTTTAAGTGGATTTTTTATTAGACTTTAATAAGTTTGTACATAAAATAAACAGTTTTGTATACACATAAATACTATACAAAGTTCAGTGTCATTATTTTTTGTTTTTTATTTTATTTTAGGTTTTGTTTTTCTTTTTTTTTTTAATTGCAACATAATTATGTATGTGGTTCTATTCTACGCATTGCATTTTTCTATTTACATAACAAAATTTTTACATTCTTATTTTTTTCTACTATACAAATTTATAATAAACGACGTTTTCATATTTATGTCATAAATACAAAAAATATATTAAACAATTTTTATCTTTTTCATATAAAATAAGAAAGAAGAATATAATAGATATTTAAATTTGCTAGCTAATATTTTTAAAAGATGATTAATTTTAGTTTATATTGCAGTTATTTATATTTTTTTTCTGGAGGTCATTTTACAATGAATTATATATCAAAAATAGTGCATTTTATTTCGTTTTTATTTTTTTTATTGAAATTTTAAGAAAAAAAAAATATCTTAAGTTTAACTCAGAATCACTGAAAATGAAATTTCAAACTACGTTGAGTTTTCCAATTTTACATCCAGTGTTATGAAATATCATTTATATATTTAGCACTGGAATGAAATAAGGGAAAAGTAAATAGTTTTATTATATAAACATAAATAAATACATTATTTTTGATATATGTATTTTGATGCTGTGAGCTTATTATAATATTATGTATCTGGTAAAAGTTTATTAACATTTCAATCATGTAAAAAATATCGTTTTCATATTAAAAAAAAAAACTTTTAAAAAGTTCTTTATAGACTTAAATTTAATTGGTGTTAATATTTTTTTTTTCTTTTGTAATTTTTTTTTTCTTTTATGTTATGCTGTTTTTTCTATTTTGAAATTTTTGTCTCTGTTGAATTCATATTAATTTATTTCAGCCTCTGAGGGGGTATTCGGTAAACTATACCTTATGAAGTACAAAAACATTTACTGCTCCTAAAAATATTGCTTTACCTCTTATATAAAATTTAAACAGTAGCAATAACTATCAATAAATGAGCTATTTCAGCAACACGATGTTTTAAATCTGGTGCCGCACGTTCTAAATTTTCGTTCGCAAAGTCACATGATGGGAAAATGTGAACAACATAAGCTGGTTGTTCACTTCCTGGTAAAGGTATATTTACTATTCCGGCAGCCATTTTTTGTTGCAAATATGTTATAAAGCCAGTTTGTAAATTTCGAGATTGCTGTAAAACATCCATATGATCTCGGCCACAAGGTAATGCTAGTAGCATGCAGTGTTCATTTTCATACTAAAATATTTTAATTATGAAAATCAATTGATTTGATATATAATTGGACTGCTAATATTTATTAAAATTTTGTATTTAGAAATTATTTTTGTACTTTAGTTTCAAATTTTGAAAACCACATAAATGCTTACCTGCATTTTCTTCGTAACTCCTTCCAATTGAACTTGTTCTAGTCTCATGCGTTGTGCAATACGCAAAGGTGGAGTGCTACCATCACTATTGCATGGTAAAGATCCTCTTGCCACCAGAGGATTTCCAAATACAAAATGCATTTGAACAGCTGCTTGATCTGTTTTTAAAGCTAATAAACCTTGCCACATTACAGGATAACGTTGTAACAGAGTAAGCAAAGAATCAGCTTGTGGTGGCACTTGACTGGCATGTGGAGGTGTTGCAACCTGAAAGCTCCGTCCACCTGAGGTAGGTATTACTGGTACTAGGCTACCATGACTAGGCATGCTTGTATGTCCTGATTAAAACAATTTTGTTAAATAAATTAAATGAAATATTTTAATAATATATATTTCACCTCCTGGAATTGAAATTCTTTCCTTTTCTCGTTGCTCTCGTTCTCTTTGTTCCCGTTCACGTTGTCGTTCCCTTTCAATTGTTTTTGGATGCATATGAACCAAAGTTCCAGAAACTGGAGCTAATTGAGATGGTGATGGTTGTGGTGGTAAAGAACTGTAATTATGTGATGGACCGGCTGGTGGAGGTGGACCTATATTATGAGTTGGACGATGTGCTGGTGGTGGTTCTGTTGGTAACTGCCTCAAATTTTCAAAATATCTAGGCCCCACCTCTGGGAAATGGGGATGAGGTATTCGACTGCCATGTATATACACTTGAGCAGCTTGAGGAGAATCTAAATTAGTAATAAAAGTTGTTTATTTGACGTTCTTATTTTTGTTCTTTATAATTATGTCTGTAAGTTTATATGTATTTGTATATATACATACCATTAGTTTGATCTTGTGGACTCTGCAAACCATGGGGTATGGCTATCAATCTTGGTCCACTACCTGGTCTGCGTAATTCTAATGGGGGACTAGATGCAATTGAATCTTCCATTTCAACCAATTCTTTTTGTTCTGTCAATCCAGGTATTAGGGGAGACCTACATTTGAAAAAGTAAAATATATTTTTTAAAAATTTCGAATTATATTCTCACATTTAGTTTATTTTTTATAATTAAGGAATCAACAACAATTCGGTAGTAATTTACTTATATTTCTGTCAGATGTAATAATATTGTTTATTAAAATATTTTTTTTCAAATGAGTTCAAATTGAAAAAATTGAAATAGGAGTAATTTACAAACTGTTATTAAATTACTGTATTTTAACTCAATAAATAGTTACATTGAACAAAATTTAATGTTTAATCCCCTTAAGACCTAAACTATCGGTGATGCGTTTGGTTTATTTTAATTTATAAAGATTTAGTTCATGATTTTTAAGTTAAGATTTTTAATTTAATTTGTTAATAAATTATACTTATATTGAATCTTGTACTAATTATTATAAGATAATAAAAACCATCAAATATCAACTACAAACCTGGATATATAAGGTAATCTTGCTTGATGATCTCGCAAATATTGTTGATAAATAATATAATGTTCCTTTGGTATTGCTCCTCTAATTTGATTTGAGGCAAATGATCCTTCGCTCTATAACAGTCAAAATACATAATGTGTTTAACAATAATTACTCAGACTTATATATAATACTACGAAAAAAATATTATTTAAATGGTTTAATTTTTTAATTCAAAAAAAAAAGACTCTGAACTTATCAATTAAAAGACTTTTTGAGACTACGTAAAAATATGGGACAATTTCTTACAAAACGAAATTTATAATTAATTACTCTTAACTAAAATGTAAGTTCATACTGTCAAAAACTAAAAACAAGAAAAACAAAAAAGTTTGATTATAATTCATACGCAAAATATAAAATATAAGATGCGATAATATATAAAAACCCGAATTTAGGCTTATTGTTGAAAATTGTGGAGACTGTAATTTCGCGCAATATAATAGACTGACATATTTAATTTTTTATACTTGCAATGACCAGTTCTTACTTGGCTACGCACCAAAAATTGTTGCATACAAATCATACGGAATCTTTTATTTACATTGTTAACATAATATAATTTAATTTTAATTCTGCGATGGGTCAAAAGGTTGTATATTATATATAATGGACTTCAAAATAACAGTTTTATAACAGTTATTAAAAGGTGACCCGTAAAAAAAGTAACAAAAACCTTTAAAAGAAGAAAACAGCGTTAAATGCTAATACCTTTTCATTTCAATTTTTGATAGTGATGAAAATCGATACATATGAAAATAAGAATAATTTCAAAAAATTTTAAATTTGACTGGTAATGTCCTACATAAATATGCTATATTGTGTGGTAAAATCAATGTGATAGTAACAGTTCATTTAGATTTACAAAATATGTATTAAACAACAAAATAGAAAAAAAAAACAAAGTATTTTGTTTTTTTCTACCATACTTTAAATTTTAAAAAGCTTTAATTATTGAAATTTCAAGACTCGAAAATTGATGCCAATAAATTAACTTTTCTTCACAATTTCATACATTTTTAAGTCAGTATAAGGCCATATACACACATACATATATCTGTCAGGCCATCAAGCTGAAATTATTTTCCGAAATTTTGATTCGGAAAAAAGTACAACAACAACTCTCAATGTTTTATGTTTTCGAAGTACGCCGATTGAAATATTTTTTTATTTGTAAAATTTTTGAGTATTCTTTATGATTTTCAGCTTATTTAGTATAGTTTTGAAAGCCGTCTAGTTTATAATAATTTTTTTGTTTTTTTTTCTTTAATTTCTCTTTAAATTCTATTTCTTATTCAAAAATTTTACTCTGTATATAAGGGTAGTGCTCTTCTATTTGAAAAACAAGAAAGGTTGTCTGCGCTAAAAATTGCAATTTTTTTTTTTAAATGCATTTTTTAGATGGAATTTACCAAGCAATTTTTTCGAAATATAAATTTTAAATTTAAAAAATATGTAGAATCAGTAGAGCCAAAAATACTGATCAATTTAATTCCATTTAACTCCATATAAATTTGGAATCTCTGAGCTTGATGGTCTGATAGATATATATGGCATTAGTCCGTTTAAAATTATAAAAATAATTGTATAACGTAAGAACACTTAACAGAAAATCAAGGGAGACGCCATAAGAACATAATTTGACTTTGGGACATGTACGGTGACAATTTCAAAATTTTTTATTAAAAAATTTTTAAATCCAATCCAAATCAAATTTTCCGTCTAATAGTAGAAGTTAAATTTCTTATATTGATTTTTATTATGTCGAATAAAATGGCATAATTTCTTTTTTTAAAAACCTATAAAAATTTCACAAAAAAAAAAAAAGGAATGCCGAGAAAAAAGGAAAATATCCTGGTATTTTTATTATTTATAGTCTTTTCATGTTCTTTTAATCTCTTTTAAAAGTTAAAAATGGAAGATCAATTTATGAAAGAAGGGCTGAAAAGGAAAGGGTTTCATTTTACAAAACAATGAACTGAAAAAAGTGAATAGTTTGAGAAAACATTTTTAATTATTACCGGTGTTATTAATGAAGCCTGCTGATGAGCAGGAGGAGGACTCTTCGAATGATTTGTATTATAATTCCCGATTTCATGCTGCTTTTTATAAGAATTGAAAAAAATATTTAAAAAAAAAATATGTTTTATATAAGTAAGTGTATATTATAGTTATAAATATATGTAAATGATTTGTAAACTAATTAAAATTGAATTGAATTTTTAATAATAAGAATAAATTAAAGAACGGAATAAAATAATGAATAAACTTACAGAATTGGTATCGAAAGTGGGTATAGGAATCCCTGGTTGTATCATATGAGTTCTATTTTGCCCTTGAGGACTTATTGTTGGTACTGATACACGCATATTGTTAGCTCCTAATGTTAAATAGGTCGAAAAAAATTGATTAAAATATATTCGATTTTATATAACATAAAACATTATGCAAAATATTAGCAAGCAATTATATTTGGTACATAAGGTACATTATGTGTGTGATAAATAATTTATTAATATTTAAGTCTAAAATTTTATTTAAAAACAGTTGACTGCGCTAATCTTTTGCAAAGTATTTTATATATGTATTTGTATGACTATTTTATTATATTACCTGCAACTAAAGGCTGGCCTACAGATATAAGCTGCTGTTTCACAGGTGGCGGACTATTAACAGCTGCACTCATTGTTTGTCCTTGATGAATATTAATTGCATTTTTAGGTGGGCCAGGTATTTGTTGCTGCTGCTGTATATGTGTTTGCGTTGGAATTGCTTGCTGTTGTGTTCCCGGAGATTGTGATATACTTGATTTTTGTTGCATTATTGCGGATGTATTAGGAATTTGAAGGGGTTGAGATAAATTAGTATGTGCAATATACATTGGTTGATTTTGCGTTTGTGATTGAGCAATTGCACTGACAGATGGGACAATATCTATGTTATTTCGACCAATATGTTGCTGAATAATTGTAGGATTGGTGTTGGTACCTAAAGTGCCGATTGGTTGCATAGTTTGGGAATTAATTTTTTGAGTAGTGGTTAAATGAGATGGTTGTTGAACTACTTGTTGAGGTATTTGTCCAACCAATTGCGATTGTATATGAACTGGTTGACTCATTTGTTGTGATTTGCCCAATGGTAAACTAGTTACGACAGAAACTCCTGTCTGATGAGAAGATTGCTTCTGATGAGATGAAACATGTGTTGGTTGTATCGAAGCATGTATAGATTGATGTTTACTACTATTATTTTGGGAAGTATTTGGTGTTGATGTTTGTTGAGTGGTATTTTGTGGTTGCGTTGAATGAATGATTTTCCCGCCGCCATGAACGATATTTGACGTAGCATAAGTGGAATGACTTGAAGGCTGCCCACCTGTTTGATTGTTGGTTATCGGTTTAATATTATAAATTACAACAGGTTGCTGTTGAATATTACCTTGTTGTTTTGCAAATACGTGGACAATAGGGTGACCTTGCTGATTGTTAGTTATAACTTGTTGTTGAATTTGTATAGGAACGTTATGTGGTTGTTGTTGTGTTATTTGTTGTTGATGCTGTTGATGATGTTGAATTTGTTGAATGTGCGGAGACAACAATTGCGGTTGATGCGGTGAACTTGGTGTGGAGGGTGCGGCATTTATAATCAGCGTTTGATGTTGAGTTGTTGTAGTAGATATCGGTGAATGATGTGGTTCATTTGTGTCGGGCATATGTCTTGTAACTACAATATTTTGTTGTATTACATGATTTGGATTGCTAACCAATATAGATGACGCTGTTGCATTTAAAGGTTGTTGGGATTGATTTACTTTAATTAACTGCGTTTGCTGCTGGGTGTCATTTTGTTGAGTTTGTACTGGGTGTCCAACTAATTGTTGTTGCTGCTGCAAATGTTTTTGACTATTTAAAACATGAGCTTTTAAGGGATGCGTTCGTATATTTTGCTGCGAAATTTGGGGTTGAATTACAATGGGATGCGACTGTGATTGAGAATTTGACTGCGTCACAGTTGTGGTTGTAATTGAATTTGTTAAGTTTGGATTTGCTATCTCAGTTTGTTGTTGCGGAACAGATACAACCACACTCACTGTTTTATGAGAAGTAGCGTTGCTTGTAATTACGAAATTTGTTTCAGGTATCGTGTCTTTTGCTGGTTGCGACACTTTCTCTGAATTTTTATTTAGTTCTTTTGAATCGATATTATTTTCTTCAATTGATTTCTTTTCAATATTGGAAATTGGTTGCTGTTTCTGCATTTTCTCTATTTCAGTTGAAGTATAAATCTGTTTTGGTTTTCCACCTATAGTAATATACTGACCTTCTTGATTTTGGCGAACCATTGTAAGAACACCAGTAACTGGGTCGATTAACGATAAAGATTCCTGAGACTGTTTATTTATACCTGAAGTATTTATACTAGATTGAATTGCAGCTTTTTTCTTATCAATTTTATCATATTCCGTACTTGTTGAACTAGGTAAGTTTGCCGTGATTAATTTGCTATGCTCTTTGCTTTGTTCAGGTAATTTATTCGAATCTTCAATCATTTTGTCATCCACCAATTTATAACTAGTAGTTTTCTCATCATTACTATCAACCGAAGCATCACTCGGTTTTCGATCTTTAGTACGACGATTTAGTCTTGTAGGTTTGATTTTATTTTCAGCGGGTGACATGTTTGATTGCACTTTTTCACTTGAAGATGGTATATTTTGCTGATTTCTGGTGGATCTTCTTGGAGGTGTTTGATTTTCTTTCGGAGAGTGTAGGGAATTTCTTACTACATCTTCAATTACGTCATCAACAGTACTACGATCTTTCTCTTGCAATCGTTTGGATTTTCTTGTATTTGGTTGTTGATCTTTGCTTTGAGTATCAAGCGAGCTAGTTGGCGAAGATACCACTGGTGACGATATCAAGTTATTATCAAATTCAATTTGCTCATCTGGCTTTTCTTGATTCAACTTCACTTGGGTATCGTTTGCAGAAATATTCTGTTGTTGTTCTTCTTGATTTGAGTGAGAAATATTTTGCTGATTATTAGTAGGTGATGTTAAAGTCGAAGTAATAGAAGCTGATGGAGTTTGTCCAGGACTTTTGATAGTAAGTATCAAACGTGGTCGTTCGGAAACAGGCACAATTTTGTTAATTGTTTCTTCACCCGAATCATCATGAAACTCGTAAACATCGCGACCTGTGGAAGACTGAGGTGAAGTAGTTTTTGTTGCTTTTTTTGTATTTGGAGTTGTTACAGCTACTGTAACTGTTTTGATAGACGGTCGACCTTTGCGACCCCTAGTTGAAGATGCGGCTAGGATGGCGGTTCCACGCCGTGTTTTTACGCCAGCTTCATTTGTCATTGAAATTAAAGGAGTAACTGGATCCGCTTGGCTTATATTTCCCAACTTTTTAATATTACGATTACCTCGAATATTTGGTCTTTTCGTTAACTTATTTATTGCTTTATTACCAAAAGATTCTGTGGAATTTTCAATTATTACCTCATCCTCATCATAAGTCTCTTCATTTTTATTTATCACAATATTATCAGACTTTTCACCCTCGCTCTCTGTGGTATCATTTGAAGATTTTTCTAATTGTGTCTGATTTTTAAGGTCAGAAGAAACATTTTGATTTTCTTTCTGTTTATTTTCAGAATTTTCAGTAGTCTTCTTCTCTTGTATTTTTATGCTTTCATCACAAAGTGCGTCAACTTTCTTTATAACAGACTCAATATTAATTTCTTTCGCTGACCAATAATCACTATCTTCTTTTGAATCTTGTTCGAGCTGATCTTTTTCTGGAGAAAATAATTTGCTTACATTTTCTTCTGTCAAAAGCGATCTTTCCTTGCTAGATTGATTTGCACTTGGAACCGACATAGACATTTTAATAACGGAAACATTTTCAGATTCCTTAATTACCCTCTCTTCCTCAGGTGAAGCAACTGAATCCGTAATTTGAGAATGAGGAATTTGATCCAGAATAACGCTATCTTGGTCTCTATTTTTTATTTCGGTTTCTTCCTTTTCATCCAATAACAATTCATTTTCTTTTTTATCAAATGGCTTCCTATCACTCATTGTAAGTACAATCTGTTCGTCAATATTAGGTTCTTTTAGTAATTTTTGTTCAACGAGTTCTGATTGTTTTTCATTTTGATTTTGTACATTCTCTAAATCAAGTTTCGTTTCTGCAAAATCGTTTGCATCTGCGGATGAAGAACTGGGATGAGATTTTTGAACTAAGTTTGAATTATTCTGAATTTCAGTTTCAGGAGGAGAAAATTTTTCCGTCATAGAAATTTTTGGCAATGAGCCCTGACAACCCAATGTTTGTGGAATCGAAGATAAATGAACTGTTTGAAACTGCACAGGTGTTTTGAGTTGTGGTTGAAATTGAATATTTTCAACAGGACTAGATTTTGATGAAAGCTTGATTTGAATTGATGAATTTGAACTTGATTGTTGGTAATGCGGCTGCATTTGTTTTAGGTGAATTTGCGGTTGACTCTGTACGATTGCAACATGTGAAGGTTTTTGCACTCCTTGTTGTGTTTGATGAACAGAATTATTTGGTGGTAATACAACTTTTGGTTGTTGTGGCGGTATTCCTTGAGGCTGCTGTTGTTGTTGTATAACATTTTGATTAGATGGTTGACGTACAATAACAACATTTTGCTGCACTCTGGGAGCTCCCAAAACTGAGTTGTTGGTATCCTTATTTTGAGAGCCAACTGTTTGTATGATTGCCGACTGAGGTGAAATTATTGTAGATTGTGACGGTTGCGCGTATTGATGAACTTGTAATAGAGGAGAATGTTGAACAACCCTTTGTTGAGTTTGTCCATGATATTGATTAGATGTTTGTTGAGAACCAATTTGCGATTGAGCAGTTGAAATTTGTTGCGGTTTTTGTACAAAATTGGTTTTTTGTGTTGATTGATGGTTTTCTTGTTTTGTAGGAATATTTTGAATTTGTTGTTGTATTACATGTTGATGCTGTTGATGAGGTTGTTGAACTGTTTTAATTTGCTGTTGTGTTATTCGTTGTGAATGTTGTGTTTGCATGGATTTGGGTGAAACTGTTTGTTGTAAAACAATTGTCTGATGTGATTGGGTTTTCGGCTGCAGATGAACATGTTGAGCTGAAGATGATTGCTGTTGTGCGTTGCCATTTTGAGATGTTTGTTGGCCAGAACTACTTTCAATAACAGATTTTACAATTGGTTGTGAAATTATTTGGCTTTGACTTGAAATTTTATGCTGTGAGATAGTAACCGGTTGCGTCTGAATATTTACTCTTGAGCTTTGATATGTTAAAGTTTGTCCAGTTGACATCTTGATTTCTTGTTTAAGCTCTGGGACATTTATTGAGGTAGAGATGTTTGAAACATCTGAAATTGGCGTTTGAGCATGTGTTGCTTGAGGCAGCAATATGCTAGTTGCTTGCATTGGCTTTGGCACGGATGAAAGAACAGTTGTAGCTGTTACTCTGTTAACCATGACAGATGGACTGGCTAAGGATACATTTGTATTAGGTGGAGATAAAATTTGTCTTGGCTGTACTAATATATGTTGCCCTGTTGTACTAGAATTTTGTTGTGAATTTTGAATTCGTACAGTGTGTGGAGACTGTACTCGTAAATTCATTGTGTAAGGAGCATTTGTCGTCGAAATATTTTGTGCTTGAGTATTATTTATTGTTTGAGGAGAATGTTGACGTGGTGGTGACAAATTTATATCAGCTGCTGATGTAGACATTTTGGGTGACAAGACAACATTTATAGCTTGATTGAAATTGAATTGGCCCGAATCTGGTATAGAGATGTTCGGTGGTTGTGGAATATATTGCGAGCGATTTTGACTAAAGGAACTATTGACCAAGCGCTGCTTTGTAGGTGATAAACAAATAACTGGTGAATTTTCTTCTTCAATTTTATCATTCTGGAAAACTGTGTTTGATAAAATAGAGCCACTAGCTGACTTATTGTTAGAATCATCCATTTTAACTTCATTTTTATTTACAAATTCTGACACAGGAATTACTTCCTTTGAATTTTGATTGTCAGGTTCTTTCGATTCTTTCTCTTCTTTTTTATTACAGACTTTAACTTCAGAAACCATAGCTTTATTTTTACATTCATGTTCGTCTTTGTCATCTCTGCATTCGGCGGAATCAACAACATTATTAGGGGAACATTTTGCTGAATTAAAATTGGTTTCTTCATTTAGTTTACCATTATCAGATAAATCAATGTCTGGAGTTCTTGGGCAAACATCGAATTTCATTTGGCCACAGTTATTTGTATCGGGCTCTTCAATATCTGTATCGATTTGCAGATCACTTTCTGACTGTGGTGTTTGCGCTTTTATGTCAATATCCTCTGCGGCGCTTAAGCTTTGAACTGCCTTACGCATTTCTTCAGCATCTTCTTCAGGAATTGTGGCAACAACACCGTCAGTTGAAGCGTCTATTTCTTCTGAAGGAACGTCTATCGGGTCATCGTTGAAAGAATAGTCAGTAACTGAAGAGTTACCAAAACTTTCTCCCAGTAAAGCCGCTACAGCATCTTCGGTTTCTTCTTGTGAAATTACAACACGAGATTTCTCTTCATCTTTTTCAGCAACTTTACTGGAGTCCGGTGGACTTGCTATTGGTATTTTTGGTTCCGTACAAACAGGATTGATGAGCGAATCAAATTCGGCAGAAATTGATTTTACTGCAGATTCGCTAATTTTTTCGTCTAATTCTCCATCAAAGCCAGGTATATATTTCTCTGGTTTCTTTTTAGATTCTACTAATTTAACAGGTGACGGCTCTGGGGATTTTACTAATGTTGAACTTTCTAATTCAGCGGAATCCAATATTTTTGAACTCTCAACATCGTTATCACTGTTACTTTTTACTGGTGAACTGTCAAAATTTGCTAAAGGGCTTTCATCGTCAATTAAACAAGGTAAGCTTGGTGACGGCTTACAAATAGGAGATTTTTTTAGCTCATTATTAGCAGAGTGTATTGATACTGATAATTTGTTGTTATTCGGACTGGAAGATACCGCAGTTGATGTCACCATAGAATTGATGTGTTGATGATGTTCTCGTTTGAGGTGATGCTTGTCTTCTTTAGACCTTTTCTTCTTTTTCTTTTTGTCCTTAATTTTATGATATTCTGAGACTTCAGTTTTTTCAATTGTGGGAACTATTTCAACGCTGTTTTCATCAGCATCCGAAAAACGAAATACGTCTGTCATATCGCTTTTATGTGTTGTGGCAGTCGAAGGTGTTTGATCTTCCATTGTGGAAGAGTCTGCCAGTAGTTGTGCTTCAAGCACTCGACCGGCTTCTTCTAAATCAACGCTATTATCATCGTCAAATTTATTTTGAATTGTCGATAGAACATGATGTTCTTTTGATTTTCCACGCTCCTTTCGTTTTCTTTCGCGTTTTTCTTTTCGATGACGCTCTCTTTCTGACGAAGATATTTTTAATTTATTCTCTTCATTCTCTTCAACGGTATGTGATTTGGGTGTAAGAGGTTCTTGCTTAAAAATATTTGAGGTATTTGCTGTATCTTCTTTTACGTTTGTTTCAACATAGTTAGGTGTTACATTTTTATCCATCAAATCATTTGAGACTGCTTTGTCAATAGGTGACAATTGAGATTCATCATCTGATAATGATCCGAAAAGGTTTTCAACCATTTTTCCACTTCTTTTTGCGGCAGCAACAAGAGTGGAATCGAATGCGCAATAGTTATTTCTCTCTGGGCTATTCTTACTTATTTCATATATATCGGAAGATAAGGAATTTGCGGCCTTGGAAATTTTCCTTGCCTTTTTCAAACGATGTCGTTCTTCTTTACTTAAATTTTTGCTCGAGTCGTCAATACGATACTTTTCACGTTTCTTTTCTTTTCTGTCTTTATGTTTTTTCTTTTCAAAATGTTGAGAAGAATGATTGTTAATATTTACAGCAGCATGCGATATATTAGGCTGTTGTTGCTCAAGAAGTTGCTCTCTTTTCAACTCATCAAAAACATGCTCCAAAGGAGATGAAAAAGTTCCTTTATTATCAGAATCTTCCAGCTTTTCCACATCAACTACATTTGTATTATTAACATGAGTTTGTGCTTTTTGATGTTTTTTATTTTTCTTATGTTTTTTTCTGCTCTCTGGAGAAAACAATTGATTAAAAATTAGATCTTTATTATCAATATGTGAGGTTATAGCAGAAACATTATTATCGGATTCAGAGATACATTCGTGATGTGGATTGTACGACTCGTGTTTTATTTCAATTTTAATTTTATCTTCCGTGTCACGATTAATATCAGTTATCGTGAGACTTGGCTTATTTTCATCTACATTATCGTTAGTAACATCGACTTCCTTTTTAATTTCATAGTTGAAAGGTGTTGAATCATCACCAACTGTTGATGATTTGCTTGTTTGTTGGTTTATATCGAACTTGTCCCTTTTATCTATTTCAGAATCAGAAGTTTCAGACATTATACGAGTTCCTCGAGAATTTCGCTTTTTGGAAATTTTTGTATTTGATGAATTATTTGAATGTATCCTTGTCTGATTTTGGATTTCTTCGGCACTAGTCTCATTATCATCACATATATTGTTTGAACGTGTTCGGTTATACTGAATTCGAATGTCAGAATCAGAATCTGAAATTATACTTTCCCGTTGTGGTCTAAAGGAGCTTTCGTCGGATGAACTAATAACTCCTGTAATATTATGATTTGGTTTGCTTCGATATTTGCCCCTTCTGTGTTCACTTATATCAAAATCTGAATCTGAATCTCCATCATAACTTGTGGAACGTTTCTTTTCTTCACGTTTCGCTCGACATTGTTTCAATTGTGAAAACTTTGCTTTTATTTTTTTCTCCTCTTCTTGTTTCTGCATATTTTTACAAGAACGAGCCTTTACTTTATCATACATTGAAACGTATGGTCCGTCATCTGGTATATCAAATATGGAATGTTTTTTAGGCTCGTCAGAATTCGACTCATCCGAGCTAAATGGAGCTTTTCTACTTGTTGATAGTACTTTATTTCGAGATTTTTCAGATGAAAGAAGCTGTTTTGAAGATAAACTATTACATTCTTCAGATCGCGATGACTGTTGCTTGCGATCTTGTTGACATCTCTCATGTTTTCTCTGGTGCGTGTTAATAGTTGATTCAGAGTTTCTGTTAATTGCATTGAATAAACTCAATCGCATTGAATTCTCTTCTATTTCGGTATCCCGTTTCTCTTTCTTTTTCGATTTTTGACTTTTATTAGTTGAATGATGATGTTCGTGCTGTTGCGAAAAGTCTTCCTCATCAGTAGATCTTAGATCTTCAATACTAAAAGCTGTTTCACAGTCAATTGTGTTTGATGGTATATCTTTTTCGGTATCACCAATGCAAGTATCAACATTTACTTTTTGTTTATGAGGTGATACGTTTGTAGATCCAAAATTGAATTTCGTTTTTTCTTTAGAATGTTTTTTCTCCTCAAATCTTGAATTTGGATCTTTACGATGTTTATCTTCTATAGAGTAGACAATTTTATCTTCATTGCTTCTCGATGACGACGAGCTTGTTCTACTTTGGTTTTGTTGATGTGATTTAATGCTGAATGGTATCTTAGAGCTCTGTGATTCCTTCGAACTTCGACGATCGAAACCTTTACGATCTTCTTCATCACTACCTATTCTAATTCTTTTATTATTGTCTTCTGAACTAGTTACACTATCCTGAGAACTAATTCGCCGTTTTGTATAATGTGCATCGGGATTAGTAAATTTAGAATCATCTTTTCTCTTGTGCAAAGAAAAATTATCTTGTACATAGTTTTCATTATATTTTTTTTCTTTTATTGTTTGGCCCGCAAAATCATCTACGTTAATACAATTTTCAGTCATTTTTAACGAACTGCTGCTCGTAGTAGACGATTGCGACTCCAGTTTTACTTTATCTCTAATTTCGCTGTCAAAAAATATGGATTGAGTTTCATCTTCTTGTTTTTCAATCTTATTTCTGAAGGGTGCATGATACAAATCTTTTTCTTCCTTCAAATCAGAATGCCCAAAATCACACATTTCTTTTTTGACACTATTCTTTTCCAGGCTATTAGATCTTTCAAATTCTTTCTTGGGTTTAGCGTTTAAGCCCTTTTTCTCAGACTCCTTAAAGTCTCGATCTTCAAGTTTTAGCTTTTCTTCTTGGTTTTTCCACTCTGTATACTCGTGTTCTTTTTTATCTGTATCAGATTTCACATTTTCTATGTTTTTGTTTTCTTTATGCTTGTCAGCATTATCTCTCTGCTCAGTCCATATTTTATGATGAAATTTAATTTTCTTATCTTCACTTTGGACTTGAATGTTTTTATCGGATTCCATTTTCTGTTTTACCGTCTGGTCGTTCTCTACAATTTCATGTTCCTTTCTTCTTTTTTCGGTTGCCTCAATCTTTTCTTTCAATTCAATATTTTTCTCTTCTTTTTTATCCCGATCACACTTTTCATGTAATTCTTTACTTTTCTTTTCAAAAGATTGTGAAATTTCATTTTCTTCTTTGTTTTCTTTTTCTTTCCTTTTCTGTAGTTCTTTATCATATTTTCCACATTCTAGCTTTTCTTTCTCTACTCGTCGGTATTTTTCTTTTTCAATTGATTCTTTTTCTAAACTTTCTAGATTAAATGTTTCATTCGCTTCATATTTCTTATGATTATCTACAAAAATGTTAATATGTTCATTATCTGATTTATCTGAAGTTTCTTTTTCTGTCAATTTTTCATTCCTTGAAATCATTTTCTTATATTCTACCTCGCATTTGTTACTATTTTTACTTATCTTCTCATTTTTCTTTGATATAGTTGATGCCTTGATTTGTATTTGACATTGAGTTTGTGTTGTTGCTGATAAGTTAATACTGTCAGTTTCAATTTCATCTATTTTGTGAGGGTTGTCATTTGGCAGTGAACAGAGAGTATTACAAGATGTACTTGATATTTTCGTACCAGAATTTGTATTTCCTGAGGCCAAAACAGATTTAGCTATAGGTCGCATATTTACTGCTGGATTTAATGTTATAGTAACTGAAGTAGACGGGCTAGAGATAGGAGGATAACCTTGGCTGTTCATGGTTTGTTTGTCATTGAAAACATTGTTATCTTTTGCTGATGAAAGAGCATCCTGTTTATTATCAGTTGATTTTGTTGAAGCTTGATTGGTGGCTTCTACTGTGCTGCTTTTAATCGAGTTCGTTGAATTATTAATAATAGAGTTACAAGAAGGAGTGACTGAAGTTTGATTGCTTGGAGGATGACTTGGAAATGGATATTGCAAACTTTTCACAGGCTGCGGTTGTACAAGAGCCGTTGATTTGGTAGAGCCAAATAGCATATTTGGAGATAGAGAAGGGCTATTATGTGGTGACAACGATGCTTGAGGACTATTCATTGGCGAACTTAATTTTTGTAAATTACTTGATGTCGAAAATACCATCGAAGTAGGTGTTGAAGGTTTACTTGAATTGCTTAATAAAGATGAACATCCTACAACAGATGTTTTCGTAGCTGCTAAGTTTGGTATTGCTGGTGGGGTTTTTGAAATATTTAAAAATTCTTTAGGTTCATACTTTTCATTAACGTTTTTCAGTCGTTGATAGTCATCATCAAATACTGACTTTTTTCCTAAAACTGATTTAGCAATATCGGATGGTTTCATTTCATTAACATCTAAATCAAGAAATTTATGACGCGATAAAAAACTAGATGTTGCAGAAGGTATATTTATTGCACTATAATTTATAGAGGTAATGCTACTATTCTGTGATAAATCACTTGAATTTAAAGGACGGTTTATCAAAGAACCAACGGTTGTGCTATTATTACCAGACCATTTTTCGAACATTTCGTCAAGAGCTTTTATTCGCTCTTCCATTGTAGGTCCGCTTTCGAAAGGCACAGCATCGGAATCACTAGAGTTTGAGCTTAATGAACGAGCTCGCATTGGACTAGTTCCAAGTTGTGGTGATTGCTTTGTATTAAATACCGAATTTTCATTTTCTAAATTTGTATTTTGCAAATTTTGTGAGTGATGATGATGTTGCTGTGACATTGGGGAAGTTTGACTGCCATAACCAATACTGCCATGATGCTCATGATGAGCGTGATGATGATAATGATGGTGGGTCGCAGACGATGATGATGATGACGACGAAGAATTAAGCGATTGATTGTATAACTGTTGCTGAGCAGGCGTTGATGATGGTTGTGTGCTTACAGACGTTAAAGAATGAAGCTTCGTTCCAGTTAACAAAGGTGGACTTGATAACGGATTGAGTAGACTAGAATGACTACTATTACTATTTAACAAGGTCGAAGTATTTGAATTAAAAATCTTTAAACTATTGTTGTTCAAACTCAGCGACGACAGCGAAGATGAATTAAGTGATGTATAATATTGAGATGATAATGCAAGTGGAGTAGCAATACTTTTATGCTGTTGAACAAATTGTATTCCCCATTTTGGTACTGGTAACATCATTGGCTCATGAGGTCTATCTCTGGGTATTTTTCTTGGTTCACATGGAGCTATTTCAGGTCTTTCATCACATAGCGGTGTACCGGGTCTAGAACCATCTGCACTTTCTCCGCCGGATGCTTCATGAGAATGGTGCGAATGTAACTGATGACCTCGTCCGCGAGATGTATGATAATCACTTGTATCCTGCCCAATATTTATATTTACACCAGGTGTATTATTCATTGTAGAAGAAGCTAGAGAATGTTGCGATAATGACACTGAACCACTATTAATGTTATTACCACAATTTTGAACTTGTATAGAACTACCCATACGCCTCCGTTTACATGGTTGATGAGTTTGTATATAAACAGAACTATTATGACCAACATAATGATCATTTCCATTATTTTGTTGCTGGCTTTGCGTTTGCAATAAAGTAGGTTGTCGTACTGAACTTATGCTAATGTTATTACTATTACTTAAAATACAACTACTTAACGTCCCGGATTCTATGGACGGCCGACGACTACTATTACTATTAAAATTACTACTAATACTACAATTTAACATTTGGTTGCCATATTTAAGGGTATTGCATTCAGATAAACGACGAATTTCAACACACTTTCTATGATTGTGCGGATTTACGTTGCAGCTTGATGTTGAATGTAATAATAAATCATTGCCGTGATTTCCCAACACATCACAACTAGATTCAGTAACATTCGTATGTGTTGGTTGCTGCATATTATTGTTATTATTGTTATTACTACTATTATTATTGTTGTTGCTATTAGTATTAGAAGAAGAAGAATCTATTTGATTTGATTGCTGAAATTTTTAAAAAGATTTTATTTATTCCTGTATTTTATTTAACGAATAATACGAGTAATATATTAAAACTTACGTAATTAGATAATGTGTGGTGATGATTATGATGATGAGAAGAATGATCAAATTTCATCCTTTTCTTAGGACTAATTAACTCATCACCGCTGGACGGGCATTCTTCTAATTGCTCTAATAAATGAAATCTCTCTTTTTGTAAATTTCGAATATCACCTATAAGAAAATTAATTTCATTTTAGCATAGCTTAAAATTTCTAAATATAAAAATTCTATGAATTTTAAGTATGATAATGTACATTACTGTAAATACTAAATTATTTCGAAATAGCAATATAATGTTTTGATATAAAATATTTTCAAAATTTCGATTTAATTTTTTTTTAAGAAAATCTAATACAAAGGTTTCATTTACCTGGGCTTTTATCGCAACGCCTTCGTCCGTTAGTATTATTAACATCAAGCGAATCCACAGGACAGCTACTTGCATTGATATTACCGTAATTTAAACATAATCTAGATTGCGGAGATCCTGAACGCTGATGTTCTTTACTGCTAACATTTATTGCGCTATTATAATACGATGTTCCTGTTAATGCATCGTCATTATATGATGCACCAGCACTCGGATTATATTCATCATAACTACGAAATCGTCTATTACTACCGCTAGTACTATTTCCCACATCGGATGGTGTCGTTGGAAAATCAAACTCACTGTTATTTACATGACGTACATTTCGAGATGAACGTGAGCCACGAGAATTATTGTTACCTAAATTGCAACATTATGATTTCAATATTTACATAAACAAATGTATTTGTATGTATATATGTGTATCAATATTATATATATATATATATATATTTATATATATATATATATATATATATATATATATATATATATATATATATATATATTTTTGTAAAGAGATCTGCATGAATGCATTTAAAAATGTTTTTTAAAGCATTTGTAGAAATAAGCAGGAATACTTTTCTATTATGCGATTGTAAATTAAAATGAAGTTTATAAAAATATCCAAAAGAACCCATCGAAATTACGACAAACTTAAAAAAGGTAAATTGTAAATGATTTTTTAAAATTTTAAATTACTTTAAGTATAAAATGGCTTCTATTAAATAAGAAAATGAATGGAAAATCTAAAATTATTTATGATTTTCGTAAAAAGTTCATTATTTAAATTTTAACATATAAGTACATAGTAAGTGTTTTAAATATTTTCTCACTAGTTAATTGATAATTAAAAAAAATATGTTGTACATTTCTTTTATCAAAAATTCATGCAGAGCTCTCGTACTATATTGTGCATATTGTTTAAAAACAAGATTAATACAGTGTCGAACAAAAAGTGCTGTAATGAATAGTTACAAATTTTCATTATCTGTAAACAAACATAGTGAATTTTTACTAAAACAATGTTAAGAATGAAGAAGAAATGCTTAAACATCTCTAAAAAAATGTTTTGTAAAACATTTCAGTTTTGTAATTTATGGAATATTATTAAGGTAACGATACACAGCAAGTACAGATGCGTAATTTTTACACATAGCTGTAATATATGGTTTTTATGGTCTTCAATAGGTTTTAAGAATTCGCTTCCGTTCTTTATTCCTTCTTCACCTTGATAATGAGAAATAAAGCTATGAATTTCCAGGTTTAATTAGAAGATGAAGCTAGAAACCATACAATAATATTTAATAAACAAATTAACTTATAAATTTAACTACTTTTAAAAAATACTCAGTATTATTAGAAGTTAAAATCGAGAAGTTTTTAATGTAATAAAACGGATATTTTATTGCCTTGTTGATGTTTATTGAAGTTGAAATTAAAAGTAAACAAAAAAGACTTCAATTTGTTTTGTTCGATACAGTATGTTGAATTATTTATTTAGAAATTATACAAAAAAAAAGAGTTGGAAAATAAAAAGAAACAAAGAAAAACAAACAAATTGATAAAATAAATTCAATTTATAAATACCAGTCATACAACAACCGCTATTAATGCTACTAGAAACATTAATTGGTGACACAGTTCCACCACAATTATTCAAATTATGGCGGCCACTAAAAGACGAAGTTCGAGATCTTGACTGATTTGATTGCGATGTCTCATACCGTTGGATAAACGAACGAGGATTATTACTGCTACCACCTGTCGATTGAATTTTGAAATTTTTTAAGTAAAAAATGCTATAAACAAAATGTTAAAAATGGAAAAAAAATAGTAATTTTAGCTTAGAAAATTTTTCTGAGAATTGAAATTTACTTAAATCAGTTTCTAAACCGTTCACATGTTTTTTAATTTCGAGTTCTTTGCAATTAATTTTTTATAGCTATGAAAATTTCTTGACCAGAGCGTTTTTCGAGCAAATAAACACGATTGCTCTATAAGATACAAAAGAACTTTACTTAACAATGACAAAAAAATTCATATTTCAGGTGGTCTAAATATAAGAGTTTAATTTTTTAGGATAGGAAACTTTTTCAAGATTGCTCTAGAATTCAATAGTATTAATTAAATTATTATTTTTTAAACACTCTGTATGTAATGTACTTTATTAACCCTGTGATTTAGTATAAATAAGATGAAAAAGAAAGGTTGAATATAAATCTCACCTGCACTAATACTTTGTTTATCTAATTTCTCATAAAATGCTTCTTGACATTCACGCGAAGCAAAATCTACTTGTAATTTCCACCCACGTATCGTTGCACCTCTCATTTCTTTCACAGCCATTTGAGCATATTGTATTTGATCAAATGATACTAATGCTAATTTACGTTCTCTATCAATGCAAACTTGCGTTACAGGTCCATAACGGGAAAATTGTCCTGTTAAATGATTTTCACTAACACTATCTGCAATCCCATCTATCCAAACACAGCTAGTTGGCATGGATTTGCCAAACCCCAATTTAATTCGATTAGATCCAAGATGTTCACCATCCATTTTACGCATAGCTTTAACAACCGATATAATATCTGAATATTGACAAAAAGCATAAGCGTTCATACCTTGCTTTTTGATATCGATTTCAATTATTTCACCAAAACATTCAAAATGCTTACGTAACTCACCACTTGTTATATCCTTTTCTAAATTACCTAATAAATGTAAATCAAATTTTTATATAAACTTGTTCTGCAAAATAAGCAATATTTTGAATATTTTTTACATACCTATAAATAAAGTTCGTGTAGATTTAGGATGATATTCATCTAATTCAGCCTCATATGGTCGAAATTCATTATCTTCAACATCATAGCCTCGATAAGGTATAACTTCGATTTTGCAACCAAAAAATAACTTATCATGTGATACTTCTATCGCTTTTTCAACATCTTCTGGTTTTTTAAAGCAAACTAAAGCGTATCGCTCAGAATTTTGCCCAACTACTTTAACCCAGGTGACTTTACCATGTTTTTTGTACTCATGAAATAGACCATCCTTTAGGGATGTATCCGAGGAACGTGCTGGTAGATTTTTGACACAGATAGCCAAAGGTCGATTATCTTCGGAATGAACAACTGGATTTCCACAATTAATATTATTATTATTAAGAGTATTACTATTGATTTTATTACTGCCAATATTACTATTACTATTATTTTTAGTATTATTACTATTATTATTGGTATTATTGGTATTATTATTATTATTATTAATATTACTAGGTTTAGCTTTATTATTGCTTTTATTGCATTTTTTATTTTTACTTTCATTACTATTTTCGTTATTACTATTTGTATTATTGTTGTTGCTATAGATATTATTATAATTATTGCTATTATAATTATTATTACTACTGCTATTATCTTTATTATCATTACTATTATTTGCATTATAATTGCTATTTATTTTATTATTTCTGTTACATTTTCTGCTACCGTTATTATTGTTAGTATTATTATGATTATAGTTTTTGTTATAATTATTATTATTACTATTATAATTATATTCATCATTATCGTCATCATTGTCTCTACCACTATCATTATCATTGTCGTTATCAAAATCATTATCGATATCGATATCAATGTAATGACGATTATCATTAACATTACCTTTATTATTATCACTATCGTTATCATTATTATTATGGTTATCATTATCATGATCGTCACTATTACTATCATCATTTGAATTGTCATCGTCATCATCATGACAATCATTATGTTTATTATCGTTGGTAGTGTGATCATCATCGTTATCATTATAACTAGTATTAATTAATTTGTTATTATGTATTCTCTTATTTGTCACTATTTTATATTGATTATCTTTATTTAATTTATAATTATTACAACTTTCTATATTATTACTATTATCGTTATTTTTATATCGGCTTTGATTATCATTATATATGAAAATATCACTATCACTATCGTTTTTCTTGTTGTCATTGTTACTACTATCATTATCATAGTTATTACTATTATCATTTTCATTAGTATTTTTACTATTATCATTATCAATGTCGTTGCTATCGTGATCGTTATTAGCATCTTTATCATTGTCATTGTCGACATCATTATCATTACTATTATCATCATTGTTATTATTATTATTATTGTTATTATTATTATTATTATTATTATTATTATTATTATTATTATTATTATTGTTATTATTGTTATTATTGTTATTATTATTATTATTATTATTATTATTATTATTATTATTATTATTATTTTTATCTTTATCATCATTACCATTACCGCTTCCACTACCACTGCCATCACCGCTACCGTTACCACTTCCATTACCACCCCCATTACTATTGCCACTACCACTACCGCTACCATTACCACTTCCACCATCACTACCATTATCGTTATGATTATTACTATGGCTATTATTATTATCATTATTTTCATTATTACCAGTGTTATTATTATCACTATCATTACTCTTATTTTCGCTATTATTATTATTTTCATTATCATTATTATTTTTACTTTGATTATCATTACTTTTACAATATTCATTATTACTATAATTATTATAAACATAACCCATTTCGTAATAAGTTATATTGTTATTATTACTGGTGTGTTTATTGTAATTTTTATTATCATCCCTATTTTTATTTTTGATATTATCACTCATATTGTTATTATTTCTATTATTATTGTTATTTTTATTATTATTATTATTACTATCTTTATTATTATTATTATTATTATTATTATTATTATTATTATTATTATTATTATTATTATTATTATTATCTTTATTAATATTTTTACTATTATTACTATCGTTATTACTTTTACCACTGTTGTTATTCTCAAAATTATGTTTATCATAACTACTGTTAGGATATTTAATATTATCACTTTTACAAATTGTTGTTTTATAATTTGTTCCACTTTGGCTAGGCGCTAGCACAGTCGAAAATTTAGCTGAAATTAATGATTTGTCATGCATCCCGCGTGAAAGTGATTGTAGTAATATATCACTGCCAACTGATGAACTTGAATGTAGACTACGTGAAGATAAACCTTTTGAGTTAGAATTGGTTGAATTCAGTGAAAATAAGCTTTTCGATATAGCATTACCCTGACATTTTAATGTACAATCTGTAAAATAGTACACAATAAATATAAGAAAAACTAAAGAAAATGAAGAAGCTTACCGTTAATGCTATTTTCTCTGCTTTTTAATGGTGTTAGGAAATTTGAGCGATCGAATTGCCGATCGCTAAATGAATTGTTACGACGACATTGCAATTTAGATGTTGAATTTGATCTTTTGTTTTTTAAAATATTGGTATCATAGCTACTTGAATCGGAATGCACTATGGTACTGTTATTTGCACTGCAATAAATAATATGTTCTTGTGGTTGTGATATGTCAAAACCGGATATAACTAGTGAATCAGCTTCATTTTCAGCACTTGGATTAATTTCACTCCAAGATGGTACTCTGTGATGACCAGTCGAATTTGATCTAAGAATAAAAGACACAAAATTAAAGAAAATTTAATAGTAATATTCAAAGCATTTGTATAAAATGTATAACACCGTATTTAGAAGTATAGCTTTATAAAATATAAATATGTTACAAACGGATTTAAATTTTAAAAAAATAGCGAAAAAATTGCAAGTAATTTTCCTTTGAATCGATAATAATCGATAATCAATTGTCACTTAATTTTTAAATACAATTTCAAAGTGAATATGGGTATAACTTTCTAAATTTTGAAACTTCTTTTTAGCAGATTGCGATTATAAAATTCACGTTGCTTTCAAACCTTGCCGAATGCTCTCAACGGCTACTAATAGATTCAAAATTTAAACAACCTTTACTCACAAAGTGCTATAAATTTCATATTTCAATAGTTCAATAATTTCTTCGTGGTGAAATAGTAAGTCAAACTAAGTTTATTTGTTATTTAAAACTGCAATAAGTTCCAAATGAGTGCTAAAAATTAATAAATCCGAAAAACAAAAAAAAACAACCAACTCATGTTTCTAACACAAAAATATGTTAATAGAGAAATTAGAATGTTCTTTGCCCCCAATAAATTTAAACAATAACAATAATGAGAAATCAAAAGAACAAAATAACAAATTTTTTGATGAACCCACGGATTGAAATCTTTAAGTGCTTTTACGTGTTTAGCTATGAGTCTAAAAAGTCTCATTTTATATTTCATACACGTAAGGTTTTGTTCAGTTGCACTTCCTTTAGTGAAGTTATTATTTGGACTATTTTTTGGCAAAAGACGTAGTTGTCAACAAATTACGTAAATCCGAATACGTATTTCGCCAAAAAAAATTTGTACGGAAAACAGAACCCGAGATAAGAAAAAGCCTTCGGAATAGTATTGAAAGCTCTAAAAGCTAAATTAACAAGTGTATGAGAAAGTTTTGTTAAAAATTATTTTAACAAATTCATTCAGAAAGAGTGTTCACAAGACCTCTCCACACGTCACGAATCACGATAGAAAAAAAGTCATAGTAGTAGTGTCATGCGGACCAACCTGAGTAGGCCAACTTTTTAGGTTACAAAATTAAAATAGGTCAATTTTTTTGCAATTTTATGAAATTTAAAAATTAATTGTTAATTTTGTTTTAAAAGAAGTTTTATCAAACAATGTGATATTTTATTGAGAATGAGGAATTAAAAACAGTTTTATAAAATTTAATTTATTGTTTACGTTAGTTTAGATAATTTTCTTTAGCCAACTTACTTTATTCTTATAAATTTTTTTATTTTAAGTTTTTGAAGTTATGGAAGAATTCGGCTGCTCAAATATGGTATTTTAAAATAGTGCCGTGTACGAACTGACTAACAGTTGTTGAATACATAGTTTTGAAATTTTATAAAAAATTATAAACTTTGCTTGGAGAATTTTTCTGTATATTGTGGCTGGTTCATTCTAGATTCAAAAAGGATTTTAAAACAGTAAACTTCTACTTTCCAAGAAATAAAAACCCTGTTACACCCACCAAAAAAAAAGGTTGATATACGAAAACAAACCTTTGCACAATGCAATACATGATTTTAGGAATACTGGGCAAAACCTTCACGCTTGCAATGAAAGCAAATAGTGCTGTGCTAGTCTGGTTATTTATTAAATTTATATTAAATATGTAATTTGATAAAGCTCCAAAATAAAAAATATATATTATAATTTAAAACAAAAATTTCAAAATTTACCTTTGATCTGTCGATAAATAAGGGACATTTCGATATACTCTTTTTCTTTGGCTACCCCTTAGATCACCTGAATGATAGCTATTTCGTCTTCCAATATGTCGTTCAGAAGGATCTTTGGTAATATAATTGTTGTTCCATTTGTAATGCCCCACATTGTGATCATTTAAATTATGTGATATAACTTCCTCAGTTGATCTGGAAGAAAATATCAATATAGGGCCTCATTTTTATTTTGCTATATTTAAAAATTTGAAAAAAGTTTGACGGGAAATTAGTGTAAATAAAACTAATTAAATAAGACGATCACACTACTAACAAATACTGAAATAATACGAACAATACTGAAAATTTTTTTTAATAAGAATTTTTTTCTAAAAAGCATAAAATTTTCCTTTGATTTAAATTGGAAAGATCACATGGGATACACTGGTGGATAAATTATTTTTCCATTTGATGACTGAATCAAACACATTTTCAATCCGATAAATTCTCACCTCTAAAATATTTAAGATTAATATAAGATCAATTAAACTTTTTAAAATTCGATTTTAGAATGATTTTTACGTTGTCAGCTTAGACGAAATGCAGGCTTCAAAGATATTATTGCATTGAAAAATATTTCACTATAAACAATAAACGCTTATGATTTTAGCAAATTTCACTATAAACAATAAACGCTTATGATTAAACGTTTATTGTATAGATATACTTATATTATAGATACATTTTTTATACCCTGAACTTCGCATTTCTCACTTAGACAATAAATTGTAAAATTAGGGTAAAGAAATATCTTTTCGTGAGAATATACTATGAAAATAGAAAGTAAGTTAAGTAAAATAATGTTTTAGGAGGAAGCGTTATAAAAGGGTTCTCTATATATATTTTATACAACTAAATACATTTTATAAAACTTTTTTTTTTCTAAATTGTTTTCCACGACATATCTATTTTCTAATGAATAATCTTATGCCTCCATTACACACTTATGAATTTTTATAAAGTTCTTATGAAGTTTTTCACTTTGTCTCTCTCTTTCTCTGAAAAAAAGAAAATTTCTCTTTGAAAAATAGTAATATCTCTCTTTCTCTCTATAAAAAATTTTTAAATGAGTTGTAAAAAGCATTCAGCAAGTAAACTACTGCAAAACATTAAAATATTCTGAATTTTACTAATACAACAGTATAGTTGCGGAATCAATAAGAATGTGCCTATTACACTACTAATTTATCTTAATGGAAATTTCTTCATGCAACTGCAGAACAGATGGATGACGTAATCAAAGGAACGAGTTAAAGGCAGAAAAATTATTCATTAAAAAAAATTTTTCTCCTCGAACTGGACTCGAACCAGTGACCTACCGCTTTCTAGGCGGACGCTCTACCAACTGAGCTACAGAGGCATGAAGAAATTGCCGACGAAATGTTCTCTACATTGCTTTATACTGTAATTCACATGATTACTAAGTATTTAATGACATTACATGATTACTAAGTTAATATTTTCATTGATAATTATTTTAAAATTTAAAAAAAGCGGAAAAACAACAAGCACATCCTTCGCCTTCAACGTTTTATATTAACAGCTTTTTTTTCTCATAGGGTAAGTTAACTCAAGATATGGGGAGTAACTGTGGTGTCAAGTTGAAAATATAATTAATGAAAGATAATTCTTAAATATTGATATAAATACATAGTAAAGAAAAAATTTGAAGAGGGAATTAGAAAATAATATCTAACATACAATCAAATATTATTTGTTAAATACAAATTTTATATAAACTTCAAAATTTTACCTCTATTTTTATTTGAAAAAATATTAAAAACTTACTATCATTTATATCAATTACCTAAGAAAAAAAAATATTTAAAATGTTTGGAAAAAACAATCATATATTTTTATGACCGGATTTGAATATTTTTTTATTTTTGAAATAAATGGTATTTTACCAAATGACTCCAAAATTCCAACTGTAAAATAACAGGTATTTTAAAATTTTTGTTCAGGTATTTTAAAATTCTTTCCGTTTAGAATTAAGATAGGTCATACATACACATGCAGGGACATTTTATAAATAGATTGCTCTTGTTTACCTGCTAATAAAATATGAAAAAAGAGCACAGCAAAATTTTTGAAGCACTCAATATAACATGTTTGAAATAGTTTTAAAATAATTATTTAAAAAAAAATTTATTGGAAGTAGGTACATACATAGTATTTATTTTTAATAACTTAAAAACTAACTGAAATTATTTGAAACAATTTTATAAGTAACGTATAAATAACCGAAATGAGATAATTCAAATTGTTGAAATGTGTCAACCTATATTACTTTTAATAACATTTTTGTTAGCCGACACTACTCAACTTACCTTATTGTGAAATACAAAATGTGCATGAAAAATCATACATCCTTCCTCATTAACATTTGAAACCATACTGAAATATGAATTTGAAATTTTTTTCATTTTTTCTTTCCTCCTACCTTTCTTTCTTTTTCGTGCAATAGAATTTCAATGGGAAACTTTTTAAAAAATGTGTATAATCCTGAGATTTTTTAAAATATTAAACTCTTTTTTTACATAAAAAAAAAGAAGAAAATAATAAAAAATATGACACGATCAGTGGCATTTAAAGAAAAAACCAGCAACGAAGCCAAAAATTCGTAATATTTCGTAAAAAAAATTGAGTATTGGGACTTGTTAGATAAAAAGACATTACTTTAATTTTCTATCTTGATGAAATCTTAAAGGGAACTAGTATTATTACATAAATTATTAATGAAATAAAATTGTATATAAAATAATCTTGAAAATATACTCTAATGTTAGGTATTTTTTATAATTCGGTTCTATTCTAATACCAAATTTGCAGTAAATATGAAAAATATGTAACTGCCAAAAAAGTTATTTTAAAAAGGTAGAAAAAATTCCTAAAAAAATTAATCGCAAATACGCAGTTTTAGTTTTACTACTGCAAATAAAACAAAAATAAAATGCCAAAAGATTTAGAAGAATTATTAGAGAATGGTTTGTCTTGTTGGACTTAAAATTTTATTTATTTAACATACATATATTTAAGGTCCATAGAATAATGAAAAGTTAAATATTTTTTTTTTTAATTGAATAAAGAACATAAGACCAGTGATGTCAACTTTTTTCGCTAACAAAGTTCAAAAACATCTTTCAAATAGTATAAAAAAGTACTGAACTTGTCACGATTAGTGCAAAAAGATGGTAAAACATGTTTTGAGAAATTTTGAATAAGTGATTTATTTTTCAGTTTTTTCAATTTCATTTTTATTTCATAGACATTTAAATAAAATAACAATAAAGAAAAAAATTTTCTTTCAAATACGAAGTAGGAATTGAGTTTTTTTGTTAATTCAGTTCGTAAAACTAAAAAGATTGAAATACACATAAAGTTTTGAAAATTTGAAAAAAATTTAAATATAAAAAACACTCGAATATGTGTTTGAATTGTGATTTGAATTGTTGTTTAATTATTAAGGACTTTACTATTTCGTCCATATCTTCATTGAAGGTTTCTTTTTTACCGATCGTATTGTGTAAACAATAGGTATGTTATATGATGGCAACAAATTTTGCATATCGAGTTTCCGGTGGGAATGCACTTCTGCATGGTAGGGAACTGTAAATAAACTATTTTAGGAACCTGTCATTCTGTGTGTGTACGCATGTATCTCAAGTTCGGCTGAACCGATTTTGAAAGTTTATTTCGACTATGGAACGGATTGATCAACTTTTGGGATATATCAGGCCTCGAGAACTGCACTTTTTAGCTTGCCTGTTTTACATTTTTGAATATTTTTAAAGAAAATATTCAACCGATTTACTTGAAATTTCATATATAAGCTCAGCTCGACCGTCCGCAAAACCTCCTAACTTTTGGAAAAAATCAGGTGTCAGCAACTGGACGTTTACTACGGGCCAAATATACATTTTTGTGTATAAAATTTAATATTTAAATTCTTCGTATTAAAACAATGAACATATAAACTTTTTAGAAAGATCAGGGCTCGAAAACTGATCTGCGGGCCGATTTTACATTTTTCACCATATCTACGGAACGAATCGATGGAATTTCTTGAAATTTGATATTTGAGTTCTGGTTGTTACCGAAACTAACTGGCGAGCATTTCAGTGAATTCAGGTAGCACAAAACAAAACTCTACTAAGAGCCAAATTTACATTTAGGTATGTTAACTATAAGCTTACTAATGTCCTAAAAATTGAAAAGAAGTATTTAACAGACCTTTTTATAATATTCTGTAACACTTCCACTTAACTAGACAATACACATTGCGGTCGGTTATGTGCTGACCACATCAGATTTTTTTCTGTTGTAAACATTATGAGATTGTATATTATTTATCATATTTTGTGGGAAATTTGAATTGAAATTGGCTAAAATTCCAGAATTAAAAGTGAAGTATTAAATTCAAAATTAAAAGTGAAGTTTAACATATTTTACAGAAAAATTTTCAAAATTAAAAAGTTTCTTTGAAATTTCAGCAAAAATTTCAGGTTTATTGCTAAATTGCACTTTAGGTAGAAAAAACATTTTTCGGGTGCATTTAAATGTTGAAGAGTGTTAAAAACACCGAAAAGTGTTAAATTGTCATCACTGCATATGCCTGTGACAACTGTCTAACAACTGACAAAAATTTTCTTTACTGTAAGTAGTAATATTGAAATTTTTACTGTGTTTTTTTTCTGCAGCTGAAGTTAATTAGGCTCTAAGTTGAAACGCAAACTACATTTTCAATTATACCCGATTTTTTAATTTCCAAAATTTTGTTAATATACGAATTAGAGTCCTTGAAGATATTGAGGTAAAAAATGAGCAAAATATCGAACTAAATCCTTACACACATACATATATAAGTTATAAAAATTAATTATAAAAAAAAAGGATGTACGTAATTTTACGTTTTATCTTTAGGAAAAACACCAAAACAATAGCAAAAAAAATAAAAAGAAAAATTAGAAGAAGACTTTGACTTCAGTTTGTCTATATTGTAATGCTTAAAAAAAATTACCGAGACTGAAATTTATAACCCTGGAATTTTTCAGCAAATACATTTTTTTTCTTATTATTTTTTTCTTTTTGGTTAAATCATCCGTATATAGGGGATATTACGTTCATTTCTTTATATTATTTACTCTCCTATA